GTGGACGGGTGTCGCGGTTGGGTCGGCATGCATTTCCTTTACCGGAGGCGCAGCACCAAAAGGAGGCGCCTTGGACGCTTTGCCGAGCGGCTTTGGCCAAGAAAGTAAGTGATAGAAAGCCAAAGAACTGCCCAAAGCCCCCTGGGCCACGCGCCGTCGACAGTTGCGCGCACGAAACGGTGAGGAGGGTAAACGCGCCACGCCTTTCTATGCTGGTAGACCATTGTTCACTGATTATCGGCTGCACACGCCTTCTGGGGCGGAGCGAAGTAAGAAGAATGGGCAAAAGGCTGGCAATGACCGAACGATGAAGCGACCGAGGGCCACCCCTTCTCTCGTTAGCTATGTTGGTAAAAAGCTTCTGAGTGGAAGCCAAGGAAGCGGCTGACGGAAGGGCTTCGGGCAGTCCCTGTGCCGCCAAGTTGATGAAGATTTGCAATACGCAACGCCACAATAAAACCGCACACCCGCAAGAGACCCAGCCCCGCCGCCGTGCTCGGGACAAAACCAGCGAGCCACCCGCAAGCAATGAGAACGAAGCCAAGCGGAGGGGCGCCAACAGGTCGACGGGCGTGGCTGCCACCCAGGCTTGCCTGCTAGCTTCCTGGACTTCTTCGTAGGCCTCCCTCCTGGGGTGGTAGAGGGAAGAAAACAAGAAGAGACAAGAAAAACACGAAGAGGCGCGGCTTCTGGCCAGCGCGCTGCAGGTGTCCGGCACACGCAAAGCGCACGACACTCCGACGGCGGGAATGAACGGAGGCAATTTCTCGAACGGAAAAATTTTGCCGCTCAATCTAGTTCGAAACACTAGGCTCCGCGGCGTGAGAGATGATACAGAAAGGAAGCGCTGAAGAACAAAACGGGAGGGGCGCGTCTGGTTTGCCTGGTGGATTCTAAGCAATAAGGCGCCGACAAATCCCCGACAGATTCTCGGCCACAATAGTCTAACTCAGCAGACGAAGCGCCGCCGGGCTCCCCATGACTCCCCACAAGACGCGGCGTCGCCCATAAGGGAGGGCGGCGCATGCACTGCGGGCAAACGGACACCTATTGGGGCGCCCGCACTGCCGGTGCAAAGCTAATAAGCCCGCCCGGAGCCAACAAGGATCGAAGCGCCAAAGAACCGCGACAAATCAATGCCCGCGGAGCAACAACCCCATACGGCGAGAGGCTTCTGAAAAATTGACCGGAAACCCAAGGAGGCCGCGTGAGCACAAGGCGGGCGCCAGCGGAAGGGGAGGGCGCATGCTTTCGAGCGATGGGGCTTCCCAGCCCCATTTCCCTGCACTAGAATCCAGAAAAAAGCCACAGAAAAGGGCTGAAAAAGCTGGTTCAGATTCTTAGTCGGGTCCCAAGGTTATGGACACCCAGTCCGAAGGAGTTCCTATTCCCTTGCCTCTAGATGAAACGAACCCAGCAGCATGTCCCGAGTAAAAACTTTTTGAGACGCGCTGTCGGCCTTAAGGGGCGCACGCGCGCTTCGGGCACCGTCTCAGCCTGTGAATGCACTAAACTTCTGCTAAGGACGACCAGAACTGCTGCACCTCTACAAAAGTGGGTCTCCCTTGGTTTCAATTTGGACAGGCATCAGAGTAACTAGCATAAAAGTGCCAGCAACATTTTCCAAAGAAGTTCAAGTCGGGAGTGCCCAAGTAGCAGGTGCTCAAATGGTGAGTATAAACATTGGACATAACCTAATAGGAGAGAAAAGGGCAGTGCCGCTACTCTCTTTCTCTCTGTGCTTTGCACAGTCTGAAAAAAACCCCTGCTAACATCTACATCAACTACCGAGCTCAACGCTTTCCATGAGCTTATGTTTGCCTATCGCGTTGCAAGGTCTGTGCTTGTGGACGCCAGTCTTCTGCCGGTCCCGGTAGCGAGAAAATGATAGTGGGTAGCTAAGTGGAGATGCGGGGGAGAAGCCTGTTCAAAACTCCAAGGAGACTGTTGTGAATTATTAGTGCCACCTCACAGCGCTCTGCGTAGTCGTGGGTGGATTGCAATTACATTCAGCACGGGCTTACCCTTAGTTGCGCTTACAGCCTATATTAATGTAAAAAAGCGCGGCGCAGATACAGAGGGAACAAGCGAACGCAATCTAACTCTAAATACTTCGCCAGATGCCATAGGGTAGCCTATAGTCATTTGCAAAATACCGAAAAAAAGCACAAGGTATATTTACAACAAATGGATGCCATCCGTGTGTCTCTTTTATGATTCGCCATAACCGTCTCGGAGGCACTATGGGGTAAGAGCACGACGATCACATGACAACAGAGAAAGGCAAGACTACGAAAGAATCAATATCATAACCCTGCTTGCAGCATAGTTTTCTATCTATTGAACAGCTACGTTGCGAGAGGAATCTTCTACGTCGAACCAGGGACAGACCACGCGAATCCGACGCCAAATTGCTCTAACGATGTTGAACTTGAAACTACTGCTACTACCACTGCGACAACTAGTCTTGGTTACCACGAATAACAAAAGATGAGCAGGACGAAGCTGATATTCTTCTAGGGAGGTAAACAATACTGGCATGGAACAATGTGTGTTTACCTATCATGGGCTCGGGCTTATCTAGACCGACATGATGACCTAAACAAACTATCCGAAACTTGTGAAGAGGAAGCAGGATCGAGATGGACCTCAAGGACCCCCAAATGCTTGTTAATTCATAAACCACCTCCGTAGGCGTATTCGGCCGGCTGTATGTAAGGATCAGTAACGTCGCCGAACCGGCTCAAGACTCGAATTTCTACCCCTGCGTGATGAGCACCGCCCCACCCTAACCAGTTCAGAACACCATTGAGCGTGTGGATAAACGAACTGTCTGACCAACTGTAAACGTTGAGAGTTACCTTAACCCTTCGGCGCATCCGACTATCGTCATTGTAGTCTTCCCTGCTCTGTCTGTCAAGTGCTTGGAGATAGGTCTCGGCAGGGAAGTCCGAGTAGAGGAACAAGCTGCGCTGATGTTGGTCTTGCGACCGCGGCGGCGTCGGTTGTTGTAGTCGTCCTGCTGTAGAAGTAGAAGAGGCCTTGTTCTTTTTCTGTAGTACTTCCAGGTTTGTCCTGTTGGAGAACAGCGCAGCAAAGCTAGGCGAGACTTGCCTGTCTTTCTTCGGCAGAAGATCTGCTCCTGCAATCGTATGTGGCTGTGGCCATACTGAGAGCTTGTTAGCCTCGTCAGGGTCCTCTACTGTGTGTTCACCGACTTCTGGTTCTGGAGGTGAGCTACTACTAGAGCTAGTATTAGTTGTCAAAGGTCGTGGATGCAACTCGTCACGTGACGAACTTCGAAAAAAAAGGTTGAATGTTAGCGCCTCGGGAACTTCTGCGTCGCGCAACGCTGGAAAGCTGAGAAGAGCAAGGAGCACAAGCGTGAGACTTTAGAGGGGTGAATTGCTTTCATCATCCTGGCACGATGGAGTAGGGTGAATGGCTTGCTGAGGTGGATCACGCCCTAACCCCTTTGTGATAGGAGAGGAGCCGGGCCGCTTGCCGCCTCGTCAAACCACACCTCGCACAACAGGATGATGAACAAGCTGGCGTAAACAACAAGAAGTAGTACGGCACTAGCTGTGCAAGCTGCGTGAGGACATGGCTTTGCGGCCGCATGACTCCACACCCTTCGCCAACATTCACGACGATCTGGGTCGTCCTCACTATCGGTCACGACTTGGGTCTCGTTCAGCGAGTCTGTACTCTTCTCTCGTCGAGGGTTATTATCGTCTAGACCCGAAGATGAAGACGCAGACGTTGGAGGTGGAGATAAAAGTAGAGCTGACCACCACGATGACCAAGCTGTATTACTGGTTCTCCTTCTAGAAGAAGAAGTTGTTCTTGTACATGAACGACTGTCACGAACTCCGTCCAGATTGGGGCCGTGCTGAAGATCATCTACTTGCACTTGCGGTATCAGAGGCACATCCTCTTCTGCTAAATGAGGTTGTCGATCATTAGGACTAGATGTCTGCTGCAGCTTCCGACAACTCGCAATATTTTGACTCGACGTCATGGGCAACATCGCGCCGCCCCGCCTTCTGCGATTAGAGCTACCCATAGTAAAGATATCCCTGAAGCTTTTGCGTAAAATAAAAATGCGCTGAAGTAGGGATCTCCAGAGTGAGTGAGGGTGAGGGATGAATTCAAATTCATGTCGGCCTTAATGTTACACATTCTCCATGATCCACCGCAAGATGAGCACATGGAGGCGTAGTTTTGTAGTTTTGCCGCGGTCCGACTCAACCATCTACAGGACGCGGCGATTGGTTCTGGTTGATCGGTAGGCGAAAAGACCAGAGGATTGGATGCGGAAGCAAAAAAAGCTGCGGAGGCCTCTTCACTACAGTTGCTGCGCGCCGAAGAAGCCGTGTCGACTTCTGGCGGGAGAGGCGCGAAGGCGGAAGAGCCTGAGACCGACATTTTTGCAGTTGTCGTCGTTCTTGCTTATACTGGTTAATTGTCTCTGGAGCGGCGCTCAACAAGACACAAATTTCTTCCGAAAATCATATGCCTAGCACAGAATCTTTTCAGAACTCTTCACTCAGCTAGCGCGGTAATGCCTCTACTTGCTTTTTTGTCTATTTTCTATCGAAATGCAAACGGTAGTTGTATGATGCCCAGATCAGTATTCCGAAACTGTCGACGGGACTTTCAATACCAGGCTTCTCTTCCTAAATTGCAAAGACCAAATGATACAAATAGAAATCCAAAAATCAATGCCAAAAGATAAACAAAAACACTTTGTAAAAAAATAGCGGAAAAGAATGGGATGAACGCATTGGCTCCATCATGCAGCAGATGCTCACGCTTGCCCTAAAACTACATGAGTCAAACATGAGGGACGATAACAAGAAATCCAAGGGAGTAAAGACGAGGAGTCGTCGTGTCAGGCATTGTGCTTGGGAAAAAACTGAAGAAGATTGTCCGATGCACAAACCAACCGATGTCTGGTTTCAACATTCGATGCTTCAATTTTCAATAATATTCATTGACAAGACCGATCTCAAAAGCTGGCACTTCATCGGACGTGGTTGTGCATGATGATGTACCCGTTTTAGTCTTACACCTTAAACTTTTCACGACCGACATAGCCGCACACACATTGCGACACGATTTTCTGCTTGATCTGTAAGAGCGCGTGAAGCTGAAGTTAGAAATTGTTGTAGATCTTAACTTTATAGTTGCGTCTGCACTTTCTCTTGTAGATCATATTTATCCTCTTACTTATGCTCCTATCGGGCTCCCATTTGGAGCATTCTTCTTCGCTTTCGCGAACATTAAGACTATCTACCTAGTATAAAGAAAAAGACGCTCTCGCAGTTGCATGACGCATGAAACCATGCAGTAGCCCCGCGAAAAGATGTAACAAGTGCTAGAACTGAACACAAGAGAAATTGTGTAACTGTAACGCGAAGTGAGCCATAACTTTTTTGGAGAAGGAGAGGGAAAAATCAGAAGAATCACTATGCGATCACTCATCACAGGAAGAAGATGTACGTGACATAGACATTCGGCTTCTTCGGTGCGTATAGCAGCAGAAGAACGGGGAGTGGGGTTCGGGACCTGCGAACATGTTATTTGTCAAGTCTTTGCGTAGCTTCAATACCCAGTCTTGGTCTTCGCCTTAGCATATCTAGAAATACCATTATGACCCCCCCTTGGTGAGGAATGACAGCATTGTATTTAAAAAAATGAGGATAGCGATTACCCATACAAGGAACTCTTACACCAGGGCTGACGGAGTACACTATGCTCATGCATCTTCATTATTTGTCGTGTTGTAACAACAACAAGTCACACCAGTCATCATCTAGATTTCAGCTGGCATTGCTGAAGATGTTGAAACGACTTCTATCTTCTTCTAACTTGAAGTTGAATTTCTAGTTCCAGGTTGTCCTCTCACGTGAAAAGACAACTGAGAAATAAAGAAATTTCTAGCTTGATAAGCAATTTCAAGATCAAATTTCGACCAAACCTCGAAAAAATGGTTTTTTATCGCCTCTAATTCAAATTCATTTCCTGGTGAGGGCTTTGACAGGTGACTAGTGAACGATGGGAAGATGCACCAAGATCAAAATGGATAGACTCATATCCATCATGGACATCATGTTGATGAACATGAAAATGCATTCTGTGGCTGTCCCTTCTGTCCTCAGTCTCAGTACATTACTATAATCACACGAATATCATCTTCATTTGGGTCTACAACAAATACTTAAGCGGGAGAGGGGTATAGAGGGGCATCATTGGGGAGGCATCGAGGCATCGAGGTATCATCATGATTGAAGATGATGTTCCTATTTCTTCCCTGCTCCTGCAGTTGTACTAGTACTACTTTTTGCTCCTCCTCCTGCTGCTGCTCCTGGCGCTGCCTGGCTCGATTTATGCTGTCGGTACAGGTAGTACATTCCTATGACGGAGAAGATGTTCCCTGTTCCCAGCACAAGGAGGCCACCTAGGATGTAGCCCACTGTCTTTAGCACTGGCCAGCAGTCGTTGAAGGTGGTAGTTCTGATGTTGTCCCACATCACGTTGAAGATTTCTCTGGCGAAGATGAAATGCATCAACCGGTCCCAGATAAGGGCACCGGCAAGCGAGAAAAAGAGCATCGCCATCATAGATATGCGCAGTTCTGAGGGCACATCGACGAGTTTCAGCGTCTCGTTCACGCTGGAGTTTGGATGGTTTCAGAAAGGATGATGTAGATCGATGGTGTAGATCGGTATGACTGAGAGGATGAAAGATGAGAGTAGATGAGACGATAGGATGTGAATGACTTGCTCAGCCCTGCCTCTAGCTCTAGTAGTCCTTGTCCTTGCAATGAAACAGGAACACATGCACAACTTCGTTCTCAGAAGAAATTGAATAATCAAATATAATCGATCTTGTACAACTTCTTCACAAAATGGAAATAGTTATTTCCAGTACAATGGAATCGCATTCGTGGCGCACACCCAGACCAATGCAATGCATCCAAACAGCGACAAAAACAAGGCTTGGTTCTCCAACATACCACGCATCCACGGTCGGCCTTTGTAGTTGACAAACAACACTGATATCTGCTGCGAAACCTCCACGAGCCAGACCATCGTTTTCATTAGAGAGGATTGTAGTAGTCGTGGTGGAGCAGACCTAACTACTAGAAAAAAGAAAGACCAGAGCAAGATGATAATACCTTGTAAGTAATACATAGCTGTAGTTCAACTTGAAAATAAACTCTACTTGAAAACTACAATCGTTAAATTTGACCAACTCGCTTGTTCCATTCCACTCACTTAGTAGAAGTAGAAGAAGCAAGGGTCGTGTCAAACCAAGTCAGACACTTTGTTTGGAGATGAGTTCACAACCGAAACAAAGTCAGGAGCCTCACAAACTAGAAGACAAAGTGAGCCTTAAATTCAGCAGATTCGGTTTAAAGGGCACTTTGGTGAACCACCAGACATCATTCATCTCCTCTTCGTCCATGGCGTCGATCATGTTGTTCCTCTCCCTCTCGAATTTCAGCACTTCTTTCAATTCCTCCTCTCCCATGGCGTCTTTCGCTAATTGCATCACGTAGACCATGCAGGTAAGGTGAATCATTAGAGCTTGCCTAAATTCATTCCGCCCAGCATCTCGGTCCATTTTGCCCGCCAAAATGGGGCCAAGATGCATGGATTATTTAAGAATGAATTTCCTCAAGAAGCCTTAAAATCAGTAATTGGCCAATCAAAGAGAAAAACAACGCGGGATGAAACACAGACTGCAAGGGGCGGACGGGGTGCATCCGGTCAAGGGGCCGAGCGAAGTTGAAGGCGATAGAAGCGATGGAAAGAAGTGTTCCGCTTGCCATCATTTGCTGTTCGGAGGGACGAGTACCTAGAAATATTAATTGTGAAGATGTTCTTGGTTCATGCGGATTGGTTTATCTAGATTATAGAAGATGTTAGTAAAGAATGGTTGAGCTGGAGAAGGACATCACGAAAAAAGCAACCTCATACACATACAGCATAGGAACAACAGAACAACAAATAGTTCTAGTACCATCCGCACTCATCGCACTCAAGGAGTAAGCAGAGATCATGCTATCCAGCATCATGATCTGCATCTGCTGCACTGCGGACAACAGAGTACACCTTCCTTGTCTCACAATGTCCACAACCGCTTGAATCGACGGCGTGCGACTCGTGAAGGGTGCTGCCATTGACGCATCCCCTAGTTTGACGGCTGGCGTGTCGTCCGCGGCCTCCATCGCCTCAGTCCAGTTCGCCATGCCGCTCATAGCATTCACACTCGTTTTCTGCATTTGCTGCTGTTCTTAGAACTAAGAGAAATCATCCATCTTCCTGTAGCAGCATCTTGGGCCCGTCCCCTAGTCCCTTTAAAAAAGGGCCCAAGCAATAAATATGCTGGCGAAGAAGAAGATGGATTTCTTGTAGCCTTAGTGTTCGTGCTTCATCTCATCCTGCATTCTAGCCATCACGTCACGCATAACCTGCATATGAGCCTGTAGACCCGTGTCCAGACCCGCGTCCTTTCGCCTATTCATTTCCTCTTCCACATATTTTTGCTGTCGCATGTACATGCCACCCTGCTTGCGCTTGAAATCTTCCTTCATCTTGGTTTGGATAGCTGCATTCTTGCTGTCCTCTTCCGCTCTTATTTTGGCGAGTTCGTCCTCCGCAGTCTTGCCCTGTTCACGGAGACGCTTGGTTTCTTGATCTTCTTCGTCGTCTTGATCTTCTCCCGAACCGCCTCCGCCGAAAAGCTGAGAGAAGAAGTCTCCATCGGCAGGCGTGGCTGCTTTCTTCTTCTTGACATCCACATTCGCGTTGCCAAAACCAGAGAGGAGAGCAACTCCTACATCCGCTTGCTTCAAAGCGCCCACGTCATTGCCACCATCACCGCACATCAAGGTATGATGCAAAGTCGCTTGCTTTTTGCCAAGGCGAGCTGTGATGATGTAGGTCGTGTTCATGGATCGAAGCTCTCCACTGACTTCTACAAAGAGTGTATTTCAGTCATTTTTCGATTTCGTGGTATAATTCTTATGAATGTTTCTGAGCGGGAACAACAATGACAATGACAAGTACTGGACGTTCATCAGTTGTACCTTGTCTCCCCGGTTCGTCATAGTGATGTCCTCCGATTGTTCGAATGATGTCTTCCTTCTGCTGTGGAGATAGCCGTGCGAACACGCAGACTACATTGAGAGAGTCCCACATTTCATCACCATATTTGGCACAAGCTGAATCCAAAGCTTTGCCTGTTATGACTAGGTCATGGCCTTTTTTGTTCAGTTCCGCCAGCTGCTCTGGACTGGTAAACTCCACCTCCGTCATTTCAGTCTTGGATATAGCCGGGTGCCATTTGGCAGCGTCGTCGGAGAGAATAAGGGCTTTGGCACCTGGGAGTGTTGATGACGAGAAAATTCTAGATCTTGATCTTCAACATCATGAATGCAAAAAATGAGGGCCCTTAGAAGTACTATTTTTGTGTTGGAGGAGTACGGAAAAGAAAAGGAAGAGAAGGCAAAACAAGAAGATCTCACACGAAAACTACCAGCAAAACTGAAACCTATGAAGAAAGTTGGAAGTACTTGGTTTCTGTGCAATGTGGACCTCCTTCGCTACACTGTAAGCCGTCAGCGCTGCGTCCCCTGTCAGCATGATACAGGTGTGACTCGAATCCGACAAGGACTGAATCACCAACTTACTGTCTCTCCTCGTCTCACATTTGAAGCTAGCGAATCCTGCGAATTTCAGGTCGCTTTCCACTTGTCCTCTGCTCATTTTGTCAAACTTTTTCGCGTCCTTCAGGTCGCTAGAGAGTTTCTTGTACCCCAAAGCCAGAACTCGGTGTCCTTGCTCAGCCAAATTTTGGTATGCCGCGAGGTAATTCTTGGAGAACGTTGCAGAGCTTTTAACCGTCTCGGCATCTAGAAGTTTGAGCATCATCTCCGGAGATCCTTTGACCATGGCATAGACACCAGTAGATAGGAGTCCCTTTTTCGAAGTGTTCGTTGTCGTAACTTTGCAAATAGTGCTCATCCTTTGCAGACTACTGGCAAAATGATGTCTCTGCACTACTTCTACTGATGCGACTTTGCTCTTTGCCTTTTCAGCCTCATAGCTATGCTCCAGGGCGTCACAGTCCTTTTTCAGTTCCTGCATCTTCCCCTTGTCCGTTTCCTTCGCAACCACTTCTTTCGCCTGTTTTAGTGCCTTCTCCTTAGCCAAGTGGGCGCCTGGCGTCGCGGTGCTGCTTTCGCTGTCGTAAGACCACTCGATTCCACGTAGAGCAGCGATTTCAATCGGGTCACCGCACATCTTGCCCTGCACCTCAATCAAGGCGTTGCAACCAGCGAGAACAAAAGCAGCTGGGTTATTCTCGTGGTCTTTCATGGGCTTGACGCACTGCTTATACTGCTCTGGCTCGGTCAAAACGTTGGGTAGATTGGCCAAAGGGTTACTAGGTTCAGACTTGTCCAAGTCAGAGACGAAGACGATATCATCGGAGGAATCTGTGGTGGTTGACGTAGCTGGAGTTGCTCCTTGTTTATTCTTGTTGTTTTTGCTATTCTTATTGTTTGAAGGCACGGCTCCTGATGAGTTTCCCGCTCCACCGCTATTACTTGTAGTCGTCCCTCCACTGCTCGTTATAGTGCCAGTCAACTCGGGATTATGCAAGACCAATCCCGTTCCCAGCATGTGATCCGACGTTAATGTTCCTGTCTTGTCGAAAAAGCAGTACTCGGTCTTACCAGCCTCTGGCACACGAAAGGGTTCTGTACAATAGATGCCCTTGCGCATTAGGGACATCAAAGCAGTGTGGACCGCAAACGCCATCTGCATAGGAAGGGACGCGGGAACCACCTGCGTGATGATCAAGACGCAACGAAGCAAGACTTTGTACGTCGGTCTCTCGGGATCTTCCAAACCCTTTTTCAGCACGTAAGCGGCAGCAAATAAGGCAAACACGAACAAAAAGAGCAACTGCAGTGCTGTTTCGCGCTTGTCGGCTGAGACGTTTTCCTGCGAAAACTGAATCATGCGCATCAACTCTCCCTGACTGCTGCTGAAACCAGTGCGCAAGACGTAGCAGACAATGCCATGATCTGGCGGGCAGGAGACGTCAGAGTACATATCGTGCTCGTCTTTCTGGACCGTCAATGCGTCATTATTTGTAGCCTGGATCAGGGTTGTCCCCGAGTACAGAGTGTGCACTTTGTCAGACCCAGACATGTCGAAAAGCTGCGCACTGCTTCCATGCTCTTCTTCAGCGGGTGGCAGCGCGTCCTTCATCTGCGGCACGGATTCACCAGTGAGAGAAGCCTCATTGACAACGGCGGAACCCTTGAGGATGACGCAATCACAAGGAACGGTGATTTCGCTGACGACTTGGAGAACAGGAGGCTTTGGGCCTGCTACTACTGCTTCTACTGCTTTGCTCTTATTAGCGCTAGTTTTTCACTATGCTTCGCGGAGTGAGTTCCTCCTTGTTTCATCTACCCTCTTTTTCCCTCTAATAAATCAAACAAAGGGGACTGCGCTCAGCTAGCATGGTCCAAATGGAATAGTGAAAAACTAGCCTTAATCTTATCACCTTCTCCACCCTCTTTAGCCTTCTTTTTCTTAGCCGCTTCTAGTTGCTCACGGCGCTCCACGTCCTTCGGACTCAACAGGTTTGGAGCGAGAGATACAATATCGCCAGGCAATAGCTCCGTGATATTGACGCCACCAACCCATCGATTGCGGCGATACACCCACACATCGTAAGGACGTGCTGTCATTCCACGCAATTGGGTGATGCTTTTCAACCTCTGAAAAGCAGTGGAGGCTTCGAATCCCAGGATCGTCATCAGGGTAAATGCCGTGTACTTCCAGTACGTGTCCATTGCCCACAAAAACGCGGTCATCAGCTGAAAACAGACCAGGGGAGACTCCAATTGGTTCTGAAACAGCTCCAAAAACGTGGGATAAGGCAGTTCAAACACGTTGCTGCCGTACAACTCGAGACTCTTTTCTAGTTCATCCTCGGTTTGGAGGCCAACAGCTGTGCGGTAGAAAGTGCGGTCATGCCCGACGTCGTAGGACTGCACTAACCGGCAAGCAAAGTCGCCATCGCCCACTAGTTTGCCACTGCCAGTCTCTTTTTCGATTAGGTCTTCGTCGTCGATGATTTCGTAACGGATGTGCTGGAAATCGAAGGTGTAATTCGTGTTGGCATTCGGCTCTTGCACGATTGAAAATTCTGCTTTCCCCTTCTGCTTTGGCGGCAAGACAAGTAGGAGTGTATTCTCAGAAATCTCGTCACTTGGCTCGTACAACAGCCACGCCTTGAATCGTAGACTCCACTTGCAGAGAAGGAAAATCAGGATGTTCACGCCAACAGTGAGGAAGATAAACAAGCAGCAAAAGGCATTTGGGAGATATTCGGAAGGAAGCTCTTCCTCATTGATCTTTAACTCGTTTTTCTTCCCTTTTCGACCATGAGTGTCCTCGCCGACGATGATGCCTTGAAGTAGATGAAATGGTGAAGGGTTATGTTAGGAAAATAGGTTTACGTTGTAGATGAAAATGAAAGAGGAGAGAGGATCACCAATGATTTAGAAGCCGATGAAATACTAAGTTGAGGAATGATAGCCTCCAGAAAGTAGGTAGTTAGACTTTTCTAATTCCCATGGCTGCAAAAAATTGACAATTCATCAATGCGAATAAAGAGCAGTAATACGTACCCTTATCTTTTGCATCTTGCGCTTTTTTACGCAGAAGTCGCCTCTGTTCCGCCAACGCCCACTGTCTTGGCTCTCCTACAGTGGAGTAGGACCACTGGAGACAGACTGCATACAGCGCAAGGAAGATTGAGGCGAGGACAACCTTCTTCCAACTGGCTGGACGGTGCGCCGTTAACGATTGGATATTCACAGGATGACGCAACTGCATTTTGTGTTTGTCAAGTACAAATAAGCGAGAAGTAACTGTGCTAGTGCTACGTAGTCTGAGTGAACAATCAGAATCTGATGCCCACTTGAAAACAAATCTAAGTAAGTGTAAGTATTTAGTTCTAGATGGCTAGTAGAGACTAAATAGTAATACCATGCAGCGGCTGTACTAGCTATGTCGGTCCTCTACTAATACAGTTGACTCAAAAAAATATATGGACAGCACAGCACTAGAAACGACATTTTCTCCCAGCTGGTGCATCTTTTGAGTTAGACCAAATAGACTTCGACTTGAAGATTATGTTTATGGCGCGCGCAAGAAAATGTTATTAAGATGTATAGCTACAGGGTTTGCCAAAATATATGCATAGAGACGATCATACGCACATAACGAAGAGCATCAAAAATCTTTGATTCTTCGTCAGCGTGACAGGTCGTGATTTTCATTCAAGACCAACAAACATTTGGAAAGGCGCCTGTCTTTGCATTCACGGGGTATCAGATAAAGATGAACCTGCAAGGACCAATGTTTTCAGAAAGAGTTCGAGAGAGAAGATTGCCTTGTAGATTCATCACGGTGGAGATCGCCATCGATTCTCATGCACTTCTGCGGTGCATCTATCGAGCAAAACATGATAATATCTGTTCAACACCACGACCATGAACCTTATTGGGTGAACACATCCGAGTGGCTTTCTCGTTTGTACTACAGATGATGAAGTGGGAGGAGCATAGGATGCAATTCATCTTTATCAATCAAAGATTTCGATTTTGTTGTTCAGAATCCTATTTCTGACGTAACTCGTATATGACTGTGGTGCACGTCTGAGCAGCAGTCCGGTGGGGGTCATGATCAGAAGGCCTGCGGCCAGTAACCTTGAATGATCCTACAAAAATCTATCAATCCGCTGCCACGACAGCTTTTGGATGCCCTTTAGGAGGAAAGGCTGGCGATCCTCCAGGATCTCCAGATCCACCAGAGTCTTCGTCTCCACCAGCAGCAACATCTCCATTATCCTCACTAGTTGGTCCTCTCTGATACTTCTTCCCGTCATGCTTTCTTGATAAAGTGGTTGTTGATGTAGTAGAGGTTTTCACGACGTTGGTCTTTGTGCTGCTACTATTGAAGACACTGCGTGGGAGGTGGTGATGCTGTTGTTGTGTGTAGTTATTGGTTGGACCAGAAGGATCGTCGGTAGAAGGACCCCCTACAGGACCTGGTGACGGCAGTGCCAAAGAGCCAGAGGACGATGACCCACTACTTGTCGATCTCCCCAATAAAGTCGTCGTCGTTGCTGAAAATAGTGCTGCTGGTGCAGGGTACAATGCTCCTGTTGGAGCTCTTGCACTACTAGACGAGCCGAAATTTCCATCATACAGCGCATAGAGATAAAGCACTACTGATACCCCGAAACAGCGGGCAAGCAGGTCGACGCCGACAACGTAACGCGATAGACCCAAGTTCTGCTCTACGAACAGACTCACATTAGAGATTGGACTTCTTGAAGCGTGGATGCTGTGAATCTACTCGGCAGTCTGCCTAATGTCATGTCATGGCGCCTCTCATGCAGCTATTATTAATGTCTACTTGTGAGGCCATCCTAAGATTTCCTAAAGCCTTAATTAAAGCGAAAGGAAGCAAATACTGGATCAAGTACCAGACTCCAGACAAGGTCAGAAAGCTGAAAAACCAGCGACTCTGCGACACGTTCCACGTAGAACCGCCGTGTACATCAGACACAACGGACAATAGCCAGAGAAACAAGAGCGGTTAGACGAGTGTGCAAATCAAGCTCGAATTCTGGGCGACGTACCAGTATAAGCATAATGCGTACAACTACTATACAGATCAAGACCGTGATTGATGATAGACGCAGTCGAAGAAGGGGTAATGGTACCTACTTGATGTAGTAGGGGTAGTTGTTGTGGTAGTTGTTACTGAACTACTACAACTACTAGATAGTACAAGAAGTAGGAATGCTGTAGCCTGTAGGTTTGTTCTATTGCTACTACATGTGCAATATACATCAGAAAGTAGTGGAAAGGTGACGATTGCCCTGACTGTGGCCAACATTCACAATCTTTGTCAATCTCTTCATCAGGAAATGAATTTGCAAAAAAGTACATATAACTGAAAATTTAGGGATATCAACTAGAAACAATTGAAGTTTGAAATTTCAAATTCAAATTTGAGAGACGAGACAACATCATTTGAGCTGCAAGATAACTTTTGTATACTTTCTTAGAACGTTTCACTAAATTCATACTGACTACAACGAGGACAGCACTTCTATGTTCTTCATTCTGGACAAAGATACCGATCATAACAGAAATAACCCAACCACACTATGGTTCCCAGGTTTCGTCCAAGAAAGTTGATGATCAGAGCAAAAACCGCTAAAACGCTATTCGTCAGCGTACTATCGCTGTTTGCATGCAGGTGCATGTCGTGATCGTCTCTACTCCTAGTAGTTGCAGTAGACGTCCCTGAGGACGACGATGAAGATGATGCTGAGGCTGTTGTTGTGTTTAGAGCTCAAAGCAGTTCACTTCTTGCCTACATTTCTCCCAATCCTAGGAAGGAAATAGGGAAACTACGTAGCTTGTAGAAATGAAATACGTAATTGACCCTTAATGTATCATGTTCATGTACATGTTCTCCTCCATCTTCTGTACTAGATGCCCGTTGTGGGTTGACCATGACCCATGGTGCTGAAAACGAATTCGAACGGGCGGAAGTCCCAGAATAAAGGAAATTCCCCAACTTAGCATCGGTATCGAGGTAAAAATCGCATATGATGGACAGGAGAGTCAATTTGAGCATGAACAGGTACAGCTTGGCGCGGGAGATTAGAACGTGAAGGAACACGATGGTAATTGCAAGTGAGGCACGAATTGCTGGAACGAAAATGAATCTATAGAGCTGCTACACTGGCCTTCTACTTGCTGGTCTACGTACCTACTATCTTGGTCTTCACGACCTGATGAACTAGAAGACCTTTATTACACTGTACCGCAAGAGCGCCTTCAACTGCTTCTGCATTGATTGAAAGATTGATTGACTGATTGATGTACCCACTCACGGGGTGTAGCATCTTCTTTAGTACAAACAAAGAAGTGCAGCTACATCAAACAATCATGATTGCTTCTGCATCTCTCTCGTACACGTATTCCCTATTCTAGTATCACTATCATTACTCTCTCTTATTCCCTATCCTAGTATCACTAACACTATCATCTGTATCACTATCATCTTATTCTAGTATCACATACACGTATTCCCTATTCATCTGTATCACTACTAGTATCTTTGTCACCCATAACATCGATAGTAAAGATCCAACTCGATAATCGTATCTCCCTAGGACGCCTGGGCTTGCGCCTGTCGCAAGGATCCAAAAGCCTGTCCAAATCAGCAGCATAGCAATTTGCCACGCTAAAAACCCTATCACTTCTAGAAAGCCGACTGCATGACCAGTACTGCAGAAGCATGAAGGATGTGGACTTGCAGGTTGTATTCAGTGCAGGTTGTATTCAGTGTAGAAGCATGCAGGTTGTATTCAGTGCAGGTTGTATTCAGATGTGGACTTGCAGGTTGTATTCAGTGCAGGTTGTATTCAGATGTGGACTTGCAGGTTGTATTCAGTGCTGAACGTGTTGCAGAGGACACGTTTTTCACTCACAGAGTGGTCGTGGTGGCAGAAGCATAGAGGTAACAACAGGAAGTGCAGCTCATTGAGATCAATCTCAAGATGAAAGTTGAGTTTCTTTAGGAAGAACAACAACGACCTTTCTCCAGAGATTTTAATACTTTTAGAAGTGCCTTAGCCTTAGGTTTAGTCCTGGTCTTCATAACAAAACGAGAAAGAACAGTACGTAGAAGAGACACGATATGGCGTTCGTCGTCAATGCGCCGAGTGGAAAAGCCAGGAATTGTCGATACCGAAGCAACAAGAAGAGTCGACTGAATAGAGCTTTCTGTGGTGCTTGAGGACCTTCGTTGAGGACATAACTGCCGTCTGAAGGTGCTCCAGTGACGTCGTGCAACTGCAGTTCCCTTAGGGCGGCAGCACGTGAGCTACTTGCTCCGTTTACGGAAGATGACGTAGAAGAAGTAGTTGTAGAAGTAGTTGTAGAAGTGGACGACTGAAGCATCAGTAGACCAGAAGATGACACTCCGTAGCCATTGACTTCTTCTCCATTATAGCGGGAATTAAAGCTCACTATAAAAGTCCATCTCGAGGAAGATACGATGCATCCTAGGACCGTTTCTTTTAGTTTTTCCCTTCAAAACATCCTCTATTCTCCCTTCAAAACATCCTCAAGAAGATGATAGGTGACGGCTTAACGGAAGGCGACATGTATTTCGTGGTCCACCAGAAGAACGCCAAGAAATGCAGAAAAAGCGAGAGCATGTACATGTAGGGCAAGTTTGTCTGCGTTACTGAGAGCTCGGACTGCCAACCGAGGTTCGAGTTCTCAAGATGCAGTCGGACGCGAACTTCTCCGTCTTCGTTGTCGGGTAGAGAGGTATGAAAGGAAAGGAGACGATGAAAGGACAGGACAGGACAGGAAAGGAAAGGGGCGGAGAAGTAAAGAGATATCAAGTAACTTCAGGAGATAAGGAGAAGTTGTAGAGGTATCTTCAAGCAGTCAAAAAAGGATTCTTGGGTGGAGAGGAGGGTAAGAACGACGGGGAAGGGTGAATGTGAAGCCAAACAAATTGTTCTCACAATCCTTATATGAGACGAGGGAGTAGCGGAATACTTACGGATGGGCTAAGTCGTCCTCCGCTTGAGAGGATGAGTAACAATGATCGACTTCACATTCTAAGAAAATCGCTTTATCTAGAAAATCGCTCTGTGTCAACATGAATACACTTTTACATCGCAGAAGACGGCTAGGAAGTGCCACGCTCTCGGTCGGATATGCTCCCTCAAGGGTATCGTGGCTTTGTCGTGAAGCCCAGACGTCTTGTCTAATCTTCTTAGCGCTCAGTAGAGTTATATTAACTCAAGCATCTTCTCAAAAACGGTGACATTCTCGGAATCAATCACCTTTTTTAAAACGGTGATACAGATATTCTCTGATGAATTGCTTAATTCGAGAAAAAGGAAAGTAATTGTAACTGAGAAAAAGACTATGAACTCGAAGCAGAAGAAGATGAAAGAATTCCAATGCATGTGAGCCTTAATCTCAGAGGCACCACTCGACTCGCTGTCTGCAACACTTGTGGACATCGTGGCCTAGCGAAGCTGCCAGAAGCACGCTGAGGGCCTATCTCAGCTTGGAAGGCAAACCAATGAGACTCTTCATCATCGAAGGCGAGAATCTGGAGACTTGGCGTGTTAATGCGGAAAGGAGCACGTTGCTGCTGTTCGTGTTCTTGAGTTCGTGGGGAGTTTTGTTCTTGTTGCTCTCTTTTTATAATTGGCACATTTTGCCCTTCAGGAACAACTACGAGAGCTCTTGTTCTACTTGGCAGGTACGCGTGGAGGGGGTCTTCTGTCTTCTTATTGATTTTCTTGTGCTCCTCCGAAGGCGGCGGCGTAGGAGCAGAAGTGGTCGTTTTAGTACCTTTACTAACATCCTGCTCGTGTAGTCTTTGTAACACCAGTTTGGTCTCTCTCTCATCCTGCAATTCTAGCAATGATTTTCCACCAGCTAGGCCGTCACTTAGCAGCTCCAACTCTCCCCAGGCCTCAAAACTCGCTGAGCCGATGCGCTCATTCTCCGTGGAGTAGTCAAACACGAACTCACCAAGATATTCCACTTGGCTCTGTCGATGAACATCAAGATGCTTGTTTCTTCGAATGGTTCTCTCAAGGATGTAGCCGGCGACGAGCTGGAGGTGGGCTAGGACGAGGAGGAGATGAGCGAGGTGCTGCATTAGCGGCCGGGTAGCTAGCAGGAGCGGTTTTGTTGTTCGTCGAGTAGAACGGGTAGTTGTAGTAGGTCGTGAAGACATATTTTTTTCATTTGCATTTCAAAGATGAGAATAATCTGGTGAGTTAGAGCCTAACGAGGAAGAGAGAGAACAATTAATACGAGGAAACAAACAAAGTAGATGAAGGTGAGACAGTCAAACAGCTAGTAGGTCGAGGTACAGAAAAACAAAAAATACTTTAGGTTATGATAATACATAAGCGAAGGTAGAGGAGTATAAGTTATCGTATAGGTAGTACCTCCACGTGAGTTACTCTAACAGCTGGCGCGCGTTTATACACGAGTTAATCAACTTTCTCCACTATATTTAGCCGCCATCGATCCTCTGCCATAGCGGGCTCCAACCCCATTAGGCGCCAGCGGCCTTGTCAATACCGAGGTAGCGGTAAGAGTTGGAGTGCTCAGTGTCAGTTTGAAGTTCTTCTGATATTAAAAAGCACATGTGGTGCTTTCAGCGAGAGTCTTCATTTAAATTCAATTCTCAAACTGTAACAGATTCAAGGAGACAACAAGGCTCATCAATCTCTTTGGTCGCTCTCCCAGTTTTCTATGTTTTTCGGCGTCCTTCCCTCTCGTTGTCAGAGCATCTCGCACAAAATCATCTCACTCGACGCGTCCCTTCCTCATGAGCCCTCATTTCGAAGATCAACCTTATGCATTCTGAACATCATGCGTTCAATGAGGAGCGTCACTCACTGTCGTGAATATGACGACCAGGATGAAAAAATCGCGGATAGGGATATTTGTTCTGATCATGGGATACCAAGAATAAAACGCACTCACGTAACACCTAATATGCATCAGAATTTGATCAACATATTGCCATCACTGACTGTCACTCGTGTCATGCTTGCACCGATGATGGTATCCCCTCATCTGTGTTTTCCTTCGTGTAAGCGTTTGTGATTGTCGCCGGCTGTACCGGTTTGGGTTCTTCCACGACTGAACTCGGAAGCTTTCTCCCGTCTAAGCCGTCTAAGCCGGCGATTCGGAGGAAAGTTCGCCGGTGAAGTCCGACGGAAAGGTGTCAGGGCCAGAGGAGTAATTCTTGTCACTATCAGAAGATGGTGGCATTACCGCTTTTGTGCTGCTCTGGTAGGAAGAATGACCAGTTGTATCAATAGCTTTTGGCTGTGGACGCTGACGCTGTGAAGCACCTTCCCGGCTCGTAAAGGTGTGGGCGGACATCCGCCTCTCCTCCTGCAAAACGCCGAGAGCGAAACGTTGCTGATCCGCCTCTCCTTCAATCGTCTTCGCAGAATCAGGTGATTGTAGACTATGATCCTGCAAATCTTGTGCGGACGAAAGTGAATCCGCATCTTCAATCGTCCACGCAGAAGCAGATGATTGTTGGCGGCTATGTTCCTCCAAGGTATCCCGTATCACGGCTCGCACCAAGCCATTTTCACGTGCAAGTCCGTGGGAATCGGCGTCGCTTTCCGTCGACGGCACCGACACGGGCATCAAATCGCCAGCGTGACTCCCTCTCGGGTACTCGCTGTCTGTGTCTGATTCATCAGCCAAGAACTTTACTTCCTTCTCGGATTTCTTTTGTTCTTTGTTCTGAGTGAAGCTAGATGGTCTTGCGCTAGTATCTTCGAAGTCGATGACTCCACCTCCCTCATCGATGGCTGCGTGGCGCTGCAAGCCCTCGCTTTCTTGGGAAGGAAAAAGGAGCGCAAAGGCGCCCACCTTGCTTGCCTTTTGCATCATCCTTCAAATTTGATATTAATTTCAATTTTGAAGATGAGAATGAATGAATGAATGAATGAGTGAATGAATGTGCCTAACAAGAGGTGTTTGGACGTCCTTTAATTAGATTCTTGCGAGACTAAGAAACTTAGAAGAGAAACGTGCTACTTTTAATTATAGCTAAGCTAAGTTTCGACTCTCCTTCCTTTCCTTTTTGGGCTTGAGTACTAGTATTTTGCTTTCTGGTTCTATCAATTTCTATGGTATAAGTATGAGTCTTGTTGGTAGGAGAGATGGAAAAAACTGCTTGCTGAATTGAAACTGTGCTGACGTTAGGTGAGTTGAGAGTTATTTCTAAGTATGGCTGTCGTGCGTCCTTTCTTCCTTTTTTTTCTATCCTTCACAGTTTTTCACTTCTTTTTGCCTCCTTTGCACTTCTTCTCGTGTGCCCTCATCAAGTCATCTCGCTTGGACAACACTCTCATGGTCATCTTTGTCGAGTCAAATTCAATGATAGTAAAAGTCTCGACAGGAGAATTAGAGAGAGCCTTCATGTGTAGCGCAGCTAAATTGACGGTCATGGCGTATAATTTTCCAAGTACTTAATCGCTTTCACACTCATTCATTCATGTTCACACTTTTCATGTAAAAGATAAGAGATTTCTAAGTACCTTACGGCGCACTCACTTCAATCGGTCCCATTTTTCAACCTCTCCCTTGAACCTCGCTCAAAACTGCTTAGCCTTCTTTCTTTGGTGTAGTTTATCTTCATGTCCTGTCGTTGACTTTTCTAGGAGACCATGATGATTTGCACTAGGTGGTCAAGTGGGCTCAGTCTGCGTCCTTCACAAAGGAAATGCTTTGAAGTCTCACATTTTTTGAGTATGAACATGTTGCAAGAAGGAATCACGAACGTTCAGATGATATTTTATAAGTCCTCAATCAAGAATGGAGACAGGGGGACGGATGATATGAGTCGATATCATCACTTCTATCTTTCAAGAAAGTGAAACAAATTATAGAACAATTTACATAATAGATTCGGGAAGATCTTTACATAATCATTATATATAAGGGGGTAGAAGGGAAGATCTCAATATCGAAGCGTTCATCGGAGTATGAAGGGTAAAAAGGGGATTTCTTTGGGTGTCTGTAAAGCAAAGATATGATAGCCGTGGTGGTCAAAAATCCACCTCTAGCTTCTTTTTCCGACGAAGTCGAGGATGTTGAGCAGAGAGATACACTAGCTACCAGCTAGTCTTCCGCAGAAACGGTTTTAGACTTGATCGAAACAGAAACATTGAAGAATTGGTATTTTCGAATCTATTGTGCCGTTCGACTGCAGATGCAGAAGCAGAACAAAAATATAGATCATCATCATGATCAGGATAGAAGATGATATAAGAGGAAACAGTAGCGATAGAAGAGATGATGTAAGAATTTTTGTTCTAAACTAATCGTACTCAGAGTAGAAAAGTTTAAATATCGAGAAGACCGGAACGATGACCATTACCCATTGATTTCGATACAGAACTACAGTGAAGATATCATAAGAAAAAAAAAGATGAATGGGATCGAATTCTAAGTCTCCTTATGCATCAGAAAATCGAAATCCGTGAAAAAGTTCTTCACCCAACTCCTCAACACCATATCGTTATTGCCTCATCAAGAGCAAGACCAAGAGCTAGCGTTTGATACTACTTCAGAAAAACACTTTCTTTGAATACAGCGAAGTCATAGTCGCACTGGCCACCGTATGCCCGCACCGCTGGTTTATTTCCTTTCGCATCGCGGGATAACATACCTCCTGCGTGGACACGACAGTTGTGGAAGAAGTCTCGCGACAGTGGAGAGGCCCCTTTAGAAGAGGTGCTAGTGAATAAAGACCGCAATGTTTCGTCGCAGCCACCACAGATGTGCGATGCAAATAGAAGGAAGGCATCGCGATCCGACAACTTGGCACATCCCGTTTCAGCAGACGATGCTTGATTCCGATCGTCTTCGTCCCGAGCAACGAAGCCTGCATACACAGCGCTACCTTCCACCAAACCTTCCGCACGTTCTTCTAGTTCTCGTCTATTGCTATGAAGATCTGTCCTTTTAATACCATGTTCGCCTAAGTTGCTAATATCCTCTCCAGTAGTGTTCTTTTTACTGTGTTCGCCTATGTTGCTAATATCCTCTCCAGCAGTGTTGCCGAAAACATTTAGTTCCTCCATCAGTTCCAGTACTCCCTGAGCACCAGCAAACGCATAGACCGTACTACACAACTTGTTAGAACACCAGACTCTCCCCATTTGCATCGAGAAATTGCGGCCTCGCTTCTGCCAAAATCCTTCCTCGATATCGTAATCCAGAAAATCTTGCTCATAGATGCTCATGTTGGCCTTGTCGGCAGAAGTTCCACTTCTTTTCTTGGCAACTGAATGGTCACGATCTTGTAGTTCTTGTGCTGTTTTTTCTGCAACACTTGGTAGCGTCGTCCTTTCACCGGAACCTGGATGTAGGACAACGAAGAGCATGTTCATCTGGCTCCACCTGTTCGTGTTCGTCGAAAAGGCACTACTAGTATAAGTAGTAGCATCTTCAGGATCAGGATCTTCAGCGCAGCTCCCCCTCTTTCGCGGAGGAGGCTTCAGATGAATCTTTTGTGGTGATCCGGGAATGAAAAAGCGGATTCCATCCTGTGTAGAGGCTGTCAAAGTAGGATCAAAAACGAGGGACGACGTATACGAACTCGCCTTACTTGGACCTTGCAGCCAATAGTCAGATTTCCTAGCTCCCTCCATCGGTGATATCCAGGCGGGGCGTCCGTGTCGCACGCGCAGAGTCTGACTGATACGGCCACGCAAGCCGGCGTTTAAGATGGGAAAAAAATCTAGACGAATAGAACAAGGGGATGAACGGGTTGTGGTATTGTTGCCTCGTCCGTGCATTTGGTCGAATTTTTCTTTGTCTTTGTCAAGACCATCTCCTCCTCCACCTCGTTCACCACTTTCTGCTACGGGTTCACTCAACATCTTCGTGTCCTCTGCACCATTTGCATTTTTTAACCCTAATCCCTCAAGGTTCGGCACAATCGGTATCAGTCCAGCTTCTTGACATTGCTCATAGACGCGAATCCACTGCATATGGCTTGCATGATGGATTGCATACGTCATGTCCACCATACTCTTAGAGATAGCGGCTCCTGCTGTTGATGATGTAGATGTTTCCCTTCCCTCTTCGGGTTCGGCTTCGGTGGAGTCGTCGTCGTGTGTCGATCTCGTCGATATCCTCTGCTCAAGCTCATGATCATGCGAAACAGCCGAAGAACCTTCGCCTGTTCGCACCACCATTTTCTTCTGAAAGTCGTAGGTATAGCCTGCAATGCTCCAATGCTCTCGGTCCATCAAGTTCTGCCACCGTTCGGGACAACATTTTCCCCACAAAAGCCAGCCATCGTAATCGCATAAGCATGCGTCGATCTCGGCCACCCTGTCTTGATTCGTAGCGTAAGATTCCTTCGATTTGAAATCCCATGGCTTCTTGTCACCCGAATAATGGATCACGTAGAAATTCGAGAGAATCTCTTGCTGTCGTTTTAGATCGTCAAGTAGTAGAGCGCTCTTTTGTTCAGAAGTGTCGTCGGGATCGTTCTCTTTGTCCTTCTCCTTCATATCCTCTGTCTCAGCAACACAAGAATTTTTGCTACTGCGAGTCGTACTAGAACGAAGATGTTTATAATTGTCGTTCTGTTCAGAAGTGCTAGCACTAGAAGCGCGCTGCTCGCTGCCACACTTCTCCAAAATCGTTCGCATGATTTGACACCGTCTTCCTTCTGCTGTGTAGTGAGGCGCCAACTCGTGGAACATTTGGTGGATCTGCCAATTGTAGAGCGGACTGATACTACTCCAACGGTCGGCAAAGAATCGAGACAGGTAGTCTTGCTCCGGACCATTGCCTGGTATATGTTCTGGATTTAGAGGACTTCTTCTTGAAAGTCATCTTGAAAGTCATCATCTTTGACGCGTTTTCCCCTTGAAAACGTGCCAGAGATGCCTCCTAAGAGGAATGATTGCGGGAAGCAGCCTTAATGGATGGTTGTTGTCGCGAACTTGGCTGTACATGACTTCAAAATGTCGCTCGTTGGGAGCTAGCAGCATGAGACCTGCATTGATGCCTTTGCTTCGCCCCCATGTTTCGCCCGGGCGCGGAGCTGTCATTTTCTCCTTCTCTTTCATATCCTCTGTTTTAATTTTTTGCACTATCTTCATATGATCCACAGTTTTCTGCACTACTTCTACTTGATGATATGATTGAGAAGATTTTTGTTCGGCATTTACAACGCGACTACTTCTACTAGTACTGCCCTGCTCAGCATCATCTTTATTCGGACTCCAGTCAGCGCCAGCTGTCGTTGATGGCGTCGAAGCTGTGCTCGCTTCAGCAAGACGACGAACTTTGACTTTCATTTCCTCCACCTTTTCTACTTCCTCGTCACTCCATTCGTCATTCACTTGCCACCATTTTCGTTCTTGTCCACCGAAAAAGAGGAAGCTTCCATCAACCCACTCTGCATGTGGGGACGCGTCTGAGTGGCCAGTTACCATAGCGGCTGGCGGATTGACTTCCTCGAAAAGCGGATCCAGGTTGTTCACGCACAGCATGTCAATGTCCATACACAGGACAGAGTCGAAATCTTGAGCTTAGAGGATTAAGAAAAAGTACTAAGACAGAGTAGAGAAGACGCACAATTGATGAAAAGCATCAACATCTTCAAAAATGCCTGTAACGAAGAGCGTGTACGTGAAGTTTCTTCATCATGATGTGAAAGCCATAATTACAGACTTCGAAAAGTCTAAGCTTTGTGAAGACGTGATCAAATCGGTGAGATCCATGCGCTTCGCGATCCCACGTAAAAAGCTTCGGAGCACAATCGGTAATGTGCCCTGTAAGACGGCACTCCCATCCCGCTCGGCGGAGTTGGGCACGATTTTTGTGCGGGACATCCTTTGTGTGCATGCAGATCATCTTGATTTCGCCACTCCTAGTTTTCGGACACTGGTTCTTGATGCTCTGTCCGAGCACGACAGCTCCGACCACGTATTTGAGCGATTGACCCCAGAGGCAGATGACGTATGCATGCTGTTTCTTCACTACTGCCACGCCTTCAGTGTCATGTATGATCAAAGGAGCCTTCTTGATGTTCTTTGGAGTGCAAAAAAAATGTTGGAGCTGTTCTTCCAGGAGCTGCCTTGTTGCTGCATCTTTACGTGTATCATCGCTCCTCTCCTGGGCGTGGTCGAAAGGGTTCTTAGAAGCGAATGCCAGATTTTCGATCTTGTGCAGACGAACGGGCCGATGACAGTTTGGGCAAGCCGATAGTAGTACACCCGTCTTCATCCCTTGATCATGTTCACCGTCGTTTTCCTGGACAAACATTTTCTCTGAAGTCCCAGGCAAAGGAGACGACAGCGCTAGGACATGCTTCAATTCAGACCGTCGGGTATTGAAGGCTGTCTTGTCGCAGCCATAGAAGTTGTCCTTGTCAGCAATCATTATGCTGGAAGAGCTAGAGCAAGTGCTTCTAGCTCCTGCCTCTCGTTGTTTGACCTCCCCGTCATGGCGCCCTTTGTCCTCCTGTTCCTTGGGAGACTTCGTTCTTGCGTTGCCCATCTTGTTTTTGTCGTTCTCTTAGCTTTCAACCCCTGGCTTCAACTAGTCTGCAAGATCGAAGACGAACCGATTGGCAACTTACATGTGCACCTCAGACTTCTATCCATGCTTGGCATTTCAGTGAATGATGAGCTGACCATCTCCATATACGGACGACACTCCTGGGTGGAGGATGAAAATGCAAACATCAATAGAAGCAAAAGCATACCTAAATAATAATCAACGATTGTATGAGAGGTGGAATATCAAAAGCATATAACTGATACTAGTTTCAATATGACCAGAACTACATCTTCTTTCTCCCAGGAGCTACTTCCAAGTAAACAGACCCTACAAGCCGACGAATATTTTGTATCGGAACTAGTTGCACGATCATCGTTTTTCTGATCACCCTCGTAGCACTAGCTGCACTCCAGGATCCTTCACGTCGTGTACATGGACGATACCACAATTCACGTCCAAATCATGATGAACACGACGCGTCGATAAAGACCAAAGCCGATGAAAGTAGAGCCTCTACTTTTCTTCGTGCTGTTGAATGATTCATTATTTAGTACTGTACTTAGATGATAGAGCAGGAGGACTTTTGGGTTCTTCAGGTTCAGGAATAGGAAGTCGCATTATCAACCCTTCGCCACGACAGTTGTGCCGGTGTCCTGATTTTCCTGGCAACTTTCGGATCACCACAGAGATGAAATGACATTGTTCTTCGTTCATGATAGTAAGGCAGACGACCCTGCTGTTGGATTGTTGTAGGGGATTTTTTCATTGGAGGGCTAGTGCTTTTCTTGCCATCTCCGGCTAGTGCCTGGCCACGTTCCTTCATCTCCTCATTCTCGACTACATAACACCGAAAGTCAAGACTGAACCTCCTTTCCGGAATTGTGGTGCCATTCTCTTCCGACATGCCAATGTCCTTGATGTCGCTTTTCGTTTTCGTTGCGGCTTCTCTATTCCCACACAAACCACTTTGACCAAGATATTGCACCGCAAAATGTCTACAATGCGTCCCATGGAATCTCATACAATCGCCAATCTGTAGCTTGTCAAACGGGTGCCAATCGCCTCGACCAGGTGTACTTTCTGCCCACAAGGTATTCACTCTAGTGGAGGCAGCGTCGCCAATAGGCACCAGCGGCATCCAGAAATTGACTTCCTCTTCGAAATGGCCATAGACGTCATCACTGTGAACTGGTCCTAGATGCAGGTTTCTACGACTACTTGCAGAAGGTATTAACGGTGTAGTTCTACTTGTAGAAGAACATGAGGTAGTTGTACATGAGCTAGATGATGTTGAGGTAGAAGTAGAAGCATCTTGTTGATGTTCACCCAAACTTTTTCCACCCGCTCCTAAATGGAGCTTGCTTGGTCGTGCAGAAGCCGATGGGGTAGAAGTAGAAGCATCTTGTTCACTGGAACCTGAACCTTTGCGACGCAAAACTCCACCCCCTGTTGCTGCGCCAGAAATGCGCAGTGTTGGAGGATATTGGTAGCGCAGCTGAACAATCTCGACCTTCTTCTTAAGAAACTGCTGACTTGCTACACCTCGCCCTCCACCTCCACCGAAGTGGTCCTCCAACAGCATCGGTCCGATGTACTCCTCGATAAAGCGCTCATACAAGCTGCAGAAGTCTTGACAATTCTCCCTCAAGAGGTGCTGGATCCGACCGGGCTTGAGAATGTCGGAGGGAAGGGATATGGTTTCGATAGATGGAGTGGGTGTTGGTGCTGTAGGTACCGGTGTGGACGAAACTCCTTCTTCATTGTTGTTTTGATGTTGCCGTGACGGTGTAGCTGTAGCTGTAGCTGTAGCTGTAGCTGTGGGTGCAGTGCTAGTGCATAGTTCCCGCGCAAGTGTATCAGCGAGCTCTTGCACAAAAGCACTGCTTGTATGGAATTTCTTCTCGATTTTGAGATGTGGTGATAGGCGCTCTTCAGGAGTTTTGAGTTCACTTCCTCGTATTCTTGAAGTAGAACTACTTAAAATTATACCATTCTTCTGGGTCTGTTTGTCTTTGTCGTGCTTTCCGTTCGTTTTCCTCGTTGAACCTGACAATTGACGCTCTACTTCTGCTAGGATGAGTTGTCTGTCTCGCTCTTCTTGCTCGTTTGATGAAGATGTTGCATGATTAGGTGAAGGAGCCGTGGAGATCATCTCTTGATCAACTTGCGGCGTCGAAGTAGAGGCCGTCTGGTCAGGCTCTAATGCCACCTGAACATCTTGATTCTGCAAGCTTGAAGTAGAGGCTGTGGTTTGGTCCTCTTCAGGCTCTAGTGCTGTTCCACATGTTCCAAGTTGTCTTTTTTTCGACGACGCCCCATGATGTGCGTGTCCTCCCTCTTCCCTCTCACCATCATCCCTTCGTTGTTGCTTTTCCATCACGACCAACCGCCTTACCATGACATGGCCACTGCTCTTCTCCCATCTCTGTTCCGCAGTACCAACTAAATGCCAGCGAAATTTTGGAGTACTAAGTAGCGACCCAGCAACTCCTGTGCCCGCTCTCGTAGAAGTAGCACTATTGGCCAATTCAAGCATCTCTTCAGGTGTCCAGCTTCTTCCTGCACCGTCACCATTGACATTATTTGGGAAATGGGGGTAAAGGAACACCAGACGGCCTCTAGGACGTAGTGCTTGCATTGCTGTGGTGAAAAGGGCAGCCAGTGTCGGGTTTTCAAAGATTCCTAGCACTGGAGGGCCTGATGACGTTGTTTGATGGTGGACTGAGCTTCTTGGATGGCCCTGCTGTTGTACTAATTGTTCTCCTTGATGACGTCCTTGCTCTTGAGGTCCTTGTTTTATTCCACCATCAGAGCTTGAACTTCTACCGGCTAAAACAACTCCTTCGCGACGACCGAAAGGAGGGTCACAGACGAGGGCATCGAATTCAAAGGCACTCCTATGATCCGTATTTCCTTTTCCACTTGCTAATATTCTCAGTGGAGACCGTTCCAAGATATTTGCTAGCAGGAAGTCTGTATTTCCACGACAAAGGCTTCTAGAAGTCTTAGATGTGTCGTCTGATGTCGTTGGAAGTAGAGCAGGCGCAGCTACATCAGCAGATACAACCAGTGCCGTCGATTCAATATGTGCGGCTCGGGCAACAGCGCAAGTTCCCGCAAAAGGATCGAAGATGGTATCAATGGTAAGATCCACTCTAGCAGCGTTGAGCATCAAACGAGCAAGTTCTTCGGGAAGGGGTGCCCGGACCGTACGGCCATCGACGGTGGTAGAGGAAGTAGAAGGAGAATGCTGGACGCCATCAGTTGTCGAGGAAGGCGATGCTAGTGGTCGTGGAGACCGTGGGACAGCTTCAGCATCATTTTTGAAGGACAAAGAAGAAGCTGATGAAGGTTTTCTTTCTACTTCAGAAACAGCTGAATCTGTGTCCTCTAATGAATCTTCGACTAAACGCAGCCACTCCATCTTCTCACCCCTAGCTCCTCCTGGGGCGGTGCCCTTGTTCTTCTGCGCCTTTTTGCCTAGTGGAAACCATAAGCCAAGATGGTACAACGCATCTTTCTTGTGGACTTTTTTCTCATCGTCGTCTTTTGAAATAGAATCTGCAGCCTCAGCAGTCTCCTCGGCAACAGCATCCGTATTCGTCGTCTCTGTTGAAGAATTACAACCATGTTGAGTACGAGTCTCAGGAGCATTGTTCTGCTTATCATGCTTTGAAGAACTCCCAAGTTGAGTATCAGCTTCAGCACTTCTCCTTACACTTTCCCACGCTGCCCTTAACAAATCACTTCGCTCTTTCTTCGCTACTAAGCGAGCAACTTGACCTGAGGTGTCGCTTACAGCAGTAATTGTTTTCGGAGGTGTTGTAGCACTCCTTCTCGTCTTGTCATCAGGGTCAATTAAGAAGGTCGAAGCACTACCAGAACTAGAAGAGCGCTCCCATACATCGCAGAAGCCCCTCATTCGAGTCGCAAACTCCGTCAAAGTCGCTTTCGAGCCGAATTCGCATCGCACAGGCTGTCCTAGAGCCCCAAGGCGTGTCCAGCCATCCAGACATTTGGTTTTCCTCAACGCTCCTAACCCTTGACAAGCTAAGGGTATTAAGTCGGCATATTTTTGGCACTTGGAGACAATGACTGCTTGGACGGTCGAGATGGAGCCTGTTCTTGGAAGATCAAGATTGGTGCCTGGATCTTTCGTCGAAGGAGAAGCTCCTGTGACCGTATTTGTTTTCATCGCTGGCTGACCTTTTAAACGACCTGCTAAATCACCACGCTCCGATGTGAAGGAAGCAGAGGTTGAGGGGGTTGCAGCGTCTCGTTCCCGCTCAGGACTTATGTCAGGAGGAGTCCCAGTGCTAAATTCAGGTGCCGCAGGCCATGAATATTGCAACTCACGCGTGAAGAATTTCTTGATGTTTTGGCTCTTTAGTGGTTTCTCCTGCTTTAGTTTTCCGTTGCTAGTAGTAGTCCTAGAAGTTATAACCTCAGCAGGAGCTTCTTGCTCCTCTGACTCCACCCCATCGTCCCCAGCATCATCGTCGTCGTCGTCGTCGTCATCCTCGTCCTCACATCTCAAATATGCATCATGCACGAAATACACCAGGCTAAACCGTTCTCCTGTAAATGGGTAGGTCCCATGTAATTCCCTCGCGTCGAAATCGCACCACCTATTGCGAATATCGATCTTGTGGCCTCCGTCATCTGGTCCGAATAGAGATCCTTTGTCGTGGTCTTGTCGAAGATGTTCATCTTGTCCTTCGTCCTTGTCGGATGCAAAAGGTCTTTTGATCTTCTCTAACCACAATTCACCACCAGCAAAGTCCCCCAAAGCTATAATGCGAGCATTGCCGCGATAATGATTCGAATCTCTATGAGCTTTGGCGGCGTAGTTTTTGTTCACGGTAATGGAGGTAAATGTGAAGAAGTCTTCTTCTTGTTCATCTAATTTTGCTGTTCTTGCTCGTGAAGAGGAGCTTTGTCCTCGTCGAGTTTGTTCTTCTGCACCAAGAAGATCATCATGCGCTCCTCCGGCATCATGATCTCCCACAACGTTTCCTTCCTCGAACGTGACACCATATGGACAAAACCTTGCCAATAATCTCGCGACATTCGGGCATTTTCGACATGTTTGGGACACTGTCGGTCTTCCACCTCGCAGTGTCGTCAGGCCTACGTTCACTGAAAGGACGAACTTCTCACCATCTGGTCGGACGCCCACTCGTTCCGTATTTCTAGGAAATGGCAGTTGGCGTAAAACCGAAAGAACTTGGTCTGGGCTTGGACGTTGTGACGGGCTACTATCAGAATCGTTCAGCTCTTGTTCTTCTAGAATGCGTTTCGCAGTATTGTCTGCGGCCTTGTAAGAGCCGGTGCCGCTCATCCTCTTCGTCGCGGGATCATACAGTAGTAAAGCTCGAGGTCATCTTCTTGCTCATTGTTGAATGATTTAATGCAGATCATACACACAGGGACGATTTGATGAAACTGTTCACGGGCATCAATTATCAGTAAGTAAGATGAAGTACCCATCACTGTGCAATCAAACTACGAACTACATTGTCTACAGCTGAAACTTAGAAGTCGACAAACTCAGAAGTCGGCGATGGTGATGAAGGAGTAGAGGGATCAGCAGCATGCAAGAACAAACCTCCCACATAGTATCCCACATAGACGTACAACTACTAGCCTCATGGTTTTTCAACGTTTTTTCACTGCTAGTTTTGCGCAGCTTCTAGTCAAAATCACGTCAGCAACAAAAATGATCTTTCTGTCGTCTCGAATGTGGCGACAAACGGCAGATCTTCTCCCTCAGTGCAACAAACGTTGCCTTCTCGAAAAATGATCCTTCCGTGGATCCTACGCGACACCAGCAGTACTTTGTATTGTGGTTGTTCTGGTTTCATCAGGATCTTCTGTGCAATGTTGGAAAGAGTTTAGGCTAGGTGAGGTTGGGATCTACCATCCAATGTGGCAGACTTCGACGGCTGCTGAAGAGCCTAGCAAGAAAGATGGAACCTAGATCAGAAAACCTACACAAGAGTTCGCATAAAAGGCAACGTGTCAATATCCAGGAGCACGTCCTCCATGTGACTATGCTCTTCTATCTACTTACTTATGAATTTGAGTCACAATCTCAATCACTGAGAGGATAGGATAGGAGGCGATTCGCCGTCCACAGTTTGACCTGTGTCCTCGGCCGAATATGTGCAGCCAACATTTGATGATTTAGATTATGACTTGATTATGACTTTTAGCACGACATCTTGCTGGTTGCTTCTTTGAAGATAGTCTTTGTCTACCTCCATAATTTCGTTAGTACTAACTTGCATAAGAATAGGATGACACAAAGATAAACGAAATACTGGGACTTGCATTCTTTTTGTGAAGATGAAGACACGAAAAATAACTTTAACTACCCTCCCTTCAGACTACTCCGACGTTTGTTCAGACCTTTACAAGAACCTCAAAAAATAATTCGACTGTTGTAACTTATTGTTCTGGCTAATTTCTATGCACATCAAATCATCCAAAACAAGTTCAAAACAATAAGGTGGAGGGTTTCACGTGCGGCAAATTCATGTTTCTATTCATAGTTTCTGTTCGAGGTCGTCGAACCAGAAAAAAAAGTGCTCAACAACTTTAAAAACTTTTTCTATGCATCAGGATCATGACACGGATAAACATGTTTTAATTTCAGCTACTAGTCAACACTAACACTATGAACATCACATTCTTCATACCCCGAGGAGAGCATTCGCCTTTCCTATTTTCTCTGCCTCACATTCTTCATACCCCGAGGAGAGCATTCGACTTTCCTACTTTCTCTAAAAATTCCTGGACACTCAGACCCTGTTCCTCCAACATTGCTTTTCCGCGTCCTCGAGTGAAGTCCGGGTCGATGAAAATCGCTTGAAGTTCCACGCCCATGTCGTTAGTGCCCCGCGGGACATAGGCATATCCGTTTTTGCCCCAACTAGTACCCCAGCTATTCCTCAAAATCCAGTATTTTCGCGGTGCAGTCGTGGAGGAAGTTGACGCTTTCTTCTTGTCGCTCGCCTCGGTAGCGCCAGAAGACCTAGAGTCTTCTTGTTCTCCTGTTGGAACTCTTCTACTGCTGTGCATACTACTAGCAGATGCAGTAGAGGTAGTGGAGGCAGACATAGACAACTGCTGCTTCATCGTGTCCACCTCGTTCTTCTCGATCAACGACGAAGTTGACGAGGTTGAGGAGCTATGAGCGTGCCTAGCAGTACTCTCAGGATCCTCAGTCGTTTCTCCCCACCCAATCGCAACCACCGCATGATCTACATACTCCCAACCGTTGATGCCTTTCTCTACGACATTCTCAATGTGGATGTTCTTGGCTGTATTAGGGTCCAGGAGAAAGCGCTCGAGGGCTTCGTGACTAGTCGTTCTGGAAGAAGTTCTAGTTGCGTCTTCTTCAGGCAGTTGTAGTCCTTGTTTTGTGTTGTCACCACTTTCGGGAGGTCCATCTCCATGACTGCCAGCAGAAGACCGCATTCGTACTACATTTCCAAGCCCAAAACTATCAAAGGCAGATGACCAGATGTTTGAGGTTTCTGCTTTCGCAACATTTGAAGAACCCGAACCCGTAGTATCTGATGAAGATGAAGTTGAACCTATGGATTTCGCTAGAGTTTTCAGCAGAGTAGTACTAGAGAACGCTTCGTTTTGATGTGGTAGGTTTGCGTCGACAAGCAAGCGACCAGAGATTCTGAGTGTTGAAACTTGCTTGTTCGTACTTCTTGCTACTGCTGCTGAGGATGTTGATGATGCAGATGCTGTTGAGGATGTTGATGCAGAAGTTCCAGCAGAAGACGTATCCAAGAATGAAGAGGCTACACCAGTATTTCTGTCCTCCTCTCCAGCATCTCCAACTTCTACATGTTCACGTTGTTGTTGTTGTTCTCCCCCAACACCTAACAGATGCACATCTCCTTGCTTCGCTGCAGCTGCTACCTCTCGAATTTTCTTCAAGGTATCCTCCGAGGTGGTGGAAAATTTGACTTCCACGAAGCTTCTGTCATTAGAGGCCGCGGCTACAACGCAATTCCAATTAATACTATTACATTCCTCGCTCAGATGAACATCCCTGGTCGTGCTGGTGGCTTCTTTTCTACAGAACTAGGAAAGGAGCCAAGGATCATGGTTTAGTACTTCTTCTGGGGAATGGAATTTACTCCAGTGGGACGAGTGCGCAAGGAATCTTTAGTCTGGGAAGAAACCGCCCTTAATGTCAGCATCAGCGACGTAATGTCCGGTAGTTGGTGTGGTTCCGACAAACTTCTCGAAATTCTCTGAGGACGCATCAATCGCGACAGGCACTGGACCATGCAGCATGATTTCTCGCATCAAACGTGCCTCACTGCACTTGCCGTAGAAGCCACCAACGTAGCCATAATCGGAAGCAAAGAACCGACTCTTTTTCGTACCGGAGTGGGGATTAGAAGCTACTTATAAAGAATCAAGAAAAGCATGTTGAAGCAATATTATGGATGTGCCCGTGCATGAAAAAAATATTACTTTCACCTCCCCGTCGCTTCTACTGTACTAGTCCCGCAACGATTTCGTTTTCGAACCCTTCGGTACTTTTCGAGAATAGTACGGGAAAATGAAGCTGCTGAAACATGATCATAATTTTTGATTACTAAACCTAGAACTAGAAATTGAAAAATCTTCACGCAAATCTTTCATCATTCTCATAATGTAGAACGTCTCGCACGCTTGTCCTCCATGCGCTACATTTCCTGACGTGGGCGCACCAAACTCGACCAAATGCCGACCAATCAATTCGGGGTAACCGCCGTCACAAGCCTGATTGTAGTACGAGCAATGCAAGGGAATTCCGTAGGGCACTGAAACCTTGTTGGCTTTCTTATGTTCTTCGACGGAAGTGGTACCAGAGGACGTGGTAGCTGCAGATGAAGTCGCCATCCCATGTTCACGCTCCTTTGACGTTGACGTAGCAGAAGCATCACGGCCACGCTCTTCTCGTCTGATTAACGATGTAGATGAAGTAGTGGCAGATGGTGCAATTTTGGCTGGTGCTCTCTCTTCATTTCCACCTGCACGAGTGGCTGGAAGCGGTGTACTAGAGGCATTGACAACATGCAGCACAGATGAAGATGAACTCGAAGAGGTACTAGATGCAGCACTCACACTGAGACTTGCCCTACCAGATCCAGCACCTTGTAATTCAAAGCCTCCTTTCAGCAGCATGATGTTAATCCTGGCTTGAAAAGCATACGTCGATGCGATCACATAGCACGACCCACACTGGCCTTGATCGATCGGTTCGTAATCCCACGCTCCGTTTTTGTACTGACGCCAATCGAAAGATTGAGGCAGTTCATGCTCTAGAAGCGAATTCTCACTCCGTCGGTCGAGGTTGCATGCATCTAGTGCGCTGTCGAGATTTTCGTTGGGCACGATGTTCTTAGTGGCCTTACTCTTTTCGTGGAGAGCGATCAAGCTGTTATTTCCACCAAAGACCATGTCGGACAGGACCTCCTCTACTGTGGTAGAGTTGCTGCTGGTCAAGTTCTGTTCTTTAGCCTCATTTATTAGCGGGGATAGGGTTTTGGTGTTGTGTTCGCTTTCGCTTACCCCGATACTTCTAGTGCCCTGCTTTCATCCCCGCATTGAGATTATAAGGAAGGTAAAACTAACTGAGACACGACGAGCGCTCACCTTCACCAACCTAGTTCTTCTTGTAAAACTAATAAATACCTCTACGTACAAGAGCTAGTACCTAGCCTTAAGTCGATTATGGTGTCCGTCAAATTTCCAGCCAAGTCTCTGGTGTAGTTGTAGGCCTGCCTGACCTGCTGAGCAACGTAGTCCTTAGCTGCATCGTACACGTCGCCGTACGCAGTGACGGCGTCAGTGACGATGTTCTTGTGTTCTTGACGCTCACGGTGGCCGCGGTGCTCAAGAGTGCTCCTTTGATCAAGCCTAGACTTAGCCACAGCAAGCAGTCCTTGCTTGACTGCGGCACTCAGCACGTGTGGTAAGGTGAGAGCAGGAGGAAGATGGTGTTGTTCTTGTTGGCGAAGATGGTTGTAGTGTCCACTGGAAGATGCAGATGATGAAAGCAGTTCCCCAATAAGATGTTGTTTTCTATAGATGCGCGAGGACAGGGAGAGAAACGACAAGGGTTTTATCTTCTTCGACAGTGTTGAGCTCTCCTTGGACGTGAAGTCCTTGGAAGTAGATGATGCAAGTGGAACTAGTAGTTGTGCTTGATGTGCCTTCAACATCATTTCATGTCGCTTCCTTCTTTCTTGCCTTCCAGCTTTGAGGACATCTCGTTTGCGCTCAGTCGGTCCTAGCATCACGAGACTTGACACGGCCGCGCGCTGCTCCTCATCCTTCTTCTCTGCCCACCAGCAACCGTATTCGTACTCTGGAGGCTGTTCTAGTTGCTGAGCAGGTTTCTTCACGTGATACCATCCCAGGTTGGTAATGCCGCATTTAGACGCGTACCCAGCTGGAAGTGAGGCGTCTGGTTGGATATTTGCAGACGCGAGTTGACAGTTGCTTTGAGTCCTCTGCACCAAGGAAGAAAGATGGGAAGCGATTTGACGGATCTGGTGCTGATGTCCTCCTTGAAGATTGCCGTTGTTTGCAACTACATGATCATTGCTGAGCAGTTCTTCTTGATGGGAGTCGGGAGCTTGATGCGTCGATTGTGATTGTTGGAGCATCGTACTCGATGACGCAGACGAAGTAGAAGACCACGATGCAGCACTTCCTGCGTGATGAAGATGACGGGTCGAGTTGGTTCCACCACGACCACGACCCTCCATCCCGAGCGATTTCCGCAGCTCGATTAACAATGCAGGGACCAAAGAATTGTAGTTCTGAGCCATATCCATCATCTGTGCTAACGAAGCTGCTGAGGAAGCTATTCTAGAAGCAGAAGTATTCCCATGGTTATCACCACCAAAAAGATACGGCCTCAGCATACTCGCGATGTGTTCGAAGGTAGAAAGCGCTTGTGCTCCAGGGTCTGCGCACTCATAGCCACTGAAGGCGAATAAAGACCTTTCGCCTCCGTCGCTACCAGAGGCACCAGTTGTACTTGCCAAGCGCACTTCCATCCCCTCATCGTAAATAGGGGTCCAACTACCGATGATGTCGGAGGACTGCTTCGCACGCTCTGCTGTTGCGGAATGGACCTGGACGATATTTTGGCTTTCAAACCTTGTGACGATCACCGCGACGCGGTTTACGGAAGAGTAGAATGGATTCTGAGTGAGTCGTGAATGAATCTAGTACCCACTTCTCCAGGGGTATGTCAGAGCCCTCCTAAATATATAATGTTATAATTGACTACCAACGTCGCCGAAGTGAATTGTGCACTCGAAGTCGACGAAGCTGCTCGTCCCACTGTTTTGACCAACAATTTGTGTGTCAGAAATGAAGAAGTAGAACCCGCGCCAGTACTAGATAAGCTACTAGAGGAGGAGCTCGAGCTACCGGATGAGAAGCTAGTACCACTACCATCTACACTTCTATGCTCCACCTCTGCCGTCTCTTCGTCCGTCAACAAAACCTCCATGCTACTTGACGAATGAAGTTGGCTCTTCCAATGATCTCTACCTTTTTTCAAGAGTTTTAGATTCTCCTGATTCGTATTAGGTGTTTGATGGAGACATTAGAGTGTGCTCGAATCCATCTCCTCGATTCCCCCGTGTGATCTTGGTACCTTTTCCCTTGTATTCTTCTATCTCTATGGGAACAAAAGGATACCGATACCAAGAACCAACATTATTCTGAGAGTTGATGGAAAGAAGTTGAGGACCATAAAGACAGAATTCATGACCCATTTTGACAGAGTCTGCAGGTTGTGGTGGCGTAAAATGAAAGATCCAATGACCTTTCATGTCCTCCAGAAGGCAGTGGACTGGCAAATCCGCCAGTGCTGGTCTGATACAACTACAGGATGATAGTAGCAGTAGTAGGGTGTAAGAGCCCAGTATGCGAAGGCACGTCGAGCAGAGGGAGGAGCTGTCGAGCAGGCTCCGCGTCCGCGCATGAGGCGCGCCATGCGTCTTCATATGTGCTTTTGTGCGCGTCATTTTGCTACTTGTATAAGAACGAAAATGGGCCATGCTCATGCATCGAAGAAAGCTGAAAGTCGATGAAATAGAAATTGCAACTATGCTGTTTCGGCGGTGACGGTGTGTTCGCGACGTCTAGAAAAAAGAAAGACCAGAGGAAGATAGAAAAGAGAAAAGGGTAATATTAGTCATCAAGTATACTCCTATCTGCTAAAAGGACAAGAGTTGATAACGGTTTTAGCCAATGACAACAGATGGAACTGGTGGGGAAGAGGCGGGGGTCCTCGAGGCACTTCTTTTGAAAAACATCGACAGTAGTACGAGAGGCTTAATAGTGCTAGTCGGATGATCGACGTTAGCGCCTTGTAGGCTGGTGAATAAGAGATCATGATCAGCATTGCATTGCTCTGGTATTCAGTAACCTGATTTTGAAGATCCTAAGGGAAAAGAAGAAGAGAATCCTTGTGATCAAATTCAGGTTACCAAATGCCAGAGCCATACAAACATGACAACTACGCGTCTCACTCTTACGCCAAACTATAACAACAGACCATTTGAAATCAGCTTTTGTCGACTAGATCCTTGTCTCTGAGTTTGACTACATGGGAAGCACAGGCGAAACCGAAGGTGGGAAAAATAGGCGTCGTCGACGTCACGGAACATTGCAGACCGATATCAACGACATCAACGAGTACGATAGGAAGGAGGAGGGGCCCAGGTAGTTGAGAGACGAGAGACGTCGCACCAGCGCCATACATGAACCGAGACAGCGCGACGATGTAAATCCATCCAGAGATCTGCCTAAGATTTCCCTGCCGACTTCTACCCGCTAATCTAGCATAATTTCATTCACAGATTTCTTCCACCGAATGCACAAGCCGTCCAGATGTCAACCGTCCAGATGTCAACGTTTTTTCCTGAGAAAACCACAAGAACACATCATATCCGCGTCCGCAGCTGTATTTTTCGAGCAGTATTAACAGCTCGTTGGCTTTGTGAATTTTGTCATTTGTTTGGTCCCCCTTGTGCAGTTGTATCATTGAAAATTATAGGAAATGTACTCTTTCGGAGGTGGATATTGCTAAGGCGAAGATCATATTGTTAACACATAAAAGTTTCAAATGGACGATCGCATTGATCGTTCATGAGCGTCGATACGAATTTTTGCACCTGCTAAATACCTAACACTGCGTTCATCATCAAGACGAAGAAGACTCTACAACTTCAAGTTCTTCTACGAGGCTTCATCTTCCTTCAGAGTTCTTCATCATCAGACATCTCCTCCTCCTCTTCTTCCTCCTCTTCTTCCTCATCGTCCATGTCGACTTCCATGTCTTCGTCATCTTCTGATGAATCTTCTCCCTCAACAGCGGGATGTCCCTTTCCAGCCATATCGCAGTCGTCGTCCTCCTCAGCCAAGCCAAAAGGTTCTGGACCTCCACAGACAATGCTAACTCCGTCTTCCGCTACTGGACATTTGAGAGGGAAATACTCTGTTTCCTGGCCTAGAGATCTTCCCTTGGCGTGCAACACACTCTTGAGATCGACAGAGCCACTGATGCTGCCAGCCGAGAGGTTGGCGATAGAGGCAGTAGCCGCTGCTTCGATTGAGAGAAGGCCACTAATTGGTGTGGTTTTACCCCAAGAAGAGATAGCTTCGATTTCTGCTTTCTGTTCGCTGTAGAGAGTCGCCAGTTGTTGAGGTGAGAACAAAGTGGACTTGTTTTTCTTAGAAGAAGATGTCTCCCTTTGGCCTTCCTGTTCTGTTGAAGAAGTTGTACTAGCCACTGGTGATCCTGGGACTTGACTGAAGAAGCTAAAACCGTTGAATTTCTTGAGGATAAACCTTGCAGCATCCAGCGGGCCACCCTGGAGGTTGTTCTCCTTCTCTATCTTCTTCAGCAGCTCGGTTACGTCCTGAGAGATTTTTGGAGGAAATAGCGGAGGAAAACGATGAAGTAGCAGTAGGGTCCTAAGGGTTTTCGCTTGCAGAAGATGCAGCTCGTAGAACAAACATTCACTGATGTAGTTGTGTTTTGAAAATTTCATTCCTTCGTGATATTAAGTTGAAGAAGAGTAAAAACGTTTCGGAGAAGAATCAGATGAATTCCAAATCAAAAGTAGTTCTCGGCACAACTAATAAATGAAGATCACGAGTATCAGAAGTATGTAGAAGTACCTCAAACTGTGGCAACGCGAGTTTCAGCACTAAATCCTTCTTGGTCACAAGTCGCTCTAGCAGTCGCTTCAAGGCGAACAGAGGTCGCTTGGCCGCTTGCGGCTTTTTTCCGAAGAGCAAGTCGTACGCCGCTGACTCCGAGGATATTGACGTGGAGGATGTCGCTTCTTCTCCTGCCGCTGGCTCAATTTCGTTCTCGTCGATGATACTGGCACACGTTAGCTTCACTTTTTTGTTCAGGTTCATCTGCGGCGACTTCAGGTAGCCCATCACGGTGTGCTTACCCACTCCCGGATAACCGACAACAGCGACATTGCGGCATGCGTTGAAGGATTGCGACATCAACGTTGACAACTGCCGAAATCCGACTGGGCGGACGAAGCGGGTAGTTCTTTTGGCCTGAAAAACCTGGCCCTCGGATTGCAACTCAGCCTTCCCTTCGGACTTTTTGCCTCCGTCGGAACCCGGTCGGATCAGCTTACCTGCTTCTTCGTTGCTGGCCCGCTTCATCATGGACAGCACTACATTGCTTCCATTTGATCGCAAATAGTCCAACCACTGTTGCAGATTTTCTTTCGGAACAAGGTCTCCTTTTGTGAGAATAGTCACCTTATTTCCCTTGCCAGCGAGCTGTTGTGGTCGTGAGGAGGTTAGATAATTAGTATGGATTGTCGATGTGATTGTCGATGTGATTGGCAAAAAACAAGACGAGGACTAAGATTCTAAATTTTGCTACAGGAGATTGTTATCAAAACTATTCTTGCTAAAAACAAAAAGTACGTTTTCAACGGCCATGCAGCGAGTAGCGAACGGGTCACGTGCGTCGATGACCTGAACAATCAAGTCTGCGTGATGAAGGGTCTGCTCGATCGAGTTCACTGGGCGCGTTGGCGCAGCTGCCGCTTTCTTCTTCTTTTTATTCAGGAGTTCCTGTTGGTGTTGATGAAGACTTAGGTTTTTGTACCAATTACTTCATTATCTTCATCTTCATGCCCACAAATCTGAATATATAAGTATAGTACCTTCTAGGGGTTGAGGTTTAGGTCCAGCGGCGCTCAAAGCACTAAATAAAACAACCGGTTCGTTTTTACCTCTAGCGTTTAGCCCTTCCAAACAATATATAAGTATAGTACCTTCCTCTTCCTTGCGTTCAATTCCTTTTGTTTCGCCTGTTCTGCTTCGCGACGCTCTTGCCTGGCCTTCATGTCTGCCAACTCCTCATTCTTAAATGGCCACAATGAGGGCACAGTCATCTTCTCTTTTCTCCGCTTGATTTGGACACCGGCTTGCAGAGCTTTACGCGCTTCCTTGCGCAGCTTCCTCTTCTTCTCCGTGGCCTTCTTCGTGATTTTGTGTTGCACCTTCAGCGACTTGCGCTTTGAGGTGTTCTTCTTGCCGCGGACCTTCATTCTGGGCGATGATTGATGTTACAATTAGTAGTCTTGTTAAAATTATGAATTGTTACAACTTATAGCGGTAATGCGTGGAAATGCTGGTAGTGGTACCGAACGAGGTAGTGGTACTCGGGAAATTTCTTCAATCGAAAAATTTATCGATCAATTGAATACAACTTACCCTTGAATACTTGCAAATGACCCAGCTTCAGTGCAAATACTAGCCGATAATAGCGGCGTACTTAAACCACCCCTGTGAAAGAAAAGAAAAAGATAATGTGGCTGCACGATGAATTATTATAAGAATAAATGGAATCTATACATAGAAATGGAGCTTCGTGTCTGGGTTGTAAGGAGCCTCCTCCATACTATCACGATACCATCATCCATGCGAGGATCTCAACAATGCGATCGTCCTGAGCTGGATCGTTCCACTGTTAAGATCACTTCTTTGAGGATCTCAACAATCTATCACATTCATAGGGGATCTACTAAAAATTGTATGTCGAAGATTGTGATCAGAGTCTTTTATGGATCATGAGATTGGAAGTAATCATGGGAGCAGCCGAACAGTGCTAGTACTTTTGGTCGTCTACTTCTCGAAGATAGTCCACGAGGAGAGCCCGCCTCCCGAGACCTCCGCTCTAGAATGCTGAGCATGTTTGACCTGACAATGACATCCTCAATCTTTTGTATCAGGAATCAGCATGGGAACCCCTAGACCTAGTGCAGGGCTGGAAAACGGTAAAGTTTTTGATGAGAAGATAGATGAATGGGGTGATTTATTGCTGTGCATAAAAAGGTGTGCGTTATCCAAGGAAGTCCAATCAGATGTTACATTCGCTTTCGCCTGTTCATTTTTTTCATAATGCAACGAAATAAAAATCATGTCTGTCCAAAACGAAGTATAAACAAGTGTACTGTTACTCGTCCAGGTTCATTCAATCGAGGATCAATCAATGAATCAGTCAAATGCTCGCATGAAGGTCTGCGTTGACTCCACAGAGTGGGCAATGTTGAAGCTGAGTTTTTACAACGAGAAAAAGCAGAATACAGCGAAAGTGAGAGAATGAAGCTATTTTTAACGATGATGAATATAAACTAGTAAACGAAGTTACTAACTGAGATCGTCTAACCAGCCAGTCATCAGAACGTCCGACAGTTGATCCAGACCTTGATGAGCAGTGACCACGTCCGTCACTTTCCAGCGTACAATGCCCCAGGAAAGGCACTCTCTGCGACGCAGCCGCTGTTCTACAACTGAGTGTAGTATGCCATCGCCACAGGGATCTTCATTGAACGTGATTGATCATCTTCTAGGTGCGTGATTGATCATCTAGGTGCCATGGGAAGTTCTAGGTGCCATGGGAAGTCGCCACCAATGAATTCGATAGAAGAAGAGTTGCCACCAGATGTTGAGACAGAAGAAGGCGATGTGCGGGATCCGACTCGTTCCTTACAAGAAACCTCGCAAGAATCCTTGTCGCAGCTCGACGACTCCCTCATACTTTTTAATGCCTGCTTCGCCATATAGCCTCCCGCTGCCGCGCCAGCCAATACCGGCAAAAACGACGACACATCACGGGAAAACCATCTCCAGTAAAAGATTCGGTCGCGATGCTCAATGTGCCGGATAATGCACTCTAACTCCTCTAGGAACTCTGCTTCATCATCCACGGAAGCTGACGCACTTCCACTATTCGCACTTTTCCCAGAAGCACTGCGCGCGTTCATCCCACGACCACGCTTAAGCAATTCGCGCTTTACAACCTCTGGAGGTTGGGTCCGTACTAATTGCTCGACAGACATGCGCCCCGGCTGCCAGCAATGGACAACAGGGTCGCAAGAATAAACGTTTTTAACCCGCCTTTCAGAAGTTTCAGAGGACGACTGCGATTTCATCTCGTTCATCTGCATCTCCACGCCTTGAATATACTTTTTCACTGCATCTACACGAGTACGTAGCATCGGATCCATGCGCTGGCTCTTCGGAGAGTGACTAGTTGACATCAAAGTGGATGTAGTAGAAGATAGAGGGACATCTACTACATCCATCTTTTTTCCAACAACACCATGAGGGGTTGTCGAGAAGAAGCGGCCCTGCTTGTTGCCCGGAAAAGTTACGCTAGAGCTGGCACGACGGGCGGCGGCAGCTTGGCGCCCGAGCTGAAAACACTTGAAAGAGTTCTTCATCTTTCTGTCGAGGTTTTTTACTGCTTCTGCTTCTTGTTGTACTGAACTTAGTAGTTGTTAGAAGACGAGACGAGAACGAGGACAGAAACACTCTTTACACGATTATAAGTTCGCGTTTGTTGTAAGCTGCTCACTGCATTGTAATTGGTGAGTGTGAGGATTGCAGATATTGCGTCAATCGAACTTCACAATTGTTCCTTCGGCAAAGCGAGAACTGGATCTTCGTAAGCTGTGAGATCTTCATCGTTTGGTGTAGAACTTCTTCTTGGGATCAAGTTTGAATGATCGTGGTTGTGGTCGTGGATCTTGTATGTCATCAATATTCAGTTTCTTCAGTCGTGGGATCAATCTTACAAGAAACGTCAAGATCTCGTTCTCGATTTTTCTTTATCGAGGGTAGTCGATGAAGCCTTCATCGTGCTAATTCGCGCGAAAATACGAGTTCTCAGTTTCCTTTTTGTTCCGTTAGAACCCACGACATAAATCTTATCATGATATTAGGATTAGCCAGAACTACGACGTTTTTATACCCACGATATAAATCTTATGATATTAGGATTACCCAGAACTACGACGTTTTTACAAATATTCAGGATTTTGTTTTTCAAGTTCAACGAGTCCAATTGCTACGTTTGTTGCGATCATGATGATCTTAAAAATCTTTCAAAAAATATTTGCTATAACAAGTTGAACTATTCAAAATCTGTAATTCTGCTTCCAAGGCATGTCTTCGTTCTTGTGGGTTATTGACCTCAGCGATCGGAATTTCTAGTTGTACAGGAGCCTGCGGGCTGCGGCTGAGAAGTGGTAGTGGTACCAAAAATTTGTTTCAAAATCCCGAATCAGATGAAAGTAGGCTGCTTTCACGCAAAAATGCCAAGTTGCTGCAAAAGTATCGGTAGTACCCACGACGGACCCCGCCTTCTATGATATTAATGTCTATCATCTAAAAAACATTTCTCTTTCACTTGAATGCAGCCTCTGAGGTACGGGATCCTGATGATTGAGTACCGCCTAAAGATGATTGAATACAGCCTCAGATGTACGTGATCCTGATACATCAACCGAGTCAGTCACTTGTTGCTCTGGAGCTCTTCCTTCATCGCGGCAGAAACAGTAGTTGAAATAAGTCCACCACTTGTAGTTGAAATGAGTCCACCACCATTTTTAGAGGTTGTTCACAAGTCCACCACTTGAGCAAACGAGTGTCCCACCATTAGAGGTTGTTCTTACGGATGTAATTCAGAAGCCCTTAACACTAAGTCCACCACCACCTGCGTACTCCACGCCTGGAGAAGGTGCCGCGGTCGTTCCTGCAGGGCTTAGACCTTGCCTTTCCTCAAATCTTGACAGTCAGTGTATGGTTTCCGGTCTTTGGTATAGCCTGAGTTTGATCATAAGGGAAAACAAGGAGAGAACCCTTGTGATCAAATTCAGGCTATACCAAAGACCGGATGAACCATTCAGAGGACAGGCATCTTGTCATTCTCCTTGAAAAACAAGACTACAAAGATGCTTCTTAAGATGAATTAGTTGCTTTAGGGGAAGCCTTAAAGAGGAAGAGGAAGTCGTGTTCTGCAACAACGTGTTCGTGTTCGTGGAAGTTGTAGTCGTGGCAGTACTACAACTTGCTCCACCTCCTAGGTCACTTCCTAGATGTGGAGCAGTAGCTGTTGTGGAGGATGCTGGTGTCGTTGTTGGACTTAGGCCAGGACCTAGAACGACGCTTTCTTTTTGTATGAATGCTGATGGACGAGATGATGTGACAGCGGGAGCGAGAGAAACTGCTGTTGATCGTGCACTTTGCACGACAACTGGTCCTACACCAGGTTGCGCGGCTGGTGACACCGCCCTAGAGGACGTCACGACACCACCACCAGACGGGGTACAACTTGTACTACTAGATACAACAGAGGACCCAGAGGCACAAGCAGAATTAGTATTTTTAAAAGGAGCCTCCGCTAACATCACTGTATTAGCAGTCGTGGCATCTGTTGTTGCCATTTCTCCCTGTCCCTGTTGTGCCTCACGAACTGCTCCAGGCACACTACCAGTTCTATTTCTTCCCGGGTGAGCAAGAGGCTGCTGTTGATGCGCTGCTGCATGTGCTGGTCGATCATTCAAAAGCGCGCCACCTCTCAAAATTAGCTTTCACTTCTATCTCTGGGTCTGGACCCCTTTTTTAATACTTCTACCCTTGTTATAATAGTGAGATGGACCGTGGAAGACCAAAGGCTAGAATATCTTTTCAGACGAGTAACATCTATCAGAGCCTAGAACTCAGAACATGCGGAGCCGAGAAGACTGCTAATATAATAGTTGCAACTTATAGGAACAATTATACAGAGCAAAAGGGTCCAACTACGCGCTGAGAAGGATGGATAAAAGCTGACCATAACAAAACTTCAGTTTGCTGTACGAATCCTCTAGCCTGCGACAGGGCTTTCGAGGTGGTTGTAGCTATACCGGGATGAACATTATGATGAGGGTGATCTGCGAGACCAGGCACAGCTCCTGCGGTCATTGGCAGCTGTGGTACCTCAGTACTTCTAGAAGTTGTACTAGTGGTTGCACCCGCCCTGTAAAAATTGCTATTATCATTTGTTGTCCCCGTATTGTTATTCTTCATTTGTTCTTCATCCAGCTCTAAGCGATCTTGATATCTACAGATTGCATCTAACAGTTCGTGTATGGGCAGTTTGAAGGATAGACCTAGATTCAAAACTGGTTTGTCGTTCGCAGACCAGCCAATACTACTTGGAGTTGACTGCACGAAGGTCTGAATATGCGTCAATGGAGGCTCTTGGAGAGATCCCGGGAGAGAAGTAACAGGGCCGCGAGATGAATGTTGCTGCTGAGGATGCTGCTGAGGATGTTGATCAGTAGAATGCTGATGATGATGTGGGGGATGTCGAACAACCTGAGGCTGACGGTAGACCTGCTGCGAAGTGGACGAACGAGGATATTGTGGCGGTGGCGGATAGCTACTGCTCTGCTTAGAGCTCACCCTTAATATCCATCCTAAGACGTCGCATCTTGAAGATGCGTCTCTCTCGCCCTTTTGGAGATGAACAGCTTCAAGATGCTTGCCTCTGCCAATGGATAAGAAGTACTTGGGGGAACAACAAGCCGTAATACTCGTAAGAGGCGCACCTGTGCCGGAAACAGGAGCACCTCCAGAAGGCAGTCCCGCGCCAGAAGAAGAACGTGCTCCTGTTGATATTACCCCTCCCCCCCGACTAAAAATGTTAGAAACCGAACAATATCTACTGTAAGACACGGGAGGTGGGTTCTGTCCTTGTCCTTGTCCACCCACCTGTTGAGGAAAAGATCTCGTAGGGTGCAAGGCAGTGGTTGGAACGGCATGCTGAGCAGCCTGAGAAGCAAGAGGATGTTGCTGATGATAAACAACAGGCACAACGCCTTGATGGGTAGCTGCTGGGTTCATCATTTTTCCACCCCCTGGTCCTCCGACCACTGCAGTCGTAGTCGTGGTTGTTGGAGCACCTCCAGCAGTTCCGTTAGGTGCAGGAGCTGCAGGCGCAGGTGGATGCGACGAGGTGGTGGACGAACTGTTATTATACACTACAAAATTATGGACTTGGGCGTTGCTTTTTCCATCTACTTAGGCAGACGATGCATCCTGGCAGTTTGTCCCCTTGAAATGAGTGCCCTTGAAATGAGTGCAGTAGCGATGGAAAAAACATCATCCGTAAAAATGCTGCTGAGCGGCCTGAGACACTTTTGGAGGATCACCAGGAGTTCCTAGAACCGGCGAAGGCGGTAAGGCCTCAAGTAGGACAGACGGAAAAGGCTCAACCGACTCTGGAGGAGGTGCGGGGCTTCTAGTCGTGCTTTCACGCTCAGCCGCATCGGATCCAGAATTGTTGGGCAACATGATTTTCTTAGACAACTCAGAGGGTAGATCTTTGTTGAAACAAGCTTTGAAGCTCAGTAGCTTTGATCTTTGCTGAAATAAGCTTTGCTGAAATAAGCTTTGCTGAAATAAGCTTTGCTGAAATAAGCTTTGTTGAAATAAGCTCTGATCTTTGTTGAAATAAGCTTTGTCTTTGATCTTTGTTGAAATAAGATTCTCTTAGACTCAGTAGTTGTGGATGACAGGAGGTTCCACACCTACTTACAGCTTCTTTGATAACAGCAATGGCTCTAATTGCGACTTCATCTATTTTGTCGTGAGAGAATTCAGATTTCGGTTTTTTATAAGCCTGAACTGTGCGGCAGAATTGCCATTTGCGTTCCACTCATCTTTATTTGGCGTGCCTGCTGTGGATGCAAGACTATTTTTCGTTCTCGCGCAGCGTCTAGTACGAGACAGAGGACGAGACAGTCAGTTTATGATCTGTGACAAGGGCTGCTACCGACTTCTCTCAAGTTACAGAAGTTGCACTCCAGAGTCAGGCACAGAGGGTACACTCTCGCTCGCTAGGAGTTTCGACTTCAACATGAATAGACCACGGTAAGCGAAGCAATAGTACAGTCAGAGACATCGTCCTCGGTGTTGGAAAGTGTATCGTATTACAACGTGGTCAATTTTTGCAGCAATCTGTGTCCGTGCTCCCGTCGTATCAAAGCGATTTTACAGCGATAGCATGTGAAAACCCAGTTGATGGATCTAAAATTGTGTCCTCGTTGTGGTCGTCCGCTGATGTAATTATACAGTGACTACAGCGGCAACACTTCTTCCCTACACGTTCCGTCCTCCTCGTCCAAAAACACATCATAGCCGAACAACTTCGCTGCTGCGGAGAGTTCCCGAGCCTTCCTACCAACAGAGTGCCATTTTCGACAATCGTTTTCAGAGAAGAGCTGTTTCAACGGCTTTCCGTGTCCCCATCCTCTTGGCTGCAGTTGAATCCCCGCTGCGTGTTGGAATGACTCGCTTCTTCTCGCCAATTCAGGCGTTATTATGCGTAAACGCTTACGGAAAGCCTCAATGGGGTCATGGAAACGGGTGGAGCGGAGGGCTTGGAAGGGTACCTCATGGGTAGTTAAGAATGGTTCATCTTCGTATGTTTGCACAGAAGTGGGCGGTACGCCTTCATGGGTAGTTAAGGATGATTTTAATCGGTCGTGATCGTGTGTTTGTGCAGACGTAGGGTCTTGTTCCACTGTTGTTTCTCTAGATACACTTGAAATCGTGCTATATCCAAGCCTGCGGATACGGTGATCTATCCCAGAAGATGAAGATGAATTCGATCTGAGGAGCCCAAGAGCATTGGCTAGAGCGAAGATCGTGTCGGACGGCGAACGACGGAAATCCTCATACCGAATCACGTTGATCGTATTCTCTGGTGGTATCTCAACGTAGTTGTAGTTGTTGCTCTGGTCCTCCACATCATTTTCCGTCTTCACGTTTATGTCGTTGATCTGTACTAGTTTTACGTTATCAGCAAGCTGAAACAACGAAGATGTAGATGATCCTACTTCTTCCGCGTTCTTCTCGTGGTAGTTCATCCCATAAGTCGAGGATGAGCTGGTTCTTGCGAGTTTCAGCATCGGCCTTACAAATTGCATCCATCGTCCTAGAAAGGCAGAGAGACAACTATAGAGCGGTTTTTCCGCAACACCTGCATGCATGTGTTCTTCGGCTCCCTCTTGAACCAAGTCATACAGCACACTCGTCCTGGACTCATTCGCGATGTTGCGCCAAGCTGGATGGTAAACAGCATTGACCATATCCTGATAGCTACGGCAATTCAGAGGTTGTGAGGTGTCTACTCCCAGATGTTAGAGATGCGTAAATGTAAATTATGAAGAGTTGTAGTATTTCAAAGGGAAGAAGATTCTGTAGTATTTCTTAGAAGCTGTGCTACCGCTTTATCGCATCTTCCTCTTCCTCTTTGAGAGTAACTCTATTACGATTAGTACCCCTGGAGGAGGATGAAGGTGCTTCTTTTCCGACAAGTTGTATGGTTCTGGTATTTGGTAACCTGAGTTCGATCCTAAGGGTTCTCTTCTTGTTTTCCCTTAGGATCAAATTCAGGTTACTAAATACCAGAACCATTCACAAGTAGAAAAAGAAGCATTTGTTCGATTTCCAAGTAAAAAGAAAATATCCAAGGATTTTTATGTTTTTATGAGGACATGCTTGGCTTCTTCTCCAAGTGGAAAAAGATTAACCAAGGATGAGGATCATCATGGTATTAGGAACACACATGCTTCAGCGGTTGTGGCCTTAAATGTGACGTCTTGCAAACTTCTGTACGAAATTGTTCCATTTTATCCTCCCCTGCGTTTCCAAGTCAAAGCGGAGTTGGACATCCCGCAAATCGTACTGGGACATCAAAGCAACTTGAGACTTCTTTTTCAGCGTACGGTGCTCTGCTAGGATGTCGATGACTTGTACTTCACTGGACGGAGAAGGTGTCTGCTCCCGGTTGTGGTTATTCTTGGTATTCTTGTTGTCCTCTTGAGCATCTTGATGTTGAAGATTATCCTCATCATCTGAAGTAGATGCTCTTGTCCTCGAAGTTGTCCCAGTGGTCGCTTTCTTTGATACTAATTCTAGTTGTTGTTCTTGTTGTTTCATCCGCATACTTTTTCTCCTATCTTCCTCCTCATCTGCTATCCTCAACAGCTCTTTTTGTCTTTTCAGACGACCGGGATTAGAGCTACCGCGATCGCATCTCCCTTGAGAGTCATATCCTTGGAAGCTTCTGTTTTTTTCCCAGTAGAAAAAGAAGAACCAAGCAAGGACACAACTAGCCTTAACAGGGTCTACCCTGACAGATAAGAGCGCTTCATCAGGGATCTCCACGTCAAAGACGCCAGGTCTTGCCCAGCCTGCCTCCAGAACCGCAACTTGTCTGCTCAAATCGGTTTTCGATACAAATTCTTGGTAGAGGGGGAATGAAAGGTGCAGGACGAGGGTCGCGCTATTATAGAGAGCAGGTTGAAAGGTTGAAAGATTGGAATTCATCAGAATATGATCCCTATTGTATATATTTAATGTGATGAAAATCATCGACAAGAAAATGAAGAAATATTGTGCTTGTCCTCGAAAATATTGTGCTTGTCGACAAAAAACTGATGATCGTCGACATTGATGCATTGGATTTGTCTACTACTATTTAGTCCATCTCCGTGTGTCGTAAATCAAACGCATTATCGTGCAGCTGAAGCGTCATCAGCGTTCCAGCCATAGAGTCTCGATTTCTTCCGACCTCGAGTCCAAGATGCGCCAGTCTATCCAATATCGACCTTGCATTCTGCATGGGCGCGCGAATGACCATATAGAAACGTGTGAATGGACACACTTTTCGAAATATCTCGAAATGGGGTAGGATGGAGGGAACTTTGAGAATCCGCAGAAGAGGTCCGCGACCTCGATGTTCATGTTGGGTAGGCGTAGCAGGAGTAGCAGAAGGAGCTATTAATCGTGGTGTTTCACTTTGAGTTTGACGAGATAAGGAGGAGGTTTTGAAAAACCTCCTAGTGGAAGAGGAAAAAAGTTTCTTGCTCCTTTTGCTTGCGGTTCTTTCGTTAATGTCGTCGTTTTTTGCACGTGCAGGCACCAGAACGTCATAATCTGCTTCAAGACGTTGATGCGATCTTTTTTGTGTAGTTTTTGTCACTTCGTGTTTCGTAGCAGCTTCATCACCGTGTTCGTGTTTCCACCTGGTATCTCCTTCTACATCATTTTTATCATCTTTCTCCACATTCTCCAAAGAACTAACAAGGGCAGCTTCCTCTTCCTCAACCTTTGCCAATAGTTGTTTGCCCGCAGTTTTTTTGATCGCGATCCCACTTTCAGCCTGACGCAACCGCGCACACACTTCCCAAGTGGATAAAGTTAGAGGTAGTTTTTCACTATCCCGACTCGAATAGGCGGTTGCCCTCTTTGCCCTTTAGTTTCTTTCCCCTTCAAGAAATCAAAGGAGGGGACTCCACTCAGCACCGTCCTCATGAGATAGTGATACCCTACCCCTAATAGAGGTTGAGAATCGTTTCGACCCCTATGAGCGCGTATGAAATCGATCTCCGGAGTGTCGATGGACAGCAGCATAGAATCAGGGGAAGCGCCACCTACTTCCTGCAACAAAAAACGGAAGTTAGAAGTAAAACTAGGGGCGAAGGGGGGCGAAGAGAAACAACTTGGCCATCAAAGGCAAACTTTCAAATTCATCATATGAAAGTCCTAGAGTCATTTTTCTTTGACCTGTTAGAGTTACTGTTTTCTTGCCCTTGAAGTTGCGGAATAGGAAACCAAAGAAGCAACTAGCCTTAAGTAAGGCGTGTGCGATCGCTGTTGTGCCGGTTTTCTGATTTCCTAGACCAATCACGTGAGGACAGAAACGGCAGATGTATTCTTGGTCGTGGAGAGCGGAGGATAACATTTTCGGAGATAAATCTTCTTCTGATTCCAGACCCGATAGCATTTTCGGAGATGAATCTTCGCCTACTGATTCCAGATCAGCACGTTGTCGTGGTCCGGCATGCACGCCCTCTGTTCGAGCATGCTGCTGTTGCTGATGCACGCCCTTTGTTCGAGCATGTTGCTGTTGCTGATCCTCTTCTTTGACACTGAAAAACTCGAAAGCCGCAGTTTCTTCCTCTTCTTGCGTTGATGCCATATCAGCACTTCTGGTCCCACCTCCTGAAGGCTCAAGCTCTTTTCTTGCCGCAGCGAAGAACGGATGGACGTGGTTGCAGCTTTCATTTCTTTGTTCGTTGCAGTCTAGTTCTGGTTTTCTTGTCTTGTCAACAAGAAGTGACGACAACCAGGAGCTGCACAAAACAAGATGCAAGACCACACAACTTCTCACGCTACTTCTATCGCTTGTTCTTGCCCACCTAACTGAAAGATACTCCATAGTTAGTCGATGCAAACCTTCCCAAGGTAGTGCCGAAACTAACGAGAACACTAGCAATTAAAGAAATGCGCACGGACTCATCAACTGAAGGACTTTTCACTCTCGACATCTCTCTGATACTGATTCTCTCTACAAATTATTCGTTACAGTGCCGGTAGCATGGTGCTTAGTCAATCTAGGTTGTCCTCGACACTTCACAGACATATACCTCGGTGGTGGAACACGACTCCCTAGATCTGTGGTCGAGGTTCTGCACCAAAAAAATCTACTTACTACTTGTTCATGCGAAACTACTGCTCAACATCTACTTCCTGTAGCCAGTGATGCTGTTTTCAACTGATTTCTTGGAATCACACATGATCAGTGAGAAAAACGAAGAATTTTTCAATGCATCCACTGCAGAATCTGCTGTGGAAGGTGCAGTTTCATCAATGCATCCACTGCACCACCTGCAAAATGTACAGAGCAAAGGCCGTACAGGCGACTTTCGAAGCCCCTTCGTAGCTCTCCAGGTCAACGTACACCTCAAATCCTCCCGTTTGATAGACCTTGATTTTGCGGCGTCGCTGTAAGGTAATGTTAGCATTGTTAACATGTGTGGTGTAAGACCCAAGAACTTGGTAGTTGCATGATCCTTGATGAAGGCATCGTGCTGGACCCTTTTGACGTAAGTATTCAAAAAATGGAGAACCCGAGATCGATCATGATGCCGATTTTGATAAATGCAATTGCAATAGCCTTAACAACGGGCAACTCGTCTAAAACTCTTTGGTCCATGAAGCCAAGTTCGTCAAGCAAAAGACTCACAGCTTCCTCCCCGAGCACAGTGGTCCGTTTTAGTTCGGAGGGATTAGACGAAGAAGAAGCATGATCAAGACATAGTAAGCAGGAGACGGAGTATGACTATGAGTAAAAAGAGTTAGAAAAAAGGAAAAACATCAATAGTAAGGAGAAGGAGGGAGTAGAATGAAAAACAGAGAGCATTTTCATTTTGATTTTCAATTTCAAGTGGTCATGATTGTAATGCATGTTAATGGAGGAGAGGTTAGAAAACTTATAGTTTGGCGAGGCTCGTAGACACGATCTTCAAGGAGAGTAGCATAACTGGATCCGTTTTCACCGCTGCAGGCCCCAGCCCCATCGCTGACGTGGTTGTACTGACCTCACCGCTCGCATCCGATTCTGCCCATGCTCTTTCTGCATCCTCGTCTCTGTGCTGATCTCACGTTAGAGCGCACCCTAACCCTAAATCTTGAGACTCAAGGGGAACAAACACACAGTCGTAACTAAGTAAGATGCTTGTGGACGAGATGGCCTTAATAACAGTTCGTTCAAGCGATCGACCTTGCTCACTCCGACAAAGGCACTACTCTCCTCGCGAGGCAGATGCTTCAGACTACTCCCACTGGACACAGCGTCTTCTCTTGCGGATGAATATAACTCTTAGAAGAACCTCGTGACTATGCGTTTATTTCTTGCACTATGTTGTTATAATTAAAGCGGGGGAAAGTCCAAAAATTGATAAGAGCCGATGTTTGTGCCACGCGTTCTTGCACTTTATGACGCTCAGTCTCTGGCATTCAATCCCAGATGTCCACTTCTTCTTTACTCTGAAATACTGAATAAATAAACTTCCTCTACAGAAGATAACCGCGAAGCGGTGAGCGCCACATAACAATATGACTCTTAGAAGAACCTTGTGACTATGCGATAATTTTTAACCCTCGACGCAAGCATCCTCCTGTAGCGAAGAAGTGCTGGGCGGCCTATCAACTACTACATCAAGAACTACATCAACTACTACATCAACTACTACATCAAGAACTACTACATCAACTACTACATCAGCTACTACATCAACAACTACATCAACTACTACATCAACTACTACTACATCAAGAACTACTACATCAAGAACTACTACATCAAGAACTACTACATCAAGAACTACTACATCAACAACTACATCAACAACTACATCAACTACTACATCAACTACTACATCAACTACTACATCAATTACTACATCAACTACTACATCAACTACTACATCAACTACTACTACTAGTACATCTCCAGAGATAATTTGTTGAAGGGATAAGCCTAGGGATAGAGGTGAAAACTAATATACTAGTCGACATCTACAAAGATATTGCTGGAAGGGCTAGATCTCAAGAGGTAAAAACTAACCGGTTGCTTTAATTAGTGCTTTGAGCGCCGCTCGACCTAAGCCTCAACCTTATAGAAAGGGAGAAGCCAATCTAGATTTGCAGCACACCTCAGAGAGACGGGGAAACAGTACAAAGATAATAAATATAGCACCTAAGTAAGTGGCCATAAAACATCGATCCATCAACTACATTCGAGACGGCGCTAGTATTTGCTGATCCGTCGACATCAAACGCGTCTTCTAGTTCTGGTGCTGTGACGAGTAGGCGACCGATTGTCCGGACCACCTTCGCATTCCACGCAGCACCACCTTTGCGACGTTCATCTGCTCCACCAGTGCTAACTTCTACTATTAGAGCGCAAAGCGGTCCATCTTTTACCATTGCACTTCTCCCAATCCTAAGAAGGAAACAGGGAGAAATGGGTAGGTTCTTAACGGAAGTCGCTCGACCTACAAAAAAAGATTGTGAAAATGAACCGTATTGAGCCATAGCACTATACTCGCTGTAAAAAGCCACGCACTTTCTTGTCGCTTGTTTTCGATTTGCTCTGGCGTGTCGCTCTGGCACGAAGCCACGCAAGGCACTAAAAATCGACAAGCGCTGCCTTCGCGCGCATGATAATGTGCCAACTTTTTGTTCCAATTTAGGCTCGCCAGCTTGAACATCGGCTTTCCGTCTGCAACGTCGCAGAGGGTCGAATTAGAGCGAGGGTGTTCGCATCTTTCTTGTACGTCTAGTACGTGTACAACCTGGAATACTAGTTTGTCCAAAAAGAAAGTGCGAGATCTCTCTGCCACCTCCAAGCCTTAATCAGATTGTCCAAAAAGGAAGTGCGAAATCCAGCAGAATTTTTTCCGCTCCCATTACTACTGCGAGAGGAGCTCGACGTTTGAGTTCCATAGCTATCTGTAGACCCACGAGACCCTGGAGGAGACGAGCCCCTTGTGCTACTCTTCGTCTTGCTGCTGCTGCTACTAGTACTATTTTTAGATGAAGCAGCTTATTATAGTTCTTATACGTTTGCCTGTATTGCAATTGCAAATAGACATCCTGAGTACTAGATGTAGAACCCTTGAAGATGACATCCTAGAATCCTTGAAGATGACACATACACTATCAGTAATTATCATTATTATCATATGTGCATGTGGAGGACACTATCAGTAATGAAGAAAACTACAGACAACCAACGACAACAAGAATGTACTTCTTCTTTGTGTTGTTTGTTATTGAAAGTAAGACGTTGGAAACCAGCCACTTCTTCATTGCAGTTCACCTTCACCGCCTCTTCTGATGGTATACAACAACAAAAATGAGATAGACCGAGGAAGACCAAAGTTATTAAGTGATTCTTTTTTTTACAGCAAATAAAAAACAAACCATCCTTAATTGATGTTGAACTGCGGAAGCCTCTGGTGCCCTCACCTTCGACAAACCGCGCCACTACTTCTTGTCCCCACAGGACAGCAAAATGATCAGGAAACGCAAAAGGAAAGTCCTTAGCGATGTCCTCCTGTTTAGACCTCACGACCCTAATCCGTGGTCCTGAGACTCATCTTGAAGCCGTTTTCGGGCCCCCTATGGAACAGTCCCAAGATGCTTTTGGGGATGGATTAGGCCAAGCCGTAACCTGAGTCGCAGCGCTTTTGCGTAACAAAGTGAATTGCCTGGCTACCTCGTCACCTATCTCGGTATTCTTTTTGCTCAGTATCGAAGACGCGCAGGAGGAGCTACTCTTTGATGACTTTCGGGAATCATTAATACGATCTTCAATAGATGAACTTCTCGAACATCGTTCTTTCGCAGGAGATGGAGGATCATTCACTGCTCCTTGTTCTTTCTTTCCATCAGATACAGCTGACGTGTTGAAGGTTACTCTCTTCGTCGCAGCACTAGTAACAGAGGGAGAGGCCGCTGCCTCTCCTTCGGCTCTAATGTTCTTGTTCATTGCTATATTATGAAGATTATTTCCTCCACTTTTTACAGGAACAGTTGTAGTGCTAGTGCTCTTCGAAGATGAAGGATATTCATCTAAAGAACCAGATTTGGTCGTTGCAGTAGCAGACGGGGTACTAGATGTTGTTGGGGTACTAGACGATGTAGTTGTAGTTTTCTCAGTCCGTGTGCCGTTAGCAGCTCCCTTGTCGACCACATCCGCTTTTTTCATGTTGGAGGAATTGGCACCCCCGAAGAACGACTTGGAGTTGGAGTTCCGTGTGATGTTACTCCTTTTTTGTTCCTTATTACAGAGAAGTGATGTACCGCTAAGGATACGGCGTTTGCGCGCTCCGGTCTCTCCTGCGAACAAAAGGGTGGGATCGCTCACACCCAGTTGTGGAGCAGTAGTGACAGAGGCAGTGGTCGCGTTTAGTTCAGTTCCTCCAGCACCAGCACCGCCAGCAGTTGCTGCAACACTTGCAATTTTCTCCAATTCAGAGCGCGTCATGTGTTAGAAGTAGGATTTCAGTCTCTAAGCTGCTTACCGCGTTACCTTTAATGTCTTTTCGTTGTTCTATTTCCCTCTAAAAAAAAGCAAAACTAATCATGATCAGGAAGGGAGATCTAAGGTTTGCTAAAGCATAGATCAAAACTGACGATAAGTCATTATTTGTCTATAAGGTCTACCTGATCAAGAAAAAACGCCAAATAATGATCAGGTAGACCTTATACTTATAGACAAACTAATTATGAGGCACTGATGAAGGTCAGAAGCTCCCCCTTGATGATAGTGTGCTGGAGGGGTGGTATCTATGGGTGTCAGCGCACGACACCGAATAAAACCTATTATAGCCTTAAATGTAAACCAGGCTCAAGGACGCTGCTCCACTATGGGCGCCGGCTGTTCCAGCTGGATATCGCAGAGCTACGTTGCCGTGTTGACGCGCGTGAAACGTGAAGAGTTCAGTTTCATGACACTCTTAGAGGAAGCGATGATCTTCCATCTCAAGGTCGCGCATCCTTCGACCATTCTCAAGTTCCATCCAAGTGCATCCTTCCTGGAGGGTGTCTTTTCCCCGTGATTGAAAACGTCGCTCCCGGGATGAGATGACTTGTCCGAAGATGGATTGGCATTTTTATATACAATTTCATTTCGGGGAGTCCATAATACTCGTCAGGATAAAAATGCGCGGAGCAAAAAGTGCTTCTGGCAGACGCTTCGTCGGAGAAAATATCTGCCGTCACGAGAGCTTCCTTTGCTAAGCTCTCCTCTAGCATTTTTTCAGATTTAGAACAAGTACTTAGCACTCCACTAGCAGATGCGCATGATGTTTCCTCTACTTGTTGCACGACAACGCAACTTCAACAAGTAGCTGTGAATATTGATCATTAATAAGTAGCTCCCTTAAGACCTGCCACTCCAAGAGCTCCTCCAGCACTACCTCCTTCGTTTTTCTTGAGCACGGCAACACTGGGCTTCAATACGGTTGTTCCGACCGGAAGCTTCAAACCAGCCAATTTTGCCATTTCTTGGTCGTTTTGGTGCTTTGAACGAAGATTCTGCCTTCTTTCAGCGCCTGCTGGATCGTCCATAGCCAATATTAACGCCAGCAACTCAACCTACAACACTCGGAATGGTCCACGCGGGAAGATAGTTATCATATTTGCGGTGGAGCAAGGATAGGATAGGAGTTATCTCACCTGCGACAAGGTAAGCGTATTATAGGCATGACGAAAGCCTAACTTCTAGGCTATTATGATATAGTGTTGAAAGGGCTAGATCTCTAGAGGTAAAAACTAACCGGTTGTTTTATTTAGTGCTTTGAGCGCCGTCTTAACATTAGCTCTGGCCGCATGGAACGGATTGTCGGCTCCACCTGGATTACGAAGCTATGCGTCGCAGGAACACTGAGGTCGTAATCTGGAATTAGGGCTGTGAAGACAGAGATAAGTGAGAGTGTAGTCGTGAAGAAAAAATGGTCCTGAGCAAAAGAGAGATAGAGGTGCATTCGTGAGGTAGTGCTGTGTCTAGTCTGTATTGGGATAAGCCTAGGCTATGAGAGAAAAAAATAACTGGTTCTTTTTGCTTATGTGCTTTTCGCGCTTTGTATAGGAGGTACATATGCTTGTGGTGCTTCTGCCTTCTGTTTCTTCATAAGAAAAAAGACGGGACGACATCTTCTGCAATAAAACCTGCAACGCCTACTTCATCATCGAGGTGGACAGAGGCGTGAATTGACCCAGGTCTTTGATGGAATGAATCGCTGGGGACTGTTGCAGCCAGTGTCTTCTTTTTAGAACCGTAAGAGAAATTATGATCCATCTTCAGCAGCATTGCTGGGTCCGCTTTTCGTCCCTTTAAAAAGACGGGGCCAAGCAAGATCCCTGTGAAGAAGATGGATTTCTTGGAGGCTTAATCTTTTTCTTCAATTGTCGCAAGTTTTTTTGCCCTGCACGAAAGCCAGGTCGCTTCTGGGATTTCCCTGTGCCAGTCAATCTCGGAATTTGTGGATAATGTTGGTTCATACCTATGTTAGAGAGTGGATAATGTTGATTCGTACTTATGCCTACGTTCATCAGGTATTTTTTCTCTTTCGAGAAGGGGACTTCTGGACCAGCAATGATGAAGTAGAATGCGAGCACTTCTGTTTCCAGCACAAATACGTATAATAGATGTCGCAGGAAGGGATAGCCTAAAAGTAGAAAGAGGAAAACAAACCGGCTGTTTATTTAGAGTGCTCTGGGCGTCAGTGGACCTGAACCTTCGCCGTTTTACGGGCAAAAGCCATTCAAGATTTGCAGCACAGTCTCGTACTATGCTAAGGGGAAAAGCCTCGAATTTCTGTTATGGGAGGAGGTTACTTAGTCACCTTCTTCAGATGTTTAAAAACTTAGTCACCTTCTTGAGATGTTTAAAAACTTAGTCACCTTCTTCAGATGTTTTTAGCTCAAAAGTGTCTATTACAGTAGCCACTTTTTTAACTCACATCATCATGTTTGTCTGCTCAAATACGTATATGTTGTCATATGAGTGCCGCTGATATGGCCGCTAGTGACCACCGTACAGCTATATGCTAGCTTATCCTATTCTTCATTCTTTCTAACGGCATCAAGCTAAATCTAAAATGATACTTAATGATAACCTCTTAACAACTCTTAAGAGAAGATCATCGTTAGCCTTCTTTTTCGAAATTATCTTATTAATATTCCTCTCAGTCTCAGTCGAGCCTTAACAGAAGCACTCACCGCGTGTTCGACGTAGTTGTTATCTTTTAGCTTTTGACGCTGCTGTCTGCCCTCACTGCTCATAGACGTAGTGCTCGTAGAGGAACTGGACAAAGTTGAAGCATCAGAGTGATCATCTCCTCCAGTGTTCCGGTTTTGTCTTAGAAATAGCTGGAAGATGAGCATGATGTCCTAAAGCAAATGTAGTTGATGCACAAGTCATCTTAGAAAATAATCTAGAGCACTTTTATTAGGAAAAAAGGGCGCTCCTGACTTCTACTCCTAGTACCGACCAACGGACAATAGCGATCCTTAGCGCTACTCTAATTGGTGTGAAACTATAAGAACTGAGACGGAGTCATCGCCTTCGCCATGGCAACATTGATAAATCAACACATCATACTGTAGCATGGGTCGACGATCTAATCTGAATCGTACATGTTCCTCATCGTTGCTCCTTATGATGAGCTTACTTGATTATATCTCAACGACATGACCATAGGGCAGCTCCCACATTTTTCTTTTCCCGCTGTTTTGCTTTCGCTTTCGCCTTTTTTCCTTTCCCTTTGGCTCGACGTTGCACAATTGAATCAATGGCCGAAATCGGTGCCATACTCTCGGCAGGCGTGTTCACCGCACTCGTTACTCCACCAAAATTGTTAGAAGATTTTTGGATGAAGAGATGGATGAAGGAACAAGTGTAAAAGGAGGAACTATGAATGAAAAGACGGATGAAGAGATGCACTAGAAGGCTGTATGCGAGAATGGATGATGAATACTAGATGAGTTCTTGAACAACAGCAGGCATCTTCCTGATCTCTTCCTACTGATGGATCCCCATAAGAAAAGAGTTGATATCCCGATCGTCGAAGCTTCCCACAAAGTTTGGATCCTGCGCGATTCTTTCGTACTTCTCTTTTGTTCCTTGTTAGACCTAAGCAGGGAAGTGGTCCATCTTCAGCATAGTTCTGTACTTTTCGTCCCTTTAAAAAAAACGGGGGGCCGAGATGCATGGGCCAGAACTGAGAGGGCACCGGCACCAGAAGGCTTGGGAACATAAAGGACCCGACAAAAAAGGTAAGGACTCCGACAAAAAAGGCAGAAGCAAGGGGAGGCCAAAGGTGTAAGCCTACAAAAATGAGAGCCAAAATAGACGCTGAAAGATTGCCAGGAATGGTAGAACCTGAAGCCGCGCAAGAGAGGACAAGGAAGCCCAGAAGACAGCCGCAGAAGCGAACACACCAACAGACAGCCAGCAACCAACGAGAGAAAGAGAGAAGCGCAAAGAACCACGCCAAGCGACCCGAGGACGCCCGCGGTGACTGGGCGATGACAATCCCACACGGCACACCTAAAACCAATCCCAATACCCCCAAGCGGGACCAGACGAGAACCGACGGGGACGAACGGCGTTGGCGACAGCGCGTGCGCGCAGAGCTCCGGGGTGCCACAAACGCGACACACTAAGCCACCGCACAACACCCCCGAGAAACAAGCCTCAACCACGCGACGCCCGAGGGCTTTCGAAGCCCGCCGCAAAAGGCTGACGCACGTCAAAACGAAAGCGGCCCGCGGAGCGAAAAAGGAGCGCAACACCTGAGGGGGGCGGGAGGATCGCAGAAGGAGGAAGCGCGCCGCGAAGCTCCTGTTGCCTGGCAGTTTTTCGCGCGCCTACCTCTGGCGGGCGCGAGGTATTGCGGCAAGAGCGGGAGAACAACATAGAGAAACGAAAGACGCAGCAGGATGCGCCAAGCCTGAGGGACCAGCTGCAGCTTGGTGGCAATCGCGCGGCTCAACACCGGGACCGGGCGCGCATAGCATAGGCCATTGGGGCGCTGCGCTGGCAGTGGAGTGGAGGGAGCAGCCTACAAGAAGGGCCAAGGCCAAGCCCCCTACTTTCCGGGCCGCTTCTGATACCGCAGCCCTAGTTTTTCACGGGACCACGCTGGCCCCAGTATTTCCAGGGACCACGTGGGCCCCAGTATTTCCAGGGACCAAACAAGAATAATAAGGGACCCCGCCGGGAAATAAGGGCCCGGGATTTTGCGGCCCCGGTCCGCTTAAAGAGCGAAAACGTCGGGGCCCTTATAATACTACACGGGGCCCAGTTTTTCCGGTCTATGCATGCCCGTGTGTGAAGATGGACTGCGTGTGAAGATGGATTCCTTGTGGCCTTAACGTTGCTTAGCTGCAGCTTTCCTAGTCTGCAATTCTTGCGAACGCCTGGCATGATGGTGAGGATTCTGTTCCTGGGCACTAGATTTTGCCTTTGATGGGTCCTCCTTATCCTTTGCTTCGTCACCCCCAGCAGCTCCAAATAGAGCTTCACCAACCGCACCGACAGAAGCGCCAAGTGCACGAAAAAACCCTCCTACCGGATCTTGTTCTGCATTGGTGTCCCTGTTTCCAGCACTACTTCTCGTCCCTTGATGTTGTTGAGACTGAGAATGTTGTTGCCCTGTACTAGATGAAGCACGAGCTCCGCCAATTCCTGTTCCTAATTTCTCCCTTTCTTCCCGATATCTCTGCACTTGCACTTCTCTGTCTATCACTGAAAATGGGCCGCCGCCACTAGACATGGCTTGTGGTACGAGACCGTTCTGGATCTCATTCACACGCCGTTCTCGTATGTCAGCTGGCAGCAGAAAGACCTCATCATCGATCTTGGATCGTCCCCTGGACTTTTCTTGTGTCACGGTACGATCAAAAGCACTCATTGGATCAGCGACTTCACCTTCAGCACGGAGGAAAGAAGGCCTCTTACCTTTGCTCCTGTTTCCCTTCGATATCGGGAGAGCACTCTCGCCCTCGACAGCACGCGAAAACTTGCCTGCGCCCTTCATCCCTCCTTGCTGTCCTTTGGTTTTACTCTTAGTAGTGCTAAACGACGAAGACGAAGAAGTGCCCTTGTGGTTTTTACCGTTACCCAACGTTCTTGTATGACTGGCAGTTCTGTCCCCAGTTGCTTTGCTACTTGTTGTACTCGTCCTACTTGTACTGTCAGTTACCAGCGGAGCACCTTCCGAGTCTGCTGCCTCGCCCTCAGCACGACCACGCGAACCATTGGCTATCTTCATCTTCGTACCCTTCTTCCCACTCTTGCCTTTACCACCACCCACATCAGCACCAGCGTAGGAAACCTTGTAATTTGCGTTTTTATCCCCTGCTGTTCGAGGTCCAGGCTCAAAGGTGTACGACGGATGTGATGTCTCGGTGGAACCTGGAATCACCGCGGTCGCGGCCACCTCCATATTTGCTACTTCACCCTCTCGTTCAGCAAGAACGACTTGTCCCTTCTTGGGCGAGGTCTTACTCTTGCCTTTATTCGGGAAGACATTGCCAGCGGAGGCTCTCGTCGAGGCACCAGGTTGCCCTTTCATATTGCAAGCGATTGGAGCTACCGCTGCAGTTGATGCGCTACGACAGACTACAGCGCAGCCCACGACGATGAAGCGACAATTACTCTAGGCTTTTTTTATCCGGACTATGCATTCAAGAAGGAAATACCTGTGCCATCGATGAAAATCGCATCGCTGATAAAATAACAACGTTGGATACGAGTCATACTTGAGGAAGAAAATTGATCTCAAGATTTGACGTGGAGACTGGGGATTGATATCAACTTGCGTGGGTTGCTGCTCGTCGTGCTCAAATCTCTCACTTTGATGCCAGGTCCGAATTTATCCTCAACCGAAGCACAACCGATTGGATCTACATCGATTCCCTACATAGTTCCTCACGTATCAGAAGAAGACGACGTATCAGAAGAAGACGACAATGAGGACGCCTACGCTGCCGGTTGCACATATTCGATAAACTGAAATCACCGAGTAACAGACGAGAATAACCGAGATACTGACCAAGGAAGAGTAGCCTTTAAAGCCACCTCCCATATTTCAGTCAGCAACTCCGTTATTTCCAGTTTTCGAGTATTCCGATCATCTAAAGTTGCTCACATGCGTCTTCAAGCCCTTCATGTCGGCCTGCGTGGAACACATTTACAGGATACATTGACTTTCCTTTACGCTGGTTCGCCTCGGCAAAGACCGCCAGTTCTTTTGTTTGCTTTTCCCATGCTTAGAAGTAGACTGACCAGATTCGAGAAATTTGGAAGATGAAGCGGTGTCCTCGTCTTCTCAAAGGAAGGGAAAAAACAACAGACACGGTCGAAAGAACGACGCCATTAGAACCTTTACCTCCTCGATTCGATATCCCTTTGTCCACAATGCAGCATCCCCAACGAAAATCGGCTCCTCAGCAATTCTCCGCATGCTCAAGCAACTCCACTCTACATCTCCTGCCCAACTGTCATCCCTTCCCACAATGTCGTTGTCTCAAAATGTTAGCAGAAGCAGAGAAAGGCAGCTTAAGATTCAGCCTCCTTCTTCTTGATCATGCCTGAAGGAAATTGGTGGAGGGAGAGTCGGATATTATTACATGGAAGGCCTTGCTCATCTAACGGTTTTGAAAATCTGTAAGGGCTTACAGATAACGATCACAAGAAATTAATTCCGCATGAGCTCAAGCAGTTTTCCAGTACTTAGATGAAAATCTAAATCACAGACACGCAAAGAACGCAAAGTTCAACCCTAAACCGAGCCCTAAGACTCTAGGAGCTGAACGAAATCTCAATTTGAAATCTAATTAGCAGTACCCATCTTGGCATGACGCTGGTTGCGCAAGAACTTGGCGTCCATGCCCTTGGTAGACATCTTCTTCGGCTGACGGTACTTTTTGATACCGTTAGCGTGGGCCTTCTTGCCCTGATTGTGGTTGGTGTGGTTCTTTGACTTGGCCATTTTGAGTGGAGGAACAAAAAACTGTCGTACGACGAGTTTTTTTTTTAGATTCCCTGTGGTCGTTTGATGTTGATGAAGGTAGCGCTATTGAAACTGTATCATAGCAGATGAGGGAAACACGTACTTAGATGAACAACAAGGAGGACAAGTAGTATACTCCGTGAAGAAAGAGGCGCGTTAAAATAGTGCGACTTATTCAGCGGATCATGCAATGTTGTGAGAGATGAGCATTACCAACACGACAAGGACCTTGTTGTGAGAGCATTACCAACATGTTCGATCTTAGGATCTGAAGACTCATCTTTCTCCGTGTAGGGATCTTCTACTTCCTGATGATATTTGCTCATTCTCAAGATGATCCTTTGGTCATTCTCAAAAAAAGTAGACCAGAAAATGCAGCACCGCCAATCTCAGACAAATGCCTCGAATAGTTCGTCAGAGATAAGGGCAAAGGAACCGCAAAACGCGGCTCCTACCCTTGTTCCGACATCTAATTAGTTTTTCTGTTTGTGTCATCATGGAGAAAGTGCGGACTATTGACGAAGGGCTTCGATCTGGTAGTTGTGGATGGTCTGTCACGGATTTAGATTTATTTCAGCAACGAGGGGCTAATATGGCAGGAACGTAGTGGGACATCGACATCGTCAGTAAATTTAGATTTGCGGACATGACCCAGTTGATCGCAGTGGGAAAACTCTGCTAAAAATCCCATTTGTAGTTCGTGAGCAATGGATGAACAGCAAAGCGACGAACAATGCGACTGGGAACGGGACGTCCCCATACACGACGTAGAAGGAGAAAGCTGTTTTTAGAAGATGATTGCAGCGCGATATCAGAGATTCGGGGCATCGTCTTTGCATGGTTCCCGGGCGAAACGGCATCACATGATGCACAACAACTCTAGAACAAATATGCGTATCGTGAAGATTTATCATCTTTAGATTTGATACTGATATGCAACTACAACAACCGGTTTTGATTTCGTCACTATAATATGTGGCGGTAAAAAGTATATTAATGGAACGTCTTGCTTTACATCAGACGTGAGTACCCTAAATCTAAATGATATCATGATGCCCGAACAATTCGTGGCGGGTTGCGAGCCACGGGTAGTCGACCATCACCACGCTCACGTGCCCAGTCATGCTGGCACGACCACGGCGACCAATTCTGCGTGTTCAATTTCATGAAAATAAGTGCAACGGAAGATAACAATATAACATGAAAACATCTTCTGTGAATATTCGATATCATTCTGAATATTCCTAGTTCTCACCAAAAGACTAGACGTGGTCGTTTACGGGAAGTCGTCATCACCGAAGACGTACTCGTCATCATCTTCGTCATCGTCCTCCGGGAACAAGCCCTTCTTGCGCAGGAAGGCATAGGCGTGGGAGATCGCCGGGTCACGCATCTTGATCGGGAACAGGCCAGCCTCACCATCGAGTTCGATGCAGACAGCAGCCCAGTACTTCGAGTCGATGCCTTCGAAAGACTTGACCTTCGCAACGCCCTTGGACTCGGCAACGTTCATGATCACCTCGCAGAGCCACTCGTGGGCAGAGCAGTCCTCAGCCTTGTCCTTCGGGACGTAGGCGACAGCGGAAAACTTATCGTCAGTGCAGGTGAAAATCATCTTGCCCAACTTGCCGGCACCACCTTTTTACATTTATTTCAGGGAAAAGAAGTCCGAGATCGCGGGGCCTGGTTTCTTGATTGATAGATAAATGCAATAGTACAGCCAGGAGAACTACCGAGGACAAATCTAAATTCTAAAGGATATCCTATCCGAACCTCAATCTCAAAAAATCTAAATCTAAATCTTCTAAGCATCTAAATCATACCCTTGCGCTCTTCTTCAGACGGGTCGGAGATAGCGTTCATGGCTTTCATGGACTCGACGAGCATATCCAAGTCTCCCTCCGGACCTTCGATCATGGTGCAAAAAAACTGCAAGCCTCCCATATCAGCAGCACCCTCAATTTCGACACCACGCTTGCCACCTTCTTTGACGATCTGTTTTTTGAAAAAAAACATTTTGTTGTAGTGCGTGATGATGAAGTTTTTATTGTCAGAGAGTCTGTAGTTTGCTCAGGAAATATAATTCTTGTTTCGGCACGACGTACGTTGAGGCTAAGGCTCTTTCAGGGGCCCACTAAAGAGATCATATGATCCCTGGACCAGGAGGAGGTTCGTTGCGCAACAACATACGCTAGTGGAAAATTTTCGAAATCTAAACTCTATTCACCTTCTTCAACTTCTTCTCGTTGATCTCGACGGTGAGTTCGGGTCCCGGGACGATGTTTTCGTTGCCGGCAGTGGCGTCTTCAGCTGGCAGCTCCTGCTTGACGGCCTCGACCGGGGCCTCGACAACTGGAGTCTTGTCAACAAGTTCCGGCATTTTTTGGTGGTTGAGGAGTCTCAAAAAAACCAAAAAATAATTCAAAGAATTCTTTAGAAAAATACAAGAGGCTGAATTTTGGTGTAGTATTGAAAGGAGGAGGCGTATTGAAAGGTGGCTCACGCTCAAGGTCGTGTGGAGTTGTGCTTTCGTAGTTGTGTCTCAGGTGAAAGTAGTGGCAGCTTGCTAGTGTACATTGTCTCTAGTTCAACTAGAGACCACGTAGTGCACAGTATCGTCTCTAAATCTCCATGATCTTGGCTTCATGATCGCTGCCAGCACCTTAGATCCTGCGAGAACTTTAGATTTAGGAGATCATGATGGGCCACTTCTTTTGAACATCGTTTTCCCTGTTTATCTAGATCAGTTTGGTGATCCTCATGGGGGCTTGTGCGGTGCCGGATCCCGTTTAGGTCTTTTTTGTCTGTGTACTCCTTCGCGTGTCTGTTTAAATGATCTAGATTTTTCTGCTGGAAGATCGTCCTCGTCTACAAGAAACTAAAAAGAAATTATCACTAACTATCTCTATCTGTATCGCTAATTATGCTCGCTAATTATCTTCAATTACGTTGAGGCTATTCATTTCCAATTCTTCTAAATCAAACTGTGATTGATCCCATGCCTATCACACTAGATCTACGCAGTAGTCTGAATCTGTACAATTGCCCAAATGTTCTAAACTAAATATTGGCCATGACACCGCAGTGGCGGTGAAGACCACCGAGCGTATTTTCCTTTGATTTTCATTCATCTAAAGCGCGGCGATAATACTGTCGTATCGCAATTTAGCCAACCCTGTAGTGTTCTTAGACGGAGTTGTTGTTGCTCCTGAAGATGATCCTGCTTTTCCTCCTCCTGCACCTCCGAGCAGTAAGCCTAAACAGCCCTCGCACTGTTTCTCCAGTGTTTTCAGTAGTGGCGCTAAGCTTTTCTGCACTCGTTTGGACGGTCGCATCCTCGAAAGGTTGTAGTTCAAACCGACGCCTCGTGCCGGTTGAGCGGTCATGTTCATCTGCATTGGCGATGCCGTGGTTTGGACGATGGAGTGCCATACGGTAAGAAGAGAATGCAAGAAGTCGGGCAGTAGAGCACGTGCGAGGTCTTCACCGACTACGACTGCAGCTGAATCTCTGTCATGATGTGCTGTCACGACGGTACCCAGCAAGAGTTTCAATAACAAGACACCGTGAATTTGCGACAAGAGGATGCTTTCGATGACTGTCTTATTTGACAAAGGAGTTGACGAGCGCGGTGCAGGAGAAAAACCCAGAGGAGCACCGTAAACATTCTGAACCGGAACAGCTCCATTGGGTGGAGAGAGAGAAGACAATGGCAATCTTGGCACACCTCCCCTTCCGCTTCCCATATCACCACTCAGCACCATTGTTGTACTTTCTTGACAAGACATCCTTCCGGATGAAAAGTCACTCCTTGCAGACAGAAATCTTGAAGAAGCGTAAAGCTGATCTTCTGGTGGGGGGCCCCACCCACCGCTGTACCCGGAGTTGTATGGCGGTCCATCATTACCTGAAGAACCAGCATTCCCAGCCACCTTGTCCGCAAAATAGGCTCTTCCCTTCGTCATTTGACCCAAAATGAAAAGCAGGATTTCTTCCCTCACCGCGGGAACTTGCTTGTAATAGGTGGCGATGCTATGGCCCAATCTTGCTCGGAGCGAAGCGGGGACCTCTCCCAACACTTGACTCGATTTACCCAATAAAGCGCCGCTCTGTTCACCATCAACCGCCACCATAGGCCAATCTCCCAGGAACGTCCCAATCAGGTTCCGAACAGAATTTAAAATGCCAGTTAGTTGAGTCACGGAAAACTGGGGTTGCCCAAGACCACCTTGCTCCTCAAGTAGACCACGACCTTGTTCAACATAAGTTGTGCCTGCTTGTTTTAGACAGGAAATGTAGAACGAACCAGAGAACCGCGAGCTTAGCGAAGCAGGAATGTACTCGGCAGGCTCTGCTGGCAAAACAAAGCTGGATAGGTCGCGACCTCTAGTGTCGCGTCCATTAGAAGAGCTTCCTCCAACTACATCTTGTTGTTGTTGCGACTCACAAGAGGCAGACACTAACAACTGCATATGAGGAAGATTATCTCTAGGAGCTTTGTCAGATCTGCTTCTAGGACTCCGACTCACTGCACTTCCAGGTACGGTCACCAAATTCTCTTCCAACCGCTGCACGCACAGCGCAAGAGGGTTTATGAAAGGAAAAAGTGCACTCGCTCTCACACTCGAGAAAGTAGCTACTTTGCTTATGTTTTTCCTACCTAAATCCTAGCCAATTTTTTGAATGTGAGTGCACTTTTTTCTTGCATAGGATTAAAGAACCAGTCATTAGCCGCGGCTGGATAAGGAGCGCTTGGAACTAACCGGCAACGCTTCACATAGCCAGACAATTCTATATGAGCGGCAAGCCGGAGAGGCACAGAGGAGAGTTTTGCTCGGGTACTTTTTGGTTTCGCGGATGATGATGTATGGTCGATGTTGACAGAATTCGCAACTGTAGAAGTGGTACTATTTGTCCCACCACCTCCAGCACCAGTGGCTACGTTACATGTACCGAAAATGGTGTTCAGGGTTTCTTCCCCGAGCTCTACGCCCCTTGGCACAGCTAAGGAGAACAGTCGCACTCCATTCAGGTAGATGGACAAAACCATATGGTTTCGACAGCGAGCATTCTGTTCCTCAGCATCTGGAGAAGAGTTGAGACTTCCACTTTCTCCAGGTGGTAATGGCATCATCGGCAAGCCCTTCATAGGTCGCAGAGATAATCCGACTCGATCTCCCACAGCAAATCGTGTTTTCTTGAATTCTTCAGGGAGTGAAAATGTTAGCTGCTCTTTGCCTTCTGAAAATACCACACTTTGCATTCTTTCTTCCGCAGCAGTGCTGCGGGATTCATCTCCGTGAGCCGATCCCACTTGTGCTGAAGCTGATGATGTCATCGTGTCGGATCTCACTTCCCAGGAATGCAAAATCAGCAACTTTTGACCCTGATTGTTGGTGTAATTCGAGCTTCTACCGCTTTGGCATCCTTGGGAGCATCCTTGGTGTTTTTTTCAAATAGAAAAAGCGCCAAGTAGGACGATGCTGCGGATGCGACAGCGGTAGCCATAATGTAGTCAATCTTCGAGTTGTTAGCGACGTGCTCATCCCCAGACATTGGGCTCAAATTGTCCTCTTCGCTGATCGAACAGTTTCCATCGTCATATTGTTCTTGCTGTTGAAGAGATCCAAATTCGTCTTGCTCACCTAGATGATCATGATGAGGTGCTGGTTCATTACAGTCCGCGCCATCTTCACTTGCCTCTTCATACTGAATTTTATCTTCGCTTGAAATGCTCTCGCTTTCGTGGAATACTCCTAAATCTGGAAATCTTTCAGATCCGTGTTGTGGAGCTTGAGCCCCCTTGGGCTTGGCGTTCAACATCTTTCCCTTTGTCTGATGTTCTGAAGCTCTACTCCTTGCAAGAGGGCTCCTAGCCTCAGCAGATAGTGCAATGGATGTCTCTGAGGGTCTGTAGCTACTTCCGAAGGAACTTCTAGCTTCCGCAGGTAGTGCACTGGAAGAGCTTTGTTCGTTTTCACTTTCATCCTCGCCATGCTCTGGTGGGAACTGTTCGCCTTCCGCGCCGTCGCGGATATTCCCCTCAACCAGATGAACCTCTTTGTCTTGCTCACTTGAAGTTTCATCTCCTTCTTGGACGAGTTCAGCACGGGAGGAACTTGTAGTAGTTGTTGTTGTACTAGGTCGCAGCTGCACCTCACCACGAGTTGTCGTTGTACTAGGTCTTTCGCCGCCTCCACGGGTAGGGATTGTTGTTTAGAGCTTCCCGGAATCCATCTCGGAAGTCATCCCTCGCTTTCCCCTTATAGAGAAAGGTCTCAAGATGCTTCTGAGGATGGATTGCCCAAAGCCTTAAGTTGTACTGGGACGCACCAGCACCTTTGTTTTGTCTCGTCCTTCTACAGGAGATGGCGGAGGTGGAATTGTTGCATCAACAGCGCTCTCTGGTACAATCGGAGATGCTGGAGGTGGAGGAATGGTTCCATTCAGAGATGTAGTAGTAGTAGTAGTAGTAGTAGTAGTAGTAGTATATTGAAGATCAAGGTCCTCCTCCACGTCAAGAACCGCAATCAAACTTGTAGAGGCATCGGCTTCATTAGAAACTGGAGCATCCTCTTGTTGTTGATCTTCTCCGAGGACCTCCGCAGCGTCATCTGAAGCCTCTGCACCATTCTCCACAACTTCTTCTTCAACTAGAGCATCCTGGTCACCCTCGACTTCCTCTACCTCAGTCGACCCAGCCCCAATAGTACTGGCACCGACAGCGTCCGGTTCTCGTTCAGATCCAGGCCCAATAGTACTGGCACCGACACCGTCCGGCTCTCGTTCAGATCCAGGCCCAATAGTACTGGCACCGACCGGCTCTCGTTCAGATCCAGGCCCAATAGTACTGGCACCGATAGCGTCCTGTTCAGATCCAGNCTGGCACCGACCGGCTCTCGTTCAGATCCAGGCCCAATAGTACTGGCACCGATAGCGTCCTGTTCAGATCCAGGCCCAATAGTACTGGCACCGACAGCGTCTCGTTCAGATCCAGGCCCAATAGTACTGGCACCGACACCGTCCGGTTCAGATCCAGGCCCAATAGTACTGGCACCGACCGGTTCTCGTTCAGATCCAGGCCCAATAGTACTGGCACCGACAACGTCCTGCTCAGATCCAGGCCCAATAGTACTGGCACCGACCGGTTCTCGTTCAGATCCAGGCCCAATAGTACTGGCACCGACCACAGCGTCCTCATCAGGGCTCTCTGTGTGCACAGGTTGAACTTCTTCGCCATTGGAAGACGCCCCTGAGCCTTCTTCCGAGGAACCTGAAGCTCCCTCAGCTGGCAAAAACATCATCGCCACACTCGAAGAACGCATTTCATCTTCACCTCCCTCTCCTATGCTTCCACCAACGTATGAACCTTGACCCTCTTCTCCCTGATTCTCAACATATGAAGGCAATTCTCTACGCTGCATTCCTTCATCATAGACACCGCTGTCGAGCATCTCCGGACCATCAACGAATAGTCGAGAGGAATCCCGTTCGACATCTACTTGCTCTTGAGTTCTTGTAGTCCTAGAATTTTCATTTTCTGGCTTGCGGCCGTTGATGCCATGATCGTCTTGTTCTCCTGTCGAAGTCGTTAGTTGGAGGTCCATCTTAGAAATAGTAGAGGAATGACGTCGTGCTTCTCCACCTTTCTTCGGGATTCCGACAGCTCCTGGAGCAACAGCAGTCACAAGTGCCAAACCAATACCGAGGCTGCCAATATGGGCATTGCCTCGACTGTTTGCAAGAACGGCAGCCTTTTTTTGCTCACGACCAGCGTCTTCTTCACCTGCCTCGTCACCAGCATTGTTTTGCTCACGACCAGCGTCTTCTTCACCTGCTTCGTCCACTTCCAATACTTCCACTTCTACGTAGTGGTACACCTGTGGACGTCCGTCAAGGCTTAGCACTGGATCCGTAGTTCTTGTAGTAGTTGAACCCTCGTTCTGTTTCTTGTTCTGGTGAAGATGCGCTTTCTCGTCAAAGAGGCTTAAGAAGGTTCTGCGTAGAGCAGGATACTCACTTCCCCCTGCTTGACGAATGGAAGCATGACTGACGTCACAAAGTTCAATCAATTTCTCCGCAAACTGCTTCTGCCGTTTTACTTGTTGCAATTCATAGCTTTCCTCCAGAAGGGATGAAGACACGCGTTTTACTTGTTGCAATTCATAGCCTTCCTCCAGAAGGGATGAAGACACGCGACTTCCACGACCACCTCCACGAGAATGATCACGACGCGGTCTCTTGTTTTTATCGTCGACCTTGATTGCTGGTAGGAAACCGTCTTCGCGGTAGTAGCGGTCAGCCTCATCATCCTCGATGAATGGGGCGCCTATGGGGTCTGGGAGAGTATGTAGTTGATCGTCCATGACCCCAGTTTGGTCTAAGCGACGTTGATGCTTCGCCTTGCTCATCTTCTTTGTAGGAATTATATTCTAATAATTCTTAATTCTAGTAGTATGACTTTTAGTCTTGATGAAGACAGATGAGATAGTCTTCTAGTAGTGCTTGGTCTTGGACTTGCCGAAGATAAGAATACGAAATAATATCAACCAAGAAGTTGTACATAAGGACCAGAAAAACTACATTAAGATTCAGAAAAAAAGTTTCCGTCGTGTCTCCTGTTCTCAAAGCACATATTTTATTTACTAGTAGGTTCTAATTCTATTTCTAATGGCCAGACTCTGCAAAACAATCAAACCTAGCTCTTTAATTCGGAATTAGAAAAGAAGGAAACCTCCTGCCAAGTGTTAATATGAGTTGTGGCAATATTGAGCAACAGCGTTGAAAACGGGTTTCTCAGAATGGATTATAAGTGTCTCTGTCTCGCACTCGCCTCCAGAAAACATCACCACACAGAGACAGAATTCGTATCGGATTACAAACTCCTCGGAGAGAAACAGAATTGATTGATTCAAGATCAGATTGGGATTCCGCCTTAACTAGAATAATTATTCTATCGCTCCTTACGCCATCACTTCTCAGAACTATGTATTATTGCACAGAAATGACCGACAGTCTTGCAGATCGACGAAGTAAACAAAGTAAGCCCTTCGCGCTGCTCTCCTTCTGTGACAGATTCATCGCTACACTCTTCCTCCGAAGCAGATTGATGAATGAATGAATGAATGAATGAATGAATGAATGTGCCCACTCCAGGGGTATAGAAGACTTATTCACTACTACTTTTTGCATTGACTCATATTCAATTCATGGATTATTTAAGAGAACAGGTGGGGGAAGAAGTGTCCAGATGCAGATATGTTGCTGGAGGCGATTCTCGTTGCCGGAAGGAAACGCGAAAGGTCGAAAGGCCTATGCCGACAGCAAAACCTAAACAAAGCAGAATAGCTCGCTCCGCGAGGTAGACAGAAAAAACCGGCAACAAAAATCATGGGAGACTGCACGATCCTGACAGGGGCTGCTCCCTTCGTCTGCATTCATGAACACAAAATTCCATTACCCGCACGATCGACCACCACTACACTTTAGTCGACCCATCAGATCGCCTACCATCTCGACTCAAATATGATAAGCGAAGCGGAACCACCTGCTTTAGTTACATAAGCCAACTTACAAAGAAATCTGTATTATTCTGGAAATTGTGAAAGGGAAATAACTGCACTCTTCGGAGAAAACCTAGAAAAGTTCAGTGATCACATCATGCCCAACATGTCCATCCACATTATTCGATCAACCTGTCACGAAGGACAGGCTCCAACTCTTCAAGCATTAGCTTGATATCAGAAATCTCCTGGTCGATGAAGTTGATGCGCGCCAACAACATCTTGAACTGCTCGACGATCGTCTTGAAAAACTGCATGGCCAACTGGAAGAACTGCGCGAGAAACAGAATAAACACGAAGATCGCTACACTTGTCATTATCGTCCGGCACAGACCCACGTTAGGCGGGTCGGAGAACATCGTCTTGTCAAGGACCAACATCTCCACGGTTGAAAAGAGAGATGTTATTCGAGAGAAGGAAAAGGACAAGAGGAGCAGGCCCTGAGCCCGAAGTAACGTTAGGCAACAGAGGATGTTTCGTTCTCGCTATCAGCAAGAGCGTCAACGTCGAGGTCGGACACGTCGGAAGCGTCACCTTCACTAATAAGCTCAAGCTGCTCAGCTACTAAATCTACTGAAACTTTAGCTGCTCCAAGCATTCCACTACACTCCAACTTGCGCATGCTCACATATCGCTTCCACGCGTCAGACCTAGACGACCAACGGCCAGCGAGCAGGATCTCTTGAAGACTACCACCACACGACGCAATCGTAGTGGCTCCACCACGGCGCAAACTATGCGTCCCAAAATCTCCTGGCTCATGAAGCTTGACTGCTGACAATTTGATGCACTTAAGTGCATCAGCGTAGGCGACGTTGGGGAAGATTCTAGCTCCTGCCTTGAGTGGCTGCACCCATTCTTTCCAAAAGATACAGAACGGACAGTAATCGCGAGCCCAGACTAGTCTGTCATCATTACTAAGAAGTCGCTGGTTGAAGATGAGAAATCTTTCGGACTTGAAACTATCACAAGTGCAACTCCTCGTGATCACGTCGCCTTCGAGGCGATTCTTGCGAGTCTTTAGCCTAATGCTAACTGTCTTCTCAACATCATCACCCCACACCGCGGAATGTTCCTGGATCTTGTGCTTCAAATTCTTCCGATGTTGGAATTCAATTTTTCGCAAGGGAATGGCCTCGTCTTGGCAGCGCAGAAGAAAAACCCAAGTCATGCAGTACAACATTCGAAACCGCGGAGGAAGGTTAGCAAGACCAAGAATCTTGTTCAAGAATTCAGGAGAAATGGGATCTTTTGCGCCTGACACTCCTTGATGGCGTCGCACGCCCCGCGTTATAGCAGAAGAGTTTACACGATCAGGAAACGGAAGCAAAAGAACAGATGCTACCTTCTTCAGAGCGGACCGAGCGCAATTAACAGTAGATGCATTGTTATAAATCGAAAGGAAGTCCTCGACTTTACCTGCATTCAACGGAAAAGGCTTCTCGCCTTTGGTCGTCATTAGGTTTAAATAGGAGCGAAAGAACGACAGATAACTGTCCCAGTTCTTTACTGACTCCCCTTTCACCGCCGACGTGTTCGCGGCCAAAAACCGTCTCGCCTTGACGGGGCCATAACTGGCCATTAACTCTATTTTTTGCTGAGCAGAAAGTTCACGGTTGATAGAGGCACCCCTCTGTGCGTTGACGAAGTCTTTGAACCGCAAGAACAATCTATTATTATCAGCTGAATTCAATATTTCTTCTACTGACAAATGACATGCCGGCTGAAGTCTCAAAAGTGCAGAATCGGACTCAAATAAATTTGATACAACCCTTACACCAGACGGACGAATAGAGCTGGACTTAGGACCAGAAACTCCCGAACTACTAGCAGAATTACTTGTACTGGAAGGCATACTCACAGAAGCGAGTGACCCAGAAATGACGTTCTTATTACTGCCCATAGACACACCTACCCCGGCGGGCAACGGTGCGCTATTAGCGAAAGAAAACATAGAACTCTGACTAGAATTATTCGTATTCAAAAGCGGCCCTATCGATGAAGAAGCGCCACTTGAACTAGCAGGCAAGCCTGCGTTTGAGTTTTTAAGCTGGAACATCCACATCTTATTCTAACCCTAAATTCATTTTATTGGGAAAACTGTCACGTCATGTATGAAACGAACATCTCAATGATCGAAATTAATAACCTAACAATTGATGAAGGAAAAATCGCATTCGGTCACTTCGATGCCAAACAAAACTTTACTGATGGTTCTAACGATCTTCAAAAACTTAACCTAACGAATGAAGTAGCTTTGACCTCGAAAAATCTAAACCACCTTTGCCATTCGATAGGAGCGTAACAAGACGAGTCGATTCTTAACGAATAACATCTTGAGATTAAAAAAATTTTTCTGTCGTCTGGTTTTCTCCTCTAAATTATTCCAAACGATTACTACCCGACCAACCAAAATCGAAACGAAAAATCTTTACGACGTTAAATCAAAAGACTTTCATCGACCAAATTTTCCATGTCACGAACATTCAACCAGTTCCATTATTGTTGTTATTGGTTGCGACCTCATTCTGATCACCTGCCACGTTAGCTACACCAAAGTCATCATCCAAGTTCCAACCACCCAAAACGCGGGGTGCAAACGTCTTCACGCGTTCGGCCTCAACACGTGTCGCAGGGAGCTCGTGCCGGAACTGGCATCCCGGAACGCCGCAATTTTGACCACGGTTCTTGCCGGCTGCCAAAAAAGCGAAGCAGAAACGCGGACCGGCGCCACCTTTCCCTTTTCCCTTACCCTTCTCGGGGCGTTCGGGCGAATAGGGTCCAGGGCGGGCTTGAAAAGACGCCATCCGAGCCTCGAGATCAGCGGTGATCTTAGCCGCTTTGGCACTGAAAGGAGAAGAAGAGGAATGACCATGCATAGTGAACTTGCAACATTGACTTTCTTAACGACATTCTCCACATATGTGTGTATAAATTCACCGTACACAACAACCAATCTATATACTTAGTTCCTACTTAAACTCATAAAACCACGCAAAAGTTACCGCTCAACATAGGTCTCGATTGCGTCAACAAAACCAATCTGGAAAAACGTCAGGACACGACCGTAATAGTCGATTCCGGCCACCGGCTGATTGCCAGCGATACGAGCAAGGTTCTTCTTGTAAACGTTCTGAACAGCAACCTTACGAATCTCGTTCGAAGCACCCGCCAGGATGGGACTCGCGAAAGCCTGGGAGATGAAAATATTAGATAAACCACGTGACCTGCAACCATGTTATCTTTAGACTCAAATCTAAATTTTCTAAATAATTCCCTTACTGACTCAGTTTCTAAACTTCTTCTTTCAAACCAAAAATCCTAACAGATTAACAAGACCTGCAAGAGATCAGCGGTAACACGCTGCGCCAGCAGAATCGCGCTCAAGTCGACGGCGGCCTGACGACCAGCAATCTCATTGTCGGGATCCGCTTCGATGGGCGGCAAATAACCGCCCAACAAGGCCACTGTGCACACGTCTTTGACCAACAACTCCATGACACCCTCGGCGGACCCAATGACCCGCTCGTGCAAGGAACCACTCATGCACTTTCCTTCGATGAAGTCCACGTCCTTCTCGGATGTGCCACAGACCAAGACTCCAAATTGGGTCTGTAGCACCTGTTTGATGCAGCGGACCTGTAAAAGTGATAAAGAAAAGAGTCTTTTTACTAGAAGACACCCTTCTAAAAGGAAACTACCAATGCCTCTTTCTAACATTCACCGATCAACAAATCCAAATCTCACCAGTCAAACATAACTATCTTCAAATCACACCAACAAAAAACCTAAATACCTTCACTTGATCAGGCTTGTCACGCCCTGCTTCCAACACTAATTCCTGAAAAGCGGCACCAATGCCTCCACCGTTATTGCCTACCAACGCAGCCATTTTTTTAAATTCTCTCAAATGACGAAAACGAACTCCACAAACTCTCTACTACCAAACAGACTAAAAACGGCCCGCAGCCCCCCACTCGCAAGAGTGATAAATTTTTGAAGCACATTTTCACCAATTTGCCGTTTCACCGCGAATCCTAGCCTGTCTCACAAACCGAACTCGCTATCCAGCTTAACTCTCAAGAAACCTCCCTCACACTCGGCCCTTCCTGCTAGAGAAGAGCCCTGAATTCCATTTGCAATAAACTTAAGCCGAAAACCCATATACGCTCAACAATTCCTGAAATTTAACCAATCACATCCATCTCCTCACAACAGTGAGGGGTCTCCTTCAAGAGAGCTAACGAAAACCTACTAACGCACACTACGTGGCTCCTTCTATAAATGATGCCATAGCCAAAAGGAACTTATGCACAAGTCAAAATTTCCGCATGTTGAACTTCGAACTTCATGAACTTAAAAATAAACGCCCTATCCTCTTCTGACAAGAACCATTCATCATAATCAAACGCCTCCTGAAATTTCCTAAACATTTCGTCATTCTTCGTAGGCAGGTCACTAACATTAGATTCACTGGGCACACGGCCCAACTCAGGCGACACAGAAAACTCACTAGCTATCAACCAAAAATAGAACGCCGATAACGACATAGAAGGCCGCCCACTATTCATCCTATGAAGCGTACCTTCCGCCGCGCAGTTATCCAAGAGGAAAACGCACCGGGAATTACTCAACAACTTTATCCACACCTTCAGCGCAATGATCGCAGCCACCGCTTCAAGAAAGTTTATAGGGAACTTTGCCACAGACGGATGTAAGTCTGACTCGCTAACCGCGAGCCTCCACATCAGAACCTTACCTAAACTTCCACTTTCCCTGTTTACCCTTTCTGGAAAAACGAGGACTCCAGCGAGCACGCCTTTGCCTCTACGCCAACTGGCGTCAGTATATACTAAAAACCTCACCGGCGAAACGGTGAGTTTCCGCGGGGGAAGAACCTTAATCAAGTCCGCACAGGCGCGCAAGCTGAGAGCCAACGCTTTATTCAAGGAGAAATCTTTGTTATTTTGAAACATCCTGACCATAAGCGGTCTGATAAGAGGACGCAATCGCCTATCACAAACGGAGCAAAGTGCGAAGCTCAGTTTCCCATAAAGGGAGGCTGCTTCGTTAGGGGACAAAAATTTCTGAGACATTTTTTCTTCCAACATACTACTATACATCGCCTTCCTCTCGTCTGAAATGGTCAACGAAGGATGGCCGACTAATGAGAAAACTAAGCCAAGGAGTGTCACAGATTCATTTGATACATCAATTTTTTCCAACTTGTATGACCAACCAACCTTATCAAAAAATGTACATAATGCAAAAGCTGTCCGTGGCCCCAGCCCGGACCGTATGAAAGAATGAAAATCGTCTATGAAAACGGAATTGGGTATGCTGAAAAGACCCCGTATGCAACTACTCAACAATTGTGCCACACGCACCCAAACAACTACACTATGCGTATTACCAAAAACAAGTGACAAACCTCTAAAAGCGACCCATTTTTCATTCTTCGGGTCAAAAACTGCTATATAATTACTTTTCTCGTGCCCCTTCACGATCCCAATCGTCTTATAGGCCTTTTCTATATCAACAACAACACCATCTACATTTTCCTGTTCACTAATTTTACTGCCCAAATCATAGTTTTCCCGTAACAAAACCTGTACAAATTCACTCTGTTCACAAGCTGCCGCTTTCGCCGGCGCCTTTCTCTTACGCGAGTTAACACTAAAACAATCTACTAGCCTCGGATTCAAGTCCGCATTTGCTTGCAGACGAGCCGTGGCTGTTGCCATGGCCAACGCCTGCAACGGCGACGGCAACGGTATAACTCTATCTAACTGGCAATCGTGGTTGAAAGCCCGCGCATCATCTATCATCCTATACTTCTGTTTTTGAAAAACAGCAAACCGGGGCACTAAGAATTCAACTTCATCACTCAAGCCATCAAGATCAAACGGCCCTTCTAGAAGGCCAGTGCCAACTTCTTCTATCGAAGTGTCCCAAATTCTTTTAATAGCTTCGGGTTCCAAAAATGCAGGCGACGCTCTGTCTTTAAAAGAGCTAACCTTACACTTCTTAATAATCCCTTCTATCTTATCGTCAGCCGTTTTTTTCCTCCGAGCAGGCCAACTTAAAGGACAAAACACTGTCCCTTCACAAGTGCCACCGTTTAAAACCAATTTCCACGCAGTTGGATCCTGCGGATGAAACAATTCGTTCAGACGCTTCAAGAGAGCGATATTCTTAAAACCGAGCACACGGCGCTCGAAGACCTCAAAGAATCGCCAATCCTCTGTGCTAGAGGGAGGCTGAAAAGATTGCGACTCTAATTCTTCTAGCAAACGCAGACCCTCGGAAATTGTTCCTTCGTTAGGATGACTCTTCAACACAAGACTCAAATTCTCCTCTTCAATAACCGGCGGCGGTGCCATCAAGGACACGCTGTCCAAATCCGCAAAAATGTGCTCAAGGTAGTGCGTTGCCTCACGCACTACTCTTTTCTCGGCGGCGCGAGCCGCTCTACGAATCCTCTTTTCCGGAAGAGCCATGAATCTTTACTGAAGTATAACCAACCAAGCCTGAATTTACTTCTCACTTACCACTATCCTCCTTTTAAAACCGAGAGATGTATACCATTATCCAAAACTTTTACTTACTCACAATTTTCCTCAACTCTCAGCTCGGAAAACCTCCATTTTGCATATGCACAACCGAAAAAGCCACAAGCTCCACTCTTAAGGGATTTCTTTCCACAACAAGTTTCTACTTTCCTCCAAGCTTCGGGACGGGGAATCCAAATACCTTTCTCAACTCGGGTTTTATTTTTCCACACGAAATCATTAAACTATTCGACATTGTACTACGCCACGCGCCTGAATCTCAACCACACTAATTAGAATTCACTAAATTTCAAACGTGATATAATTAAATCGTCCATGGAAAGAAGATGTTAACCCGATTTTTACCCCGTCCCTCAGCTTGAAGGGTAACTCTCGGCCTAGACCTCGAGCTAACGAGCCTTCAAACCAAAGTACGGTCAATTTCCCAAGGAAGTGGGTGGGCGGGAAAAAGAAACGAAAAGAAACACTAGCGCAAGCACGCAACAAATTTGGCTTCGCAAGAAGCCTCGCAAGAAGAATTTTTGGAGCTTAAAAAGGGTCTTTACACTCCAGGCCCACAGAGAAACCAATATGAAGCCTACAAAAGCTCATGCTGGGTTCTCTCTTCTTTCCATGAACGGCGTTTAAAACTAGTTCTAAACGCTCATTGTTTGCCGACGGTTTGTAGACTGACAAGGCGTTCGTTCTAGAGTACCCTTCTCTCTTCGTGGAAGACAGGAATACTTTACTCATGATCATGTGTTGAACAAGACGGAATACTTTACTCACTTTGATGGAGAAGGGTATCTTGATTTTCCTGGGCCAACACGCCACACTCTGTCTTATTTCATCGGTGAGTTCTTTGTGTCAGATCAGCATTTCGACACTGCTGCTATTTCATCTTCAGTAAGTTCGTTCTTGTTAGCAATGTCCCCTTCTCACCGATGTTCGTGTAAGACAGGCACAGCGTTCTGCGCTAAACCCCTCTCGACTTATACCATAGATTCCAGTCATTGCTTGGGATCGTCAGGTCTTCGTCGTCTTCCTCAAATTCACCACAGAATTGGGGTACCCCACACCAGTGGTGACAGTTCTCTGTTTAGAAGTTGTGGTACCGCTTTAGCATCTTCCTCTTTGAGAAAGCACAGCCGTCATTATGGATGAATGATAACTAGTACGCAGGAGAGGTGCTAGATGGAGGAGAGGTACAAAGGTACGAACGAACGAATGAGCGATGATGTTTTTCTAATTGAGGGTAATAGGATCCTTCCTTAATCTGTGCTATTGCCTACAAACTGCATGATCCCCGTACAATTATTCGCACCCTCGGAACACCATTCCTGATTGTTGTAGGGTTGTGGTTGTTGCATTAGGTTTTGGGTAGTTAGTGCATGCTGGATCACTTTATTAAAAATCTTGATTTTTAAAATGAATCATTTACTCGGACTTCTTCGTTCCGCAATTTATTAGAGGAGTGAGAGGATGGACTTGTATTTCGGGTTGATAAACGACACAACACAGAGAAGAAAAAAGTTCCAAAGTCTGTAGGACTCATGCAACATTGTAAATCATACCTGTACCCCGAAGTGTTCATATTAACGAATAGTCGTAGATGACGTGTACTTGTTCTACTTGTGCATCTTCGTTCATCCACCACCATAGAAAAAGAAATATAACACGTACTTGCTCAACAACTACTTGTGTACAACCTCCATTTCTGAAAGTCTTCTGACTTCAACTGGTTGACGGTACTTACACGATAAAAAGTGCAACTCTATTGACGAGTTCTTCTTGCTCAACAACTAGTCAATAGAGAAGTTGCACTTTTTATCGTGTAAGTACCTGTACAAATACATCAACATTGTTCCTTCTTGATGTACTCAACTCAACTAAAAATACCTGTGCATCCGTCCAAGTGGCCATTGTCCAGGGATCTCCTTTGCTGCCTATAGGATGTATACCCCGCATTTCGCTTTTGCATCTAACGTTAGCCATGAAGCGGAAGCGCCCATCCCCTGTGACCCCAGACGTCTCAAATGTCTCCATGAAGTTTCGCTTCTTGTTAGAAAAAATTTTTATTTCGCTTTATAACTGTAGTAGTTCTGGAAGTCGCTTCTTCTTGGAAGTCCCTTTTTAGTTACCCTGTTCTTTGGAAGTCCCTTGTTAGTTACCCTGTTCTTTGGAAACCGCTTCTTCTTGGAAGTCCCTTGTTAGTTACCTTGTACCCGACGAGGTGGAGTGAATCGTCCTTATTCAATGATTGCTCCATCCAGGCCAACATGAAGAAGTGTGCTGGTCAAGCCCCCCCCGTGGTCTTTATAATAACATGAGCGTTAGTAGATATAGTAGATACACATACAACAAATTCGCTCTTTCTCTTTATTAAATGATCATCTGCTCGTCAGCTTGTTACTTCCTTCATCAACCATAATGAACAGGCCCTTTCCAAATTCTTTTGCTTGTTCTATGTCAAGCCCGAATGGTAACGCCAGCAAGTCACCGAACCCCACTGGCCATGGTATTACAGTGCCGTCACATTGCCGGTTGATGTTGTCAATGGATGTGAGACGACTACCTTCACAATCCATTGCAAAGACGCCAGACCAACTTAAAATTAAGGAAGTGAAAAAGAGGGTGGGAGCCCTTGTTACAACTAGAAGTCGAGGGAGTCGTGAACTAGTACTTGTAGCTGTACTACTCCGTGATCTGTTGTTAGTAAGCAGGGTGGACATGTTGTTGTTTATCGAGGTTTTGTGTGAAGATCTGCAGACGCCACGGCTACTTTTGGTTGGGTCCGACGAAGCAGACGCTGTGTGCTTCATCTTGGGGTTGGGAGGAGCTGTCGAGGTCTACTGAATGAAGCTGCGGGGGTTGCCGGGCTGCAAATTATATTGTCGGGCAGCGCGCACGCGCAGTTTCGCACAAGGGTGTTGTTAAGTGTGACTTTGTATCACAAGATGCTACAGGAAGATTACGGAGCAGTCGTGGTCGTCATATCAGCGAAGCAAGTACGAGCGCGGCTTTAATAGAGACATCGTCGCAGCAATGTAGTAGTGACAATGCAGCCAGTATCGTGCGAATCTTCAGTTTCACTGATAATATTTTTGATACCTTTGAAGAAGAGGAGGCAAAGCAAAACCACACCCAGGAGGAGCAAAGCTTACGCGATCATATTCCGGTCCTCCAACATCCTTGTGGTTTCTTAGCAGACCTACTTCTACGTCCCCTCCTCTCAGTCGTGTATTCACTTGACAAACAAGAACCAACCAAAATACAGGAGGAGGATCTTGTTTTATGATGAGTGTGGTCCGTGAGCTCGACCTGTGAGAGTCGTGTGCATAACGACAACCGATGAACGTTGAACACAGCACTGTCCTTTCCTGCCACGCCTACCACCACGACCTCTCCTGTCGTGTTTCATCTTTACCATTTCCCCAAAAGTGTGTAAAAGTTTTCTGTACATTCCCCTGTTTTTTCATGTGTAGTTGTGCTTGCTGATCATTTTGTAAGCATCTTCCCAGGAGTAAATAGTTGCAGCTATATTTCAATTGCTGCTCCTCTACATGTTGTAGAACGTGGCCATCTTCGTCCTATAATTACAACTACTAGCGCAGCCATGATTGACTGCTCTACTAGTACTAGGAGTAAGACGCGTTTTTCTAGGAAAGCTAGGAAAGCGTCTGAATGTGGATATGTTAATTGTTGTAAGCTCAAAAGATCAAGAAAAGTCGATAAACAAATTTTTAGCCAAATGCTTAGACCACAGTGTTAAAAATGAACAATGACAGTGTACGACCTGTACGTCGTGTTCGTGTAGGCATTGTTTCACTCTATGAATTTGAAGAAAGTTGTATAAGTAGTAGACCAAGAATAAGTACTAAGAATACGTAGTAGACCAAGGTTCATCATATGGATTTGGTGTTCTCAAGTTCATAATTGGACAATTATGATATCATAGCACAACATTGAATTAGTATCAATTTCCCAAAATTGAAGAATAGTCTGTAGTACATGGAAGGTTATAATAACTACGTTGAGCTGGCCGTTCTTCTTGGATTACGAACAAAGCCCCTTCTTGATGGTACGCATAATTGCGTTTTTATGCAACCAAGGTGTCAAAGCTCTATTTTCAGGTAACAGTATTAAGCACGACTAGCTGTCGTATCTTCCAAGCGTGGTGTAGCATTGAACATTCATGATATTATAACTGTAACTGTATGTAGTAAAACGAATCAGGAAATAAGACCACGACGAAGAGTAAGTACTATGAATGAATGAACAAGTTGTACGACAATTCTATGATGGCATTGGCAGTTGTAGGACAATTCTATGTATGATGTTATTTTTTCTCGTCAACTACGAAAGAAGTAATTTCTTCACCACTCTCGAAGATATCTTCTGGTGCACGTCGTGCAGCTTGTGTTGCAAGAAAAGTACTACTTTTAATTTTTTCAAATCCTAGAAACACATGAATGTATAGCATAAAAGAACTTCTTTTGTATTTGTTACTTTGAGTACTATTCATACAACTACGTACATTCACATTGCTTTCCTCCCATTTATTAATCCTGTACAATCCCAAAAGTCGATATCGTTATTCTAAAAAACCTGCCCTCACCTTTATTTCGTCGTTTTTGACCCTTTCATAACTACGGTTCCTGATCACAGTCTGCGAAAGACGAAAAGGTGTTTACGAAGTGTTTCAGCTGTTGCAAGCGGACCTCATCGTTGGCCAAGTGGGTGTAGATGTCCCGCGGATCGATGTTCATGGTGGCAATGAAAAGTGCTGAAAACTGATCTGCTTCATACTCCAACATCTTGTGCTGCCACGAACTCGGTCCAAATTGGCATCGGCATTGTTGCTCTGTAGTTTTTTTTGGTGGGCAGCTGGTGGGAACAAATTATTGGCATCGACATATTTTTTTCTTTCCGCTTAAAGAGGGCAGTTGGAGGTGGGAAGGAAATTGTGATTTTTAGGATTAAGATCAAGAAGCGTTTGCCCTCGCCGCGGCTATCAACAAGGGCGAATGGAAGCCAAGGAACAGGAAGATAGAAGAGGAGTGGTGTAGTTGCTTGTTGTTTATGCTCAGCACACCACTGTTGGGGGTGGCCATCAGAATTTTTATTTCCTCTTCTAGAACCATCCATATCCAACAACAATCAAGAAGAAGTACGCAAATGTCCTCGCATGATATGCCCGTACTCGTGTCCGACAATGTGCGCTAAGACAGCGAACTTGTTCGGAATCCTTTGCAAGTTAATCATGACCATGAGATATTAGACGTAAATAGGAAATAATTCATCTCGGGGATCATCTGGGTGCCATTTTCCTTCTTAAAGATTCTTGGTCCAGCAGATGACTTTGGTGGAGATGCATTGCCTACACTCATAAGGATAGCTGACGCCCTCTTCCTTCTCCCTCGTTGTCGAACAAGCGCAAAACGCCAATGTGTTGTCAATCATGAAGTCGAAAGCGTAGCCAGTAAAGTCATACACCAGCTGCAAGACGGACTGCAAATTCGCCATCTGCTGCCGTAAATGGTGCTCGCGGTCGTGACAGACTGAGGGGTGGAAATAGGTTGTTAAGTTATAAGTTAATATGGGGAAGACAAAAATTGTCTTCCCATCATGTGCTGGATGTTCATATGTTGAGTCGTGACTTGTCATGTTGAGTAAGTTACACACGACACGCAGCACAAAAATATTAAAATCACCAGGACAACAAGGAACATTCATCAAGGGCTACTAGTCGCACACGCAGTATAAAAATGACGCAAGAAATACCAGATTCTAAAAGTAAGTTTAATATGAGATAGAAGTAGTCTGATAGAAGTTGTATATTCAACAAAGTTAAGTACATTTCTTTTTGCAGCATACTGGGATTTTGATTTTTGGGATTCCGTGAAGTGGTGAGGTCATATTTGCCTGTTCTGAAATGGCTCTCGGGTCCCGACTATTGCCGAAAGTTCCCGCTTGCTGATACGTCTCCAGTGCGTTGGGCACGATCATGCTTAGCGCTAGTCTTTCACCATTTGGTCATGGTTGGTTCACGTTGTGCTGGGCGTTGACAAGTGAGTTCATCCCGTTTTTTCATTCCCGCCTATAATTTTCCCCTTTGGATCTGGATCACTCACACCCAGCATATTTATTAGTCCACAACAGGGGACGACAGTGAAAAACTAGCCTTAACATGCCTCGAAACAAAGTCGAGATGCCAATATGCGTCCTCTTCGGATCTCCGATTTTCTGACACAACGCTCTCAATTTCTGTTTGGGGATGCCCAGGGGATTGTTGTTCTGTAGCTGCGACAGATTCAGCGTTCCGGATTGCCCCAAAGCGGAAAGGGAGCCCAGAGGATTGCTACCCAGAACAGGAATTTCAGGACATTGCAACTCGCTGTCAGGAATGTCACCTGTTCGTGAGTAGAGGGGATGCTGGTCTTGATCATGAGAAAAGGAAGGAAGCTCCCAAGAACCTAGCATGCAACATCTTAGAAGAAGCAGTCTTGTGCTCCTGTTCTATGTCTATGAGCATCTTCTTTATTCTTGTCGTGTCAAGCTCGATGTCGAAGATAAGCATTGATAGGCAACAACTCAAAGACAAAAGCAGAAAATGTCCTACTACAAATAAAAATAGCATGCTCTACTTGAGGTAACCGTATAGTACACTGCAGTAGAAAATAATCACTGCAGTGTCGTGCTGACTTCAAAATAGTACACAAGAACTGCGGAATTGATTGATTGATTGATATGCCTGACAAGAGGTTGGACATGTTCTACACAAAAATTATAGAGTACTGAGTACATACCTCTCAGTTTCCTTTGCCACCAGCTAGCCATGCTTGACTCGTTCCCTGCGTGAAAGCTGGTTGAACTATTGCCAGCATATTTGGGAGGTTTCATCTTGAGGAAGAATTTCTTGGTCTTGTCCTTCCCGAATTCTGACTCAATGACGCCTTGGAAAGCGGTAGGTGTCCTCGTCGGACTCGTGCTCTTGGTCTTAGAGGTAGGTTTTTGGTGCTTGCGGGTTCCCCCGCTTTTATTTATGCCTTTCTCATCCTAAGGGAGAGAGGCATAAAAAGCGGTAAGAAAAGCAACTTAAAGGTGTACCCTTAATGGTCCTTCCTCCAACTTTCGGACTAGGGGTGCAATTGTCTTCAAGGATTGAACTCGGGACAATCTCAACAGTGAGAATCTTGATTTTGTACCTATTCAGTTCATCGGGGTAGTTGGGAAGGTTGTAGTTCGACAGTAAAAATCTTGATCAAACATCTGACTGGTCGGGAAGAAGATAATAGTTCCCAGTATTTTGTGATTTAGACGAGTGTTAGGTAGGAGTGAAAGTTGGGACCTTGTCTGCGAATTTCACGTGAAAAAGAAAGTGAAGAACAAGTACTTACTAGTAGAGCTTCAAGTTCTTGATGTGCTTATTCCACTTAAATGCAATAATTTAACCAATTATACAATTCGAAATACGAAGATGGCGGTAGTATTTTCTGTCAATTCTTTCTCTCATTAACTGCAAAGAAATTTAGGTACGATGGCGGCAGTATTTTCTGTCCATTCTTGTCGGTGAAGGGCTTTGGGTTCACGTCAAGGTTTTCTGAGTAGTATTCAACCAGGGGTTCTTTGGGCGCCTCGTCAGCTCGTTCGGCGATTTCTTTCGCGTATTGTCGTGACAATGGGCAGACGCCTCCCTCTTCCCATCGAATCTTGTTGCCAGTGCGCGGGTCAGTAGTCACTTGGTTCAAACAACTAAGAGTTTGACGCTTAGTCGTGGGTGAAGTTGCTGTGGCGTTGTTCTCGTTCTGCAAGAAATCGGGAGTCTGTACCGGGTTGGTGGAGATCATGGGGGTGGAATAAATGGTGTCCGCATGGAAGAAGTAGTTGTGAGCCGCATCGTCATTAGATGAATACATGTTATGAATTGCAATCATACAAAACATTGTGGGTGCTACAATGCATGAACCACGAACTTGGTGAACAATTTCATAGTCACAATAGATAATTTACCTTGGTCGAGTTCACAACAGGTTTTCGTTTTGTTGGGTCCGAGGTATCGATAATCAAGCTGCGTCTTGAAGTTGGCGACTGCTCAGGGGAAGCGCGTAATTTTTCTCCACGGTCTAGATTGTAGGTTGACGATGTATGTGCAGGCGCACTTAAACGACGGCTACCAAGAGTAGGTGATTGCGAAGCAGGACTGTGGAAATTAGAAGTAGGACAAATGCTCCTACTAGAGTAGAATTATGGTGTACCTTGCTCATCTTCATGGTTGTAGAACTGGAAGTTGGTGATATTATCACGTGTAACGTATCTATGATTGAGATGAAGAAGAAGTCAGCAATGAAAATGATGTTTTTGAGTCGATGAATCTATTCGAAAAACTGAAATAAGCAAGTAACTGATCAGAATAAGCGAGATACTGATGAATATGTTGGAGGTGATTCTTTCTTTCATAAGGAAAAGAGGTGTTCTTGAGTTTCCTGGAGAGAGACCTGACGACCGACTGAACATTCCACTACCAATAGCTGAAGAGCGAGCGCCACCGTTTGAAGGGCTTGCGCCGGAACCGGCGAAGAGGAGGTTGGCTGATGTACCTGTATTAAAGCTCAGCATTCAACGGTCACTGATGCTGAACGGAAGAGACACCCTTCAAAGCTCCCCTCCTTTCCCTTCATTTATTTACCCTGTTGGTCCTCTCAAGAAGGGGTCGCCTCTTCGATCTCAGTGACCCCAATCTCAATGGTGACCATTGAAAGCTGAGCCTTAACTGTAGTTACCCCTGTAGAAGTTGTCCGCCCCGAGGCAGTAACAGCACCTCCAGGCGCACTGCTGCGAAAGGAAACCAATCGGCCAGAAACCGACGAACGATTTCGACCAGGCGGCGTAAACTGGGACCTCGGTCCCGCGTCTTCCTCATCGTAGAACATGCGAGCTGGCGGAGAAAAATTCAAATCTCCCTTCTTCTTAGAGTCCTAAAAATCTAACTAATCTTCCAGTTGTTCCATCTTCTTACTTAGTATACATAGTTGTGGTGGAGCCAAGAACCTTCTAACTAGAAGATGCACTAGTCCACGCTTTGTATGGTCGGATGCAATCCTATTGGTAACACCACTGTCTTCTAACTAGCTAGAAGCAAGATGTAGTAAAAGATGCGAATATTTATAGCCTTAATCTTTTCTGGACTCAAACTCAATTTTTCCATGGGACTGGCCTGGATCATGATCGGCGGTCCTCCCGCACGTCGTAGGTCCACCAGCTGGCTCGAGGCCAATAGCAGGTCTTCGACTCCTGAAGAGGGAGCTTCATCGTCTGACGTCTTGGTTAGAGCAGGAGGAGGTTGCGAGGACAAGACCACAAGTTGTTCAACTCATTATATCATTACAACATGATTCTTCAGATTCGTTCTAATGAAGATCATGAAGATCTTCCCTGTAGTTGTTGGTGCACCTTCCCTTCTATAATGTTAATGGATTGGACGAAGGGACTAACCTAAGGCGAGGGAAAAATAACCTGCTGTTCTTTTTCTTGTTCTGATGATTCTAACACGAAAATCTTAACTTAGCCCGTTTGGAACTTTGTTCTGAGAAAACGGAGCTGTCCCGCGAGGAGCGGACCCGAGGGGTTGGGCTCCGACCCCGTGACTCCGAGCCCGTTTCATCCTGGCTCTGGATGTTCCCATGTTGATTGCTGCCACCACCAGCGAGCCCAAAAGTTAGAGCTTAATCTTACGGAATTACATTCCTCAGTTGTAGAATGGATTCTTACACCCTTCAGAACATAATTCCTGGCTTCTTTTCAAATAGGAAAGGAGCCAAGAATGGTCTAGGACTGGCGAATGTAATTTGGTGGAAACCCCTAAAAAAAGAGAATTCTGCAAGTGCTGGAGCATGTTGCAGGTTCAGGTACAGGCGAGACCACCTGTGGCAGCTTTTATCTTTATGCTCCTCCGGCGATCGACGTTCAGGTATTGTCCTCGTGCCGAAAAAGTGTTCGAATCGACCGTAGAAGAGCAAGCTGCGGTCCGATGTTGGACGGTGAACTTGTGCGCAAGAAAGCAACAAAAATGAACTTAGCAGCTAGGATCCGATTATTGAAAGTAAGACCAGTAGGTTGTAGATGTTCTTCTAGCTGACTTCTACCTGGACCAACTACAACTAGTACATGACCCGCTCGAGAACTAGTAGTGGAAGGAATAAGAAAGCCTTATGTTGAAGGAGAGGCGTCCTATGTAGAACAAGGAAAGGCGTATGGCTAGAACAAGATCAACAGATGGGGACAAACAGGAGCTTTCATGCGCCGGCAGCCACCTGGAGTACAATGAGAATTTCAAAAAAACGATATCCTATCGGACGGGGGTCATCAAATGATTGTGATCTTCTCCAACATCATAGCTGTCAGCACATGAGAACCACATCCCCATACTGGTGGAAATGATCATGAAACAGACTCATTCTGAAGGAACAGAATCTTCTCTCTCTCTCTCGCTCTCCCTCTGTCTCTGTATATCTCTCTCTCTCTCAAACAGACTGAGGCTCTCCTCTTGTTCTCCAAGATCTTACAGATCATGCATCCTCCTCTCGCAGACTCAGTCAAGACTGGGGGTGCACGACATCTCAACACTATAATTTCGTGTTTCAGATCTTTCATGTGTCAGATCCAGATGAGCATAACCAGATCTCTCTGTCCTCGCCACACTCTACAACTTCCTATAGTTGTGAGCCACTCACACTCACGACACTCTGCTCCAGACCTTTCCAGCACTGCTCTCTTCAAGACTGGTGCACTTGCACCATCTTCTTTGTTCTTGTTCTCAGAACAATATCATAATTGCAGCATTGTAGACTTCAGAGTATGAAGAACACGACCTCAACAACTGCATAAAGTTGCAAAACAGATGAACAGATATTGATACATAGATTAAGATTTCTAATTTGAGATCATCCTCGACACACGGATCGTTGTGAAAGAACAGCGACGAATCCATCAGGTTGTGCTTGAGGAAAGATGCGTCGCTCAACAGAACTGAGCAAAACGCCGACGAGTCACTATCATGTTCCCTGTATTGGAATGAGTCTGGTGATATCGATGCGGTTCGATTGATTAATTCATGTGCCTGGCAAGAGGTAGGTCTACGTGGTGCGTTCGAAGATGATGTCGGAGGTCGTGATTAGAGAGGTTCGAAGATGCTGTCGGAGGTTCGAAGATGGTGTCTAGAAGAATTCGTGGAAAGTCATGTCGAGTCATACAAAAAAATAAGCGCCTCTTTCAGCCTGTGATTGCCACTGCTTTCTGAAGTTGTGCCGCTACTTAGATTGGACTTTGCTGAATCTCTTTTATTTCTTCGCTTGTTGTTGTTCTTAGCTTGTTGTTGAAAGATCAAGAAAGACTAAGAGCCAAATACTATGGTTAAGGTTAAGGCTGAGGGTCTGCTGCCTGCACCGCGGCCAGGCCGCATCGGCTGGGACGATTCGGGTTCGAGTAGAATACTATGAAGGGGAAAAAAAATCAAAGTAATATAGTACTTAGATGATACGCGATACAGAGATGGAGATGCATGAAGATACACTACGTCGAACTCGAACCAAAGATGCTGATAAACATAAAGCGAAGCTAGAATAGGATGGGATTTGCCTCGCAACAGACACATCAGACAGAAACCTGCGTCCTCCAGCGAAGTTATTTTATCTGTTCTTGCTCTATCGATGACATCATTCTCTCATCCAGCAGAGTGAATCGTTTCAAATGGTGGACCGATTGATTGATTGATTGATTGATTGATTGATTGATGTGCCTGGCAAGAGGTTGATGTTGGAAGCTATCTATTTCTTCTTTTCTTCCTTTTTTGCATTTTTTCTCATTCTGTGTCGCGCCTCTGTTCTGGAATGAAAATGCCGCCATGCTTTCTTCTTCGAACACACAAGCGAAGCCAACGGCCCATCGCTCCTGAACCACATTCGAGCCACCCGACCGGTTTCAGTTTCAGTTATATTTTTGAGAGCGTCCCCGCGCGACCCATCTCGAGCGCAGACCACCTACAGGAAAAAAAAAAACCTGTTCTCCTACTCGCAGTGGCTGTGGCCCGTCGACCACCTCTCTCGCGATTTTTCTCTTGAAAGAACAAGATCAAAGTCGCCAATTCTTTCTCTTTGAAGCATTTACTAATCACATTCGTCCTCGTCCATCTTTTCCATGTGGTCGTGTAGCAACTTCCGGCGCCCTTACAAAAATTTTCTATCAATTTCATTTTTCGCGCTACGGTAGGTTATTTCTCCTATCAATAATTTGAATCAGCCTCATTCAATCAAAAAACTAGGTTGTAATATTAATTTGTGGTGGAGCAAGCCTCACTAGGTGTAGGTAATGCTATAGCGTACACAAGTTTGCTAATCTTGTACTTGGAGAAAGATTTGTCATTTTTTTTGTGCTCAGGTTAGATTTAATATTTTGGCGCTGCCTTGAAAGTCTTTTTCTGTACAAGACATGATGGATTTTTATAACCGGATACTTTAACCAAATTACAGCGCAGCGCCCTTTTCTGCTGTTCTAATCTTCTTGCTTGAGGATGAGTTTCTTGCCCGTGTGATGAACTGGCATGCGCTACCTTACTTGACGTGTGACTGCGGCGGACCAATTTTTTGTCAATCTTTTCGAGCAACATTCTGACGACCCCCTTATTTCATACATTCACAGTGGATTCCCGATTCCACATCGGCTTGATTTCCTATTAATGTCACCAAAATAAAACTAAGCTGTGATATTTTATGTTTGTCGCATTTATAGTGCTACGCGTTCGCCATGGCGGTCGCCCTTCCATAATTATAGCACACACAACGATCGCGAAGCCGTTGGCCTGGAATGAAATCCGACCAAGATCTACCAAAGCGCAAAAGATTGAGCCCACTAAAATGACCAAGACCGCCAGGCGAAAACACTAAAAAGAGGGCGCCATTCCAAAGAAGCGGCACGCCCAGCAATAGCCGGGGCGGGGGTCTTCCACCTCTGGCAATCTGATACGGGACGACCCAAACGCCTGACGGGTTGACCGTCACGCGGGTGCCTTGGTTTTCTCCCCTCTATCATTCGTTGCTTGCCTGCTTGTTTCAAGTCTCGCCCGCAGTTCAGTTAAGGACCTCAAGGAAGCCCATGCACCTAAGATCCTGGTTACTATCTCAATGGCCAACAAGCTAAGGGCCCCCAGCGTTTCACACACATGGCCGTATCCATGTCCATAAATTCCTTCAAGTTCTCACCAGTTCAAAGCAGAGAAAGATCCGCAAAACGCATCCCCGTAAAATAAAGTCCCCGCCGCGTGGTCTGATATGCTACACGCAGAAGGCCCTGCGGGGTCTGCATAAGCATCAACACACAAAGCCATAGCTGTGAGACCGATGACGACAACGCGATCGCGAGGATAGATATCCAAAGGAGCACGCGAAGCGCTCCCGATCATGATACCGCACGAAAAGGCGCAAGGAGCTAACCCCTGCAACCACGCAACGAATCTCCACAAAGATTGACCAAACCAACCAGATGCCACCCGTCTTAAGCTGTAGGCCCAATTGCATCAAGCAAGACCTTCACCCAGCGCTTCCCCAAGAGAAACCCGCCAAGACTTAGCCGCCTGAGTGCGTCCTTATGGTCCAGCACTAGCCTGGCCCCTGAGCTTACCAAAAACAAAGCAGAAACCCAGCTGAAGGCAGCCTCTCAGCATGTCCCACGATGCATAAGAAACCCCGAAGAAACTCCGACAGAGGTCCGGCTGGCAGGAGTGACTGTCTGCGTGCCACACGTCAAGAAGCTAGCCGCCTTGGCCTGCTTCAGGCCTACTCCGATGGCACGCCAGCAGCGCCGCACGGTATCCCCAACGAACCGCCAGGGCCACCACCCGGGCGGGCGCGGTCGATCGGTTTAAAGTGGTGCAGCCTGACGGACACGAGGAGCCCGAGCGCCCGCCCCCGTAGTCGTGTCCGAAAGGTGCAGCCGCGTCCTTCATGAACAGCCAGAACGATCGTGGCCACGTGGGCGCGGTGGATGCAGGTGAAGCCGTTGCGCTCCTGCGTGGTGTAAGTCATAAGACACTCCCAGCAAAACCGCCGCCAACTAAGACGGACAAGAACAACGCGCGGAGGCTGGCCAAGCCGCTGGCAGCGGGCTTGCTAAGCTAAGTCAAGTCCCACGACTCAGATCAGCCTACGGGCGTCGAGCGATTCCAGTCGAAAGCCCGCGACAAGCGAGACATCGCGAACCAGTCACCCACCGCATACCCACCGGAAGCAAAAGCCCCAGAAAGTGGCCAACAAGGTCGCACACTGCTGCAGAAGTTGGCCAAGGTGCTCCGCAAGAACTTCAAGGCAACGACCGAACGCATGCAAGAAGGGGCAGCCTGACCCTTGACCAGATCCATCGGTGGCCAACGAGCTGGAGAAGCGTTCGGCGGTAACGCTGATGGATCGAGCAAGCAACCCAAGCCCACAAAAGTGCGAGCGACTCCTTCAAGAAGGCGCCCCCAGTCAATGCCCAAGAAACCTCGAACGAGCCGTCTCATGAAGAGAAAGACGACGAGAAAAAGGCCAACGAAGCTGGCAAGGCCTTTCTGCCTAAGAAAGAGCGCCAGTGCGCCCCAGCACCTTAAGGCAAACACAAAGAAGAAGATCACCGCCGAGGCCCACACCCCCAAGGCTGGCCAATTCTATTGGCGGCCGCGAAGATCACTGCCTCTGCCAAAGGACAACAATGGGGGCCGCAGATAGAACTGACAACGGCAGCAACGGCGCCAGCCGACAAGATGCGCGCCTAGCCCGTTGGATCTGCAACAAGCCAAGGCACCAAGCCGCGAAGTGTTCCCAGTGGGACAACCCAAAGCACCCAAGTCAGAACGGGAACAAGAAAACCAACGCCCCGCCAGTCTACCTAGTGGCGGCGAGGGTAAAGCCAGAACAGGCGGCAGGGTGGCTCGCATGTCTCAGATCGACGCGAGAGGGAGCTGCGCCACGCTCTCAACGCCGGCAGGCAGAGCAGAGACGCAGAACCCGAGGCGAGTAGGCTCGGCTCGCTGGATTTCGGTGAAGAAGATGAGGGCGAAGCATATTTATACGCAATTAATATTAAGGCAGGGGGAAATAGATTCGGAGAGTGAGTGGGGCATAATCTTCCAGCTTGATTTGAACGAGCTCCATCGCTGCAAAACGAGAAAAGGCCTCCCAAGATCAAGACACCGAACAGATCCTACCGAAACAACCCCGAGAGCCTTTAAGGCTACACGCGGGGGGCGCTGGGGCTGGAAGTAAGTATAGACAGAAAGAAAAGCAAGAAAATTGAAACCAAACGCCTGAAGCCTTCGCTCGGAGTTCAGTTGTGCCCGTTGTGATTCACTGCCAAAGGGTCGGCCTTGGTTAGGTGAAGGGAACAGCCCACAAGCAACCATAGCGGGCCCCCAACTTCAAAAGCAAGCGCTGGCGGCTGTCTCAAACACACAAACACCAGAGAGGCTAGCCATACCCATACGAAGCCACCCACGCCGAAAGCCTCCCACACCTGCACGCAATTCATTCAGAGAAGGGCCAGGCGGTGCGCCTCCTTGTTCTTTCTACTCTACGACAGAAAAAGGAGGCGGCTGCGGTAGTCTTACAGGACTCGAACTCCACAAGAGGCGCGGGCGCTCCCAAGCTGATGGCTTACAAGCCAACCAGCTGTCCCGAGTGCGAAAATCCTGAACCGTCCACGCCTGAAGCAAATGAATCTGCTGCCTTTGCTGTCATGGTTAAGCGTATTGCAGCTGCTAGACCAAAGAACGCGAGACACGTGGACGCGCTGGCGTTTATTTGTGAGACGGTCAAGAAAGTGCCCCGCCGGCCGCCTAAGCTGGGAAGTGACTACGTGAGAGAATGAAAGGAGTCGCAGCAACGACAAAAGCCACGCACCAAGGCCAACCCTGGACAAAGATGGCGGAGCGCGCGGCGCATCCGGAGGGATGGCGAGCCAGTCCGGCCCCAGGCGGCGACGACACGGCCAGGCGAATGCAATCACTGCGAGCCCCAGACAGTCCAGCCGCCCCTTTCTTACACTCCAGAGAGAAGCAGGCGACCGCGAGACCTGTGCGCGCGAGACGTTTTGCGCAGGCTCTGCGTGGCAGTGTTCCCAGAGTGCTCACCCAAGTTGCCCGGCGTCGCTCTCGCTGGTGACACTGCGCCAGGCGTGCTTCCTTGTGACCGCGGGGGCCGTCTACTGCATACGTACCAACTCCCGCAGAAGCGTTCCAACATGCGAAGAGGCTCCATGCCTCGACCTCTCTGGGGAAGAGAACAGAGCGAGAGAAGCGCACCAACCAGAGAGCCCAGCGAGAATGCCCCGCCGGTCTGGTGACTCATTTAAAAACTGCAAGCGCAGCCAAACAACCCCGCGGCGCAGCTCTCTGCCAAGTATCACCGTGGCGTCTCCCTTAGACTCTGCGCGAAGTGCTGGCCGGTCCGGTTGGAGCTTTCACCCATGGCGACCGAAGTGCTGGCCGGTTGGAGCTTTCACCCATGGCGACCGATGGGCGGCAAAGTTGCACACTCATCAAGATGCTTGGCTTGGCTGTCATCTTAGCCGCAGCATAAAGATGGATAATGTTATCAGTCGCAAAGCCGATAGACAAGCTTAGCTATGCCTGGCCCAAAGCCTTACCGCAATGTAAGTCGCGAGGGCTTCCAAGACCTCAGTCCGGGGCTCCAGCCCTAGGAGCTGTCTTTTCAGTTCAGCCTCATTTATATCCATCATAATATAAAGCCCCGGCGCCTGGCATCGGGCACTATAATGAAACCACCAATACAAGGCACGTCGTCGCCACCCTCATCCGTAGCTGCGTAAGTCCAGAAAAATGAGGACAGTCGCAGGGCAGTACGTCCCAGCCCGTAAGCCATCGCCGGTAGGCGGGGCATTATTGCCCTTAGTTTCAATATGGCGTCTCATACTCAATGCCCGGCGTTCAAGTTTCTTCCGTATGAGGCAGTCAGGCGTCGTCTCGTCGAGCCATTCATAGAGCGGCCCCAGTGCCTCAGTACCCATTTTTTGGCGGACGTGTTGTGTCGCAAAGGTACACAGCCCGGTCGCCTTTTGGATTAGCTTGCGTGGTAGCTTTTTCACCTGCAAGGCCTTCAAGATGGCCTCCAGTGCCTCAGTCGTCTTGTCAGTGTACTCCTGTGGTAAGGTGACCCATAGGGTGGCGCGCCCAGTGCGCGCCGCTCTCTCGTAGCTATATACTAAGCCCAGTGCCCGGACGCGGTCAGTCACAGCCGAGGACTGGCCTGCCTTCAGTTTATCAGATAGCCCCAGGCCTAGCGTCCGCGCTAGTTGGTGCACGAACCGTCTCGCCGCGCCGATCTGTGCCCTGTCAGCACCAAAGTAGTTTTGGCCATCGATATATGCCAAGGATGGTAGACCAAAATAAGCCGCCACAGCCATCAGAAACCCCGCGACTCTGCAGAATGCTGGCGCAGAGGGCTCAGCGCCCATGTCCAATGTAAAAGCGATCCAATTGCAGAACCCATCCACTCGTGGGTCATAGATATCCCGCGAATGGGGACGAGGTGGGGCCATCTACTCCGAAGAGCATAGGTAGTAGGCGCTCGAGGTGTCATCAGATGCCATCTCAGGTGGTTTCCTGACTTCCTCCACGGGAGACCCGTCAGGGTGCCTCTCAGGTTTGGCATTTATCAGCCTCGCTTTCTCTGAGAGGCCTGCAGCATAGCACTGCAGTGCTCCCGGGAGCGGTTCCAGCTCCGCAGAAAGACGCTAGCGCCATGGCGGTTCTCGCTGTCGTTTCCTTTTTCACCTGGCCAAGAGGTGAGGCGCAGCAGTCCACCCCCCTCCCCAGTGGCATGGCATACATGCCTAGCAGATCCGCTATCTGGCGTGGCCCATGAAGCGCCAGCTTCTCCGTTGTGCGGCAATATTTACTCCTTGCCCGCCTATCAATCAGCGCCCGCGCCTTAATTAAATCTCTCAGATGTGGCCTGATCTTTCAGAAAAGCCATCGCCGGCATACATTTCAGGCCATCTCCAGAAATTTCCTTATATCTGCCCTCCTTTGTGTCCTCCTCTATGGTCTCAATTATTGCCACGAGGAGGCCATCGCCAAAATTTGGCTTCCCCCTTTTCAATCGTGCAGCTAAGCCATAGAAGTCCGCAGCCTCGTCTTCACCTGTCATGAGCTTATGGCCCGCTTTCCAATCCATAAGCCTGCGGCGTCGCCACTCCCTATGGAATTGAAGCCATGCAGCACCCTTCCAGGGAGGAGCGTATCCGGGTACTGTATCAATTTCGCCAGCTCCTGTATCGCCGAGACATATCTCGCCCTATCAGTACAGAGCAAGGCCCTTAGGTGTTCTGGGGCTTCCTGTTGTGTTTTCAGATAGTTGCTTGCTACCGTCTGTTCGTGTAGCCTCCTCAGGTCCTCCGTTGCTGCATCCATCCTCCTTACCCATGTAGAGGAGCGCCGTTTTTGGTGTATCACGTTTTCAATCTATAGTCTCCGCTGCCTGATCGGCAGGGGTGGCGCGAAGCGTTCATCCCCAACGCCTTCGGCCGCATCAGCCAGCGCATGCGCCAGGCGGTCCTGCATGCGCGTGGCCTCCTCGGGGTGGAGTGGGCAAGACCAAAAATTTCAACACTCTGAGTAACGTTTTTGGCAAGAGCGGCGACAGCGTTGGCGTTCACCTTTTACACACGTCAGCATTTGTCGAGTATAAGGATGGCGCGCCTCCATGGGATGCGAGGACAGAGTCCGCTGGTGGGATATCTTCACTCATCTCACGTGGGTGGGATGTACATCACGCGGGCCACGCCCCGGCGACCCTGCGTCGCCAGTAGTCTTGTGGAGATGTGCGGCCACAGTCCACGTCTTCGCGAAGGATCTCAGTGCCTCCGTGTGTGGGCGCACATTCCCGCCCACGATCAAGGTGCAGAACTTCAAGCGCGCGCCAATCTCCTCAAGCGAGATGGCGGCACTTCCATACTCGGCGAGTTTCTCAGGACCACGCGCACACAGAGCCATCAGATGCAGGCCCGCGCTGGACATGTCTTTCGGCTCAGGGGACTCAGTCTGCTCCCATAAGCACTCGAAGACGCTGCTGGAGGTCGTCGCTTTCTTTTCATTTCTAGCCTTTATGTGTGCGCTTCCCATACACTTAAGCAATGGCTCTCCGTTTCGCTTTTGCTTTTCTTGTTTTACAAAGCTGCGCCCTGAGCTTATTCAAGATTCTCAGTAGAGTACTTATTCTCAAGTAGTCAATCGTAGTGCGCAAGCGCAAGCTATTTCGCAACTTTTGCGAGAGCTCAGCGAGTCTCAAACCCTGTCGGAAAGTTTGGGGCAGTAAATCAGTGACACGACTGAGCCACCCATGTGTGACGCAAGACCAGACCTCGTAGAACTCAAGTGAAGGGAATTCCAAACAGCCAGCGGAAACGCACGAGATTTCGCATCTACGCACCCACTTGCCATCTCATGCCTTCACTGCGTCGCGAACACGTCGACGGGTGGGGTCACGCTCACGCGCCCACACAGATCATCTGACTCAGTTTCGGTTTTCATTTCGAGGCGATTCCACGACACTCCAAAGGCCTTCCAAGCCGATCGACATGCCAAGGCTTTTCGAGTCAGCCGCCTACTATCATTTGCCACAGATCGCCTACTAAGTTGTGGGTCATTTGTCACGACACTCAGTCGATTTCTCTTTCTCCATCAAGTGGCCCTCTTCGATCAATGAGCTTTCCATCAAGTGGCATCTTCAGCGTTCCTTCGGTCAGTTTTCCACCCATGCCATTACTCATTTGCAGGGCACGCCAGTGGACTCGCGGAGGGTCCCCAGGAGAGAGAGAGGGAGAGAGAGAGGGAGAGAGAGAGGGAGAGAGAGAGAGGGAGAGAGAGAGGGTGAGAGCAATTGCAAATTTCCGAAAACTCCGACCGAGTGTTTTTTTTCGACAGACACCAGATCCAAGACGGTGCGACGACCGACGAAACCGAGAGTGAGTGACTTTCTGTTGATTTGTTACATTTGCTTTTGCTGAAATCGCCTACCAACACACAAATAAAAGAAAGCCCCTCCGCTGGCGATTTTTCATCGTCTTCTATCCGCAGCAGTACCATACTTATTTGCTAGTCGGTAGAATGATGTAAACGTAAAGTATTGCGTAAAAAGAAGCGATTAGAGTCTTCGCAGGAGTAGGCATGAGGTCACACGGCTTTTGCTTCACACATGAGCTACAACGTCGCACACTTCCCGACCGATCATTTCCGACGCCTCTAGTGCTAGCGGGGCGGCATGATGATTGTACTACGGGTGTATATCTGAGCAGGTCCAGGTAATTTCATCACCTCGCAACCATTGCGCCTCCACTGCATTTCTGCTTGAGGCAATCGTGTGCACCGGACAAGTCTCTGCCTCCGTCAGTGTATTTCGAGAGTACGTAATCCACACTGGTGGCTGAGCAATCGAGATGAACATTTTCACATCCGACTGAGTGAATAAGATCTGCGAAAGCCCACATGCAGATGCACCAGCCTTCGCCAGGATTCTGCTTATTTGTACAGATCTCCTGAGACCAGTCAAAAGCGGTTTGACCGGTTATCTGCCAAAAATCTCCACTGCCCCACTGCCGCTTTTCGCAAGTACCACCCGGTTTCTGATTTTATTTTTGCAGATGGAGATTTCGTGCACTATATTAGAGTCATAATGTGCCCTCGGTTTCTCAGTCGATTCCGATGTTGTGGATACAACTGGTATCGAAATCGAACACTGCTACCAGAAAATCAGTACTGTCTTCTAAGGAATCAGGTATTTAAGTACCTCGACAAGGAGAGCGCACACCCGATGTGTGCTATCAAAGGTGCATGTCTCAGGCTGTGGCCCTCCTCGGTTTACTTCTCCCGGACATTTGCTGACTTTCGCTGTTTGTACCGCGCCGCCGCCAAAAAACTTCGAAAACCAGCTCTCGGCTACGGCGGAGGAGATCCCAAAAGCAGACGCAAAAAGCGACAATCGCAGCATCATGCTCTATGTTCTAGCTTGATTCGACCGAATACAAATCGATTGTTGGCAACTTGAACTTCATCTAAGTACTTAGTAATGTATTCTATGATGTTTTTGAATCAAAAAGTTTAATTTGGATTTGCCCTTTCACCGATGAGTGATTCTGCAACAGGTTTTGCTCGGTTTCACATGCACCTGCATGCTCCGAATGATCCCTTGATAGCCTTAGACTTTCTAATTCGCAGCCACAATCACAACAAGCACTATCCTAGTGCAGCCGCCTGCATGGATTATTCCATGTGATCTACGCTCGCATTGAAAAACAGCCCTAATGGTCAAACAACGCAGGGAAACTTTTTCACACAACGAGGTTGCTCAAGAATCCCCCCAGGGTTCAAATCAGCATGTCCTATCGTCATGTCTGCATCCCTTAAGACGGGACAATCGGTAGAGCATCATCAACGTTGGTAGTGCGTCTATCGGATGGTCCTTATCTGTTTCGACTGTGGATATTCTCGATTTATCAAATGCAGGCCCTTTCTGATTGTTCACCGTGTATTCAAGATCAATAGAAGTTTGCGCCGACGCATCTGCGTGCTTCTGACCCTTTGAGCCAGGAGTTGCATCTACCCCACGAAGGTACCGCCAAGAAGATATTCCGCCTGTCGATGTTTTACTGCTCGAATGCTCTGCACTCAGAAGATTATCGCCATCGCGTGTGAAAAAGACCGAGGTTGTTGCACCATCTTGTTTTTTCTGAGGTCTTCCCCGTACAGACGGAGGACTCACAGCATTCCGTCCCCAGGTTTTCTGTACAGAAAGCGGAATGCAAACGCATTCTGGCTTCGCTGGGATATTGTTGCTGTACTCCATCTCAACATCATCTACACCTTCGTCGGATCCCCCGACAGCAGACTTGGACAGTGGCACTCGAAGTCGAAAATAAACCTTTAGGGACCCTGGAAGTGTCGTGGCAACCTGCTTGTTGTTCTCTTGCTCATTACTTTGGCACTCGTACCGGTGCAGTAGTCGAGGGTATCCACTCCACGTGCGGTGTTTGTTTCGATGACAAAAGAAGCGCTTACCTTTTGTCTCGCATGACGGCAACCCTGGCAGAGAGAATACATGTCGTTCGTTGGATTGCCTGTCGACTTGGGGTTCACACCCATACCGTGAAGGAATTGTCCTCGGAGTATCTTCTCCGCGGCCTGTTTGTTTTCCATCTGTGCTAGTTGTATTCGTCTGGATATTACCGTCAGTCGTTGTTTCTTCACAAAAATCGCTTTTCACCAAGCTTGAGTCTTCTTCTTCGAATGGCGTCTCTTCTGGACCCAGTGGCTTTGTCAAATCTGCAAATGTACCATTGAAAGCATTTGACCTTGGCACAAAGTGAATGTGATCCTCAACACTGACACCCTCCAACTCCGTTTGGTGCAAGGCAGATGACTTCCTACTTTCCTTGTCGTCCACAACTTTTGCACTTGTAGTACGCTTGCGAGTATACAGAGAGGCGTCATAGCTGGTTGTGCTTTTTTCAATATGCACACCCGCGACCCGACTTGATGAAGGCTTTGTAGAAGTTGTCCATGATGTCTCTGCAGAGTTACCTTTCCATTTTTGTTCATATAAGTCCGTTATAGCGGACGACAATTGCAACATCAAGCTCCGCACGAAAGAAAATTTGCTCCCCGTAACTGCATGCATCATTAAGGGCGAATAATCTTCGCTATCACGAACCATTCCGTCAAGCAGATACTCGCCCCCAGCTGCACCTCCTTGTCCTTCGAAGTCAATATTGTTCTCAACAGGTGCATCGTCCTGAAAGAACAACGGTGGAAAACCGTCTCCACCTGAAAATGCAGACGAAGCAGGGTAGTCTCCACCTCCGGCCGTAGTCTTGCGACGATGATCTTTCGGTAACGGCGTTGGGAACCACCAAAAGAGATAACGACTCCATAGTTGCGTCTGCTTCACCCACACACCGACACCCCAGTGCGCACCCAAAACTACCAGAAGCGCGATCAGGTAGAGTAGTATCTTAATCACTAGATTTAGACTCGGCAAGTACTGTTGCAAGATGTAATTTGATGGGAGACCAGGTAGTCTTGCTAAAAACGAGTGTCGTCCTTGCGGAGACGTTCCGCTAGTACTCGTACTTGAAGATAAACTAGTGGAACCTACTTTCTTCTTTTTCGTCCTAGAACTTGTCGCATCCTTGTCATTAGAATTGGAGGTTGTTGCAGAAGACTTTGTAGTACTCGCATCTGCTTTCGTATTCCTCGACCCTTCTTGTTGTCGTCGGTGTTCCGATTTTGCATCGTTCATTTTGACAATGGAGAAAAAAAAATAAAGAAGTAACTTCATAGAATCGAATTGTATTCAAGTGGGACTCAGAGCAACAAATCAACAATTGATCCCAGCCCTCAAGCTGGAAGCGACATAGCATAGCTACACCTACACCTACTGTGCACGACAACTAGCGACCTAGGCCTATTCACTAAACTACAATTTGTAATTTTGAATCTTCCTCAAAATCTTGTTAGACCATTTTTGCTAGTTTGAATCTTCTTCATGATATCATTGACGATGGAGTAGTATAAGTACAGCTACATCATTTAACAACTCTTTCATCGTCGAGAATAGAGAAGCTCGGTCTGAAACTGGCTCTTTTTCTCGTGCTCTTTCCTCATCTTGATCCATCTCTCCGTCAGCCACTTACGTAGTCCACGTTTACCTTTCTCTCATGTATCTCTCATTTCAGAAACAACTCTGACCTCAACATCTAAAGCGATCGTTGTTGAGGGATATAATTGCCACTTCTCCTGTGTCACTCAGTCATGCAGACGACAGAGCTGCACTATAAAGAAAGTGGTTCACGGTATTTCGAACACTACAAATTTTTCAACTCTAGTACCTGGCATGTTCGTCTTTCCCTATACTAGTTCAAGACAGCCACCAGTATCACGCTGGTGCAATATTCATCTATTCATTTCTTCTCAGATTGAGTAGGAAATAATTGGATCAATATTCTCAGGGATATGTGGATTTGGACTATTTTTCTTAGGATGTTTCTCATTGTTTTGAGGTTTATTTCGTAGATTAGAGTTCGTTCTTAATTCCATTAGACTCATCTTCAAGCATAGAAAAAGGGGTTCCCGAGGGTGCCTGGAATGATGTCCAAAAAGGTGCAGTCGTCAACCTTTTCTGATCGACGTTGGGGAAGGTGAGGACATCTTTACGAATTATTGGTTCGGGGAAGCAGGAGATTTTTCAGTCGTTACTACTAGAGTCATCGCTTTTATGGTGGTTCCGCATCCACCCAGGATACAACTAGTTTGTCTTTGTACAAGCATCTCCGTCTCGTATGTGGTCGCACTTACAAACCTCGTTGTTTCTATTTAATCTAATCTCGAAATGCATAAAGTAAATTCAAGATAGTCCTTGTTCTTCTTCTTGTGTGAGGCAGGATATGTGAAGAAAAAGAAAATTCATCATCATCATCATCATCATCATCATCACTGTAGTTATTCTAATAGATGCTTACCCTAATCCTAGTTAATCCTGTTAGTTAGGGCATCAATCGATTTCGCATACAAAGTCAAATAAACATTGAGGATCGCTTTCCTATCGCAATTATCCGCTCTTCGCAGCCAATTTCATCGTGTCCAAGATGAAAATAAACTAAAAATAGACTTTCACTTCCTGTGTAGAAGTTGGTAAAATTCACGATATGTTTATTAAGTTGTAGTCATTTTATTCCCAAAGTAAATGTAAATCCCAAATAATGATGGATGGACTAGATTGTAAGTTGTTGTAAATCCCAAATAAGTCTTAAGTTCTTGTGAAGTTGTAATCTGATTGATGATGTTCGATTTTGATGTCAGAGTGATAATTCTTACAGTCATAAATCCTGCTGAATAAAATCCAAATCGTAACGTACAAGTTGATAAGCTCAGTATATTCCCTAGATATCCCTCCTGATTCCCTTTGTTCCCAATTACGACCCGAGTGATGTAGACTAAGATTCTGGGAGCGGAAAGTCGGCGAAGGTAAAAAAAAGATCTAATTAACACTCCACCGTAGATCGCTTTTTATTACCGCATTTCAATCTTGCCTTCCCTATGTATTCTATAAAGTGTATAGACTTTTTTTCATGATCTCAGTCCGGTAGGTGAAGATGAATCTCTTTCGCGAAAATAAAACTTAGACCTGCTGTTGTATGCTTCATTCTCTTCCTTGGTATGAATACGCGCGATCATTTGATTTATTTTTCAATGCTCACAATCAACCACGCAGTATATTCCACAGAGTACTAGTCAGTTACAGTCGTAACTTCTCCTAATGAATTGTCTGATAATACGTCGCACGACCGGATTACCTGGCCAAATCACACGACTATAATTTGCTGCAGTGGCATTGTGTTTGTTGTCTCGGAGAGGACGGAGAACGGAGACTTCACCATACCCAGACTACATCGACGGATAGCCCGTGTGGCTCGCCAGTTTCGCTTCACGCTGGCCGTGTATAGTCCGTCTAGTATTGATCATATTATATCACTAATTTTGTCGAGAGCCACAATCTAACACTTTTCGGACCTTATTGAGAAAACGAAAACAAACCTACACAAGAAAATCCGTACAGTCGCTTCATCTTACCCTACTTTCTCGAGCTATCACTAAAAATTCCTCATATGTTGAAAACTGTAGATAAAAATAACCCCGTGACGAAAATAGCATTGAAGATTTTCCCATTCTGAAAATATTTTGTCTTAAATTGATCACGAATTGTGGTCTTCACGATGCGCCGACTTCTTTCCACCTCAGTCTATAGCACCACTTCTGCAGCGACGACCGCCTTTGCAGTCAAAGAAAATTTAAGGGTGACATTGCATATAAAATATCTACCTACTTCAAACACAATTTCACCTGAATTTATCACCTGGCACCACAAGCACGTCCAGCAAACCCGAAACAAAAAAGTACTTGGTACAACCATTATCCTGCTTAAACTGGACTCGCCGACATCTACCTCGTCCAGTGGTACCACTAACGAACCACAACTACACCCCTGCGCCGTATAAACCCGCCCAACCATGCCCCCCACACACCTACCACAACGCATTCCGCCAAAGCGAAAACACGCCTGTTCCAACAACGTAACCCATAACATGTGGGGGGCGTAAGAAACTACACTTACAAGAAGTGTTTCTTCTCATACGAGCGCATCTTGTTCCAGATCAGGCCCGTAACGGCAGCAATACAAACAATAATGAAGCCGAACATGTAGACCAAGGAGCTGCTGCCTTGTTGCAACTTCTGCAGGCTCTCCTCGAATTCGCTCATCACCTTAGCGTGCTCCGGAGCCGCACTCAAAGTCGACAAGGCCTTCATAGCCTTAGTACGCGCGCGTTCGACCTGGACAAAAATATGGAGGATACTTATTTCTTCAGCATGAGATAGTAAGAGGTTGATGCATACAGTGTTTCTTTTGGTACAAGAATCAGCATTGATTGAGAACAATTGATATCTTGGGTAGACATCTACTTTCATCCACTTCCAGCAACAAAAATTCAATCAGAAAGAAAGAAAGTGCAAACTGCTCGCTTAATATCGCTTTCAGGTTGTACCTGTTCCTCATGTTCCTGCCCGCTGTGTTTCAGAAGCGTGCGCAGTCCGTGCATATGCGAGCGCAAGTCAGACAATCCTCCCGTTCCCTTCTTGCGTCCCAGAACAATGCGGACCTCCTGGCGGAAGTTGCGGACGACATTCTCCAAATTGCTAGTGCGATCACCCAACTCTCCCAATTGAGAGAGCAACTTCTGGTCCTTGTGAGTGGCGGCAAACCTAGACATGATTTTTCAATATGGAGGACGTGGTTTCGAAATTCTTTGTGGTTCTTCCTTTCACAGTCTTCAAGAGAGATCTTCATACAAAGAAAATGTTGCAATTCTTCTTCGGTTGACGTAGAGCCTGACATTTCAATTATGGACGGCAAAGGAGGTTTTTGACGAAGTAGCTAATGTAGGAGTACCGCTCCAACAGTTTTTCGAGTCGGTCCAGAGCAGCGGTTTGATCAGTGGTATTCATGTAGTTATGGTCCTCGGCCATAAGCGCCTCATAGTCTTTCATGTAATCCTCGTTGGCCATATCCTTGCGGCTGCCCAAATGATGCTCATCGTGGTTCGTGCTGTGTTCGTCAGATTTATTGAGGGATTAAATTAAAGAACCTAGTAGGTAAAAGAAATGATATATTAAAGTTGTAAGGTAGACGACCTTTTCGGCAAGTTAGTATAGGAAGATAGAGATTGAAGAAACGAAATAATTTGGTGACTTAATCATAGTACAGAAGTTCTAGTGCTTGTAGTTGTTCTTCTTGTACCATCACAGAATTTTATTTAGTACGCTGTAATCTTGGTGATGCCGACGACAGCAGGGCGGATCGACTGCTCTCCGGGTTCTTGAGCTTTCCCGGTAAAAGACGTAAAACCCATGTATCCGGATCCCGTATTGACGCCACCGGTGCCCGTCTCGCAAACATGATTCCACTTCTCTCCGATTTTCACTTGAACAGTCATCATAGAACGGCTTTGATCCGCAGAGGGGCGTCGAGAAACCTGTCGTGTGAGTGTGTCGTTGTGAAGGTAAAGACCAAGCAATAGAGTAAACTCACTTTGAAGTCGTGTTCGTTGTACTTACTTAGATCGAAAGTCCAAAACCAATATTCTTACCGGTTGATGAAGAAGATTGTACTACATCAAGTCATCTACCTGTCGTGGGGTACCATCAAGGATATAAGTAAAAACAACTTGAAGTACGTGTAGGGTGATCTCCTTATTGTCGTATCGGAGAAATTTTGGGGGTGACAAGTTTCGGCGAATGCCCTGCATATCATCCTGGAAGCACTGGACCTGTGTCACATGGTTGTGCTCACTAAACAGCACACCCATACCTCGCATTTGCTCTTTCCACCTGAAATCAATTTCAGATTTAGAAATCTAAAATTTGGAAATTTGATCACGACGAGTGGAAGAGTTTTGATTATAAATGCATCTACCTAAAGAAGACACTGAAAACCGTGAATGCTGATCTTAATGTTGAAAAAGAAGAAGCTGCTCACGCACAAAAATAAACTTCAGTACGCGTAAAAAGTGAGTCCTTGATTGTTCAGCAGAGAGTCGAATTCGCCGCCGCTGCCTTTAACATAAGGCGCATAGAACTTGATGCTGTCGAACCACGAAGGAAAGTCTTCCTGGACATAGTAGAAAGCGAAGCCCTGTCCTCGCATCATCTCACCTTGAATCTTATAGTCGACTAAGACCTCAAAATCACGGGAATCAATAGGCTCGCGCGCCCACAAGTAACCAAATCGATTCTGCACGTCGGGAGTCAGCATAACCTGCGAAGGAAGCGTCGCTGAAGCCGCACCATTCACAAACCTGGTGGTGGTTGGTAATTACATCAATGATGAGTTGATAGGGTTGCAATTTCTTAGGGCTTTTTCTCTATTTCTCAGTTTTTTTCTCTATTTTTCTGGAGCCTCATATCCTACTTATAATCTTTTGAATACCAATCTGCTGTCGCTCCGCGCGTGTTGTCCAGTCGTGATGTGTCGATGGAGCCCATGAAAGAGTGCGCAACCATGTCCACTGATAACCTCTGTTCGTTTTGTGCATGCCTCTGACCGTGCGCGAGCAAGCATGAGGCCGACAGTAATAGTGCACTCTGAGCAAAGCGCTTGCTTCCTCGTCTGCTGGAGGAATGGCTCGCGGTAGACGCGCTTGATGAGGAAGACATGTCGGAGGGCTCCATCATATTGTCCAGGGTTCGACGTGCTCGCGACGCAGAAGATGAAGTAGAATATTCTTCAGGTGTCGTCATCGTGACTGAAGTGGTGAATCCTGCTTGGTGTAAGAGAAGACTTTGATCCCACTCGACTGTTGATCGCTTTCCGCCTTCTTGTGAGTACCTACCGTGTACAGCGATAATGTGGTACACAAAGTTGTAGGGTGTCGCTGATGTCGTTGTCGCTGCTATGGTCGTCGTCGTCGCTTGAATTTGTTGCCGCTGAGTGTTCAGCCGTTTCCTACAACTTCGCTCACAGCGGAAGAAACAAAACAAAAAATGAGTGACTTCAAAATCTGGATTTATGCGGAGGGGATGAGGACGAGAAAAGAATTGTAAGAAAGAACTATCAGAATTATCCAATCTTACAATCTAGGTAGGGACCCTGCAACGAATTTGTGCCAATTATCAGTACACAGGAATTCTCCAACAACTCTGACTTCTTAGTACGCGATTTAAGAAAGAAATGGGGACGAGAAGCTAAAAATCAATGCTATTATCGAGAGATAATTTCAACCTACACAACAGTGAAGGATTTAAGTAGTCTGAATCAGCTAGCAGTCTTACCTCGTTAGTTTAAATAACAGGGCTACTGCCTTCGCTAAAGTTTAGACATTGACATTCAAATGCCTGCACTGTATTGGGTTGCAAGGAAAAATTGATGAAGCAAAGCGGTAAGTGAATGAAAACGAAGACATAGCGGAATCCACAGCTAGTATATGAATGGAAGTATAAATGCATTGGTTCACGTGCTGTGATTTACAATAAGGATTAGGATCCACGTTATCGTCATGGATTGATCGCTAGCAAAGCCTACAACAAACTCACTGAACATTCGTAGACTCTATCTATGAGTTATTCAAAATTCTGGATCATTCACGACATCTCTAAGCATTGATATCATTCTCTTTGGACCACAGAGTTCCTCATGACAACAGACGCTGCATGCACACCAGCTTCTTGACAGAATATCCTTCAAAACAACAGAGATGTGCCATACTTTCCTGGTTCAATCATCGACAAGGACCTTTTTCTTGTAGTTGCATATTAAATATATAGTTCATCACACAACGCCATTTATTACAACATGTTGAAGGTGCTGTCGACTTGGCTCCTCCAAGATCATTTTCATTTTTATAAACTACTTACATCGCAACAGCCTCACCAGAATTATGCCTCACATTCGTATTTCCAGATCCAGATAATTGTCATAAGAATTCCTCATTCAGCGTGATGATTTCGCAACTTTAAGACTGAAAACAACGATTCTTTGAAAGCGAACACACATTTAATGCATCACGCAGCCGGCCACAACAACGACAGACAACACAAAATTTTCTCCACCTCAGATTTCTTCACTCAACAGAGCCCTCCTTTTGTCGGGAAAATTTAATCTACTTAGATGAATGTTGTGGCGCTTGTAGTCGCTGTGCTCTAGGATTGGGATCCAACCTATCGCACAAAATACGTCAAATTGCCAAATAATGAGGAGGATGCTAACGAACTCCGAATACAACACTGTTATTGAACTTGAACAACATGGCGCTTATAAAGTTGTTTACATGCTCATACCAAGTGTTACTAGTGGTCACTGAGATTTTTCACATCAATCATTGAGTTGCTCTGATATTTCACCAAGGTGATTATCGATATAATGTGTACAGTACTCGACATTGAACCCTAGTTTACAATTTTTCGACCTTTTTGAATACACAGGACTAAAAAATTGCGGGTTGGACGGTGGCGCGCGCCCGATGATCTCCTTTAAGAGATCTACTAATCTAGCTTGTCACAAAGGATTTAAGGGAAATCAAAACCCTCAGAATTCACGGAAGAACGAGCTGTAGAGAACGACAAGAGCAGTAGTTATTACTAGACGAATTTCATGATGTTTCGAAAGATGTCATCAGAACAATGCAGGGTAAAACCAACGCAGTCTGCCGTATAGTCCTCCGGATCGTCGTCCTCTAGATTTCGCAAGTTTCTAGTGCGTATCAAGAAGTACTCCTGTGGATCCATTGTGCCTCGAGAAGCCAACCACGGATCCTCGTTGAGAGCTGTTCGCGAAAGCGTAGGTACTGCAGACGAGGTAGAAGATACGCTTACACACGCGCTTCCCGTTATATTACTACTTGGAACTGATGTACTGGCACTCATTGAAGATTGCAACAACATTGCGCTTGTTGTAGTTGTGCTTGTTGTACTGTTCGTACTTGTTGATTCTTGTAGAAGTAGGCTTGTTGTATTCGTGCTTGGCACTGTCGTTAATTTTCTCTTGTCGTTGTCAACATCAAGGATCTCTGGGGCATCACGGGCTTCCGCTTTCGAAATAGCTGTTATTTTTGGACTAGAAGAAGTCCCAGTTCTGGCATCGAGAAGAGCTAGCTTTTCTTCCTCGACTGCAGGTGCAAGGAGGAATATATTTTCCTGGCTTGTCATATTGATAGCATCACCTCGATCTGATGAGAGATTCTCTTCTTCACCATCCAGCTCCATCTTATCCGCTTTCTCCGCTCCAATATCTACTTCCATTGCTTTGTTGATATCTGTACTCGCTAGGGCTAGTGACATTTGATGCTCGGTATTCGCATTAGCAGGGTTACTGCTACTGGCAGAAGAGGAAGTGGTTTCTGGAACTGTCTTTATACCGATCGTGGCGTCTGTCGTCGAAAATGAACAAGCAGCGGGTTGACCCGTGCTATGATCCGTAGAAGGGGATGTTCTTTTGTTGTGATATTTGGAAATGCTGGCTGTGTCTGCGTGTCCGATCGCGCGCATCCGCTGCCTATGAAGGAGCTCTCTCGGTAGCACGAAGGTCCGTCGCCGGGCCCAGTTCAGCATGCGTATCGCTTTCATTGCTACATTGTCTTTCTCGACCCTCAAGCAGATCGAGTCCGGCAAAAAGAGCTGCTGATAGTTTACCTCAATCTCGCATATAAGATTGAAGAACTCCCAAAACGCCCTCATGTGCGCGTATTCGACCAGTGAATAAACTTGGGTAAAGCCGCCGTACACAGAGACGGTTCCCAACCCTAGTTCATACCGGTCACAAGGGATGAAAGGAAATTTTACGTCCGCGCCACGCTCGCAGAGAAACAAAAACAGCTCGAGGCGCCGCCGCGTTTGCCATCCGCCATCGTTGAAGTGTCCTCGTAGCACTGCCGCAAGAGGAGTCATACCTGGAGGCCATTGAGAATAGATAGTGTGTGCCCGTTTAGATCTTCACGATATTCTTTGCTGAAACGAGGAACGACAATGCAAATATACCTAAGTAAAATCGAACAAAGTTATTCACAAGTAAACCAAACTAGCCATATGAAACCAACTTTTTTTGGCAAGCAGGGTCCTTCCTAAAGTAAACCAAACTAGCCATATGAAACCAACCTTTTTTTTGGCAAGCAGGGTCCTTCTTAAATTCAACATCAATCATCTACAAAAAGCATGACAGCCACAAGCTACCAAATCAGATATTCATGGAAAGCCATGAGAAAATTAACACTCTATTGAAAGTCTGGGCGTTGAGATGCACAAGGCTCAATCACGAATTGAATTTGCTAAACAGAGGATAAAAAAAATTTCTGAATTGAGAACCAATTTTAGACTTGAATCAAATCATGATCCACGATTATCCTTGAGAATAAACCACGTCCTTGATTGTCCTTGTGCTCTTTGTAAAAACCCTAAGACCTACTGTTAATGTAGAGTCAAAAAGGTAAATTACTGAAAATTAGAAAACTTCCCTCTGGATTTGAATTTGAATATAAACAAAATTTTTTGAATTCAAAAGATTTGCACACTTTTGTAGAACAAGCAGTAACTTATTTCACCTCTTTTGGAATTGGGTATCCTAGCCCTAGATTGATGAATAATACCATTCGAATTGAATCGATTGAGAGTCTCGCCCTCAATTTTGCAGTATTCTCGTATAGCCTCTTTCATTTCTTTCTCCAACCGCTCGGCATTCTCTTCCACCTGTTGAGTCGGTGACAGGTCGTTCTCCCCCTCCGCGTCGACTACCAGGTCTTCCGGTCGGTCGAAGGGTGTCATCAACTTCTGGCACAAACGGTGCATCCGTTTTCGCATGTCGTCGGTGTAGACGGTCGCAATGAGATGAGTGAGACCGGTCCGGCTCTTGAGAACATATGATGTCTCAGCGTGCTTGCCGAAAAGTATGTGTGAAGTTTCTTTTCTCTCGCGAAGGCGTTGGGATCGGCGTTGTCTCTGCCCTTCTGGGCCGCACGTGATTGTTCCACCTAAACCACCGAGAGAACCGTGGTAATTGTCGGCCGTGTTGTCATGGGTAGCTACACTATGGTTGTCGGCTTCTTTGTATTTCTCCCCTTGTCGTCTTTTGCGTCGTTTTTTTCTATCTCCGAGGTCACGCGGAAAGTCATCACCATTCACCCTCACTAGTTTTAGACCAGTAGAAGAGCAGGAATCTTGTGGCGCAAATTCCAATTCACCATCCGCATCCTCTACCCCCGCCGCGGCGTCCCCGTCCCCATTATCACACTTTGGAGTAGGAGGATTTTTTGATGGTGTGTCCACTACCATCTCATCCCCACTGCTCCGTCCCTCCATCATGTCGCATTCCCACTCATACAAATAATCTCTTCCAGGTGGCAGACCTCCGCGCCTTTTTCTCTCGCCCAGAAGTTCTTTCGACGTAGATGATTGGGGAGTCCGGTCATCCTGATCATGAAGGCTAAGAAGATCCTCGTGGACACGGTTCTTCGTAGACGAGCAGGAAGGTGTAAGTCTTCCCACAACACGCTTTTTTGTAGGATGTCCCTCTTCTTCCAGGAGGTCGTCTGCGCTATCAGCTACAACATGGTCGTGTTCCTCATCTTCCTCTTCGGAGGAGCCCTCTTCCTCTTCGCCGGACGACGAGGTCCACCCTGAGGCTTCCCCTTCGTCCTCCGGAAAAGCGTGTTTCGTTTGACACGAGCTCTCCTCTTGAGTTTTTTGTTGCACCTTCGTACGGCCTCGACGGGCTGCCCGAAGATCGTCCGAAGGTACGAAGTCCGAATAGTCAGCGTCCGATGACTCCTCACTTCGCGAAACAGACTCCACTCTGAATCTCACACTTCGTTTGACCGCAGTGGGCGAGGCCTTCTTGCCGGGGCTCCCGCCTTTAGCCTTATTCGCGCCAGCAGCCTGCGGCGATGAGGTCGTAGGTGGAGCCTTTGTTACGCGTTTTCGCATTGCAGCTGGCTCATTCTTTTTGCCACTACTTTGGGATGTGAAAGGACCAGCACGGGGTCGGGACACCGGAGACGACTCGACTTTGCTGTCCGCAGCATCGTCCTCGGACGACGACGAGTCGAGACCCTGCGCCTTCCGGAGGGCTTTGAGTTCACGAGCACGAGCACGAGTGTTGTAAAAACGGCGGGACGAAGACGAGGTTGCTGCGGAGCTGCCGCCGACCGGCAAAAGAGAGGACGATTGGTCGTGCTGTGGTGTCCGTTTCATCAAGGTAGCATTATGGCCATTGACATCAACTCCACCCGCGTGTTGACCCCTGCCGGGAAATCCCTTGGACCCACGACGCTCGCTCCCACCGCCGCTGTCTGACGACGAAGGAATAGGTACTTTACGGTAGGGATCGGGGTTGTTTTTTCTGCGAGGTCTTCTCCCACTGGCAGGACCACCTGCGTCAACCTTGCTACCCCCTGCCAACCGAGGGGACAGACGAGACGCCGAACCTGCGACGGCTGCAGCAGCCAACGCAAAAAAAGGCAAAGGAGCAGGTGGAGCAATACCATTACCACTCGCAGTTGCCTTGCTGCCCACAAACATCATGTGGCCACTGCTTGATGAGGATGCAGCGTTGAAAGCGAAGGGCGTAGAACTACTCAGTGTCGGTGAGTTCCCGCAGAACATTGCGGGAACAAGTTCCTGCTGAATGCCTGGCGGTTCCTGTGCCAACGCCCGTTTCGGTGAGAACTTACGGTCTCCAGAACCATCACCCACTAGCTTCGAAAAAGACGACGACGACGACGCAGCAGCTGTTGGTTCCGTACCAGTCTGTGCGTGTGTACGTGTATTTATATGGCCTCCCACGATACTAGTTGTACCTGGGCTGGTTCGCCCCATAATACTCACATGCTGTGGCGAAGTCGCTGAGCTTCTTCCAACACGTCCAGGAGCAGCAATGATTGCACCACTTCCTCCATGTTGAAGGTTGGATTGCGGGTTGCAACCGAAAACAGTCGGATTCGCACCGAACGGCACATACGAAGATGCGACCGATGACCTAGACGAACTGGCTGCACCACTAGAGCGGCTGCCAATCTTCACCAATATTGATGAACCTTGCTGTCCTGATCCTGTTGCTCCTGCTTCCTGCTCTCCTGTAGCAGGCGTGGCCTCACCGCGGTTTCTATTTACGTCCTGCTGCTCGTCGTCGGCGTTTCCGTCAATTATACCCCGTGACACTTTCCACTTTTCTCGACGTCTGCGCCTCTCTTCGCGCAAATCTGGGCCCTCGGGGGCCGACTCCGAGTCCGCATCCTCTCTGTGCGCCACTCTCTTTCCCTCGGAAAACAGCTTGAGAAACTGCTCACGAAACTCCTGAAATCCATCAGCCATCTCGCCAATCCGGCCCTTGCGTGCGGGTATTTGCGCAGACGACGAAGATGAGGAAGACGCGCCGCCTCCTGCTCCTATCATCGCGCCGCCAAGCGCGCGCAAAGGTGCTGGAGGCAGGTTTTTACTTCCAAATGAAGCGGAAACCGCACTGGAAGCGGAAGTTGGCATGGGCAACAGCAGCTTATTTGTGTTGACAGCCGCTGTTGCGTTCCTCCCCCGGGTCTTCGGTGACTCCGCACCACCTTTAAAACAAGTATTTGCTTTCGTATAATTACCGAGGACAGCCCTACTTGAACTCGAAGCCGACGAAGTACCCGTCGCCATCTTATTTGGTAATACAGCACTCTCCGCCAGCGGCACAGCGTCATTCTCTTCTGCGTGGTGCGTCCTTGTTGCAGATTTCATTGGCTGCATACTCGCACCGCAAGTGCTGGCTGCCATCGCATTCTCGTCGATAGCAAGTAAAGCGGAGCGGGCTGCTGCAAGCACGGTTGAGTTACGATTGGCGACTCGAGTCGCCGACTGTGATCGGGTAGCTGATCTGTCCCTTTTTGTTCCTGTTTTCTCCGTTTCGCCAGAAAGTTGCGACTTCTCTCGTCCTCTATTCTTACGGCTCGTAAACGATGAAGAGGAATCCGCTTTGTTCTTGTCCGCCGATCCTGCCCGTCCAGTCGTGCGAGTACTTGCCGCAGACGCACTCGTCGCGTTCTTGCTCCTGATATTTGGCACCAGTGTTCTACTACTGCTACCTCCTTGATGTTCAACACCGGTACTATGGTCCACGTCCACACTGTATTGTAATATCGGTCTTTGCACACCCGTCTGCATAGCAGCTTCCTGTGCTACTCGAAATCGCGTCCGAAAAACACGTTTCGGCGATAGCGACCGCTTCCGTTTCGACCCTCTACTCGTCCCGGCTGCGGCAGCGGACGACGACGCGCCACCGCGTCCTGCAGCAGGAGTGGCAGATGAAGACGAAGAGCTTGTTGAAGCAGCTGGTGCAGCCGCTGCTGGGTCCATTTCCATCTTACTAGCCCCAGCTACAATGCCGGCTGCAACTTGCTGCTGCCCAGTCGTGCCAATCAGTTGTAGCTCCTGCTGAGACGCCCTACCCTGATATTCCTTCAACATTTTGGTGGTGCTACGCAAATTTCGTCTTCGGATGCCGGTCTCCTCAAAGAGACGGTCCGTACTGCTCTCGCCTTTCGCAACAGACGCCATTTTTACTCAACAACCACTCTCAAAACCTTGCTTAGATAGACAGAAAACGCATCAGTATCGGAAAACTTCGAAGTATCAAGTGTGACCAAGCATACTGCATGTTTTCATTTTCAATGTTCCTGAGCAAGAGCCTATGGTTAACTATCCATCACAAACAATACTACGAGATGATAGAGTAGGTAGTGATATCGCCAACATTTTGTTCTACTAGAGAAAACCAATTTTTTGTCACGGGAAGGCATGAGCCAGCTACTGCTAAAACACCGCTCCTATTCTAAGAATGAATGTCAATGGTTGCGCAGATGATGACTACCATACGTTTCTTTGGGACACTTTTTACTCACTGAAAGGCACAGCTATTTGATTATCTTCATCTCGTTACTCCGACATAAGTAGCACCGATTTTTACTTCTTGGCGATTCGGCTGTCATAGTCTTCCTCCCCTGTCGTATGTTTTACAAGTTAATACGCGCCTCAACAACTTCATCGTGAACTCAAGAGAGAAAGCTCAACCAACCACGTATAGGCGAATCATATTGAAGACTCATATCCAGCTCCAGCACATCCGACAGTACATAAGATGAAGATGATGAACTTTGACTTTGAGACCCGCGCTTCTCTACCGAAATGATCAGAGATCAGAATAGGTAAGAACAGGTAGCAGATTAAGATTCACTGCAACACGCAAGTGTCGGATCAACCCAGTCGTGGACACGGTTATTATTCTTTTGATGCATATTATGGCAGCGCTCTGTCTTTTATGAAGACGCTTTCCATGCAATTTCAATCTGCATCCCGAAGCACGAGCGGCAATCATGCAAAGTGTCTGCCAAGTGCGCACACTGACGGCACACTTCTAGTTGTACATGATTTAAGATCATATTGTTTAAAAGGATCAAATTATGATCAACCCAGAGGACCCAGAGTGAACTATGATTCTCAGACAGCAATGTTGTAGAACAAGATCCCAATGCTTTCCGTTCTCAAAAATAATGGCAAATCTTCTCCTCCTGCTTCTTCTTCATCTTCTTCCCGTGCTAGATTCACTTGCGCAGTGCCACTTGCGTCGTGCCACGTTTTCTGAGGTTCATTGGATCATTATCATTTCTGGTTCTGGGGCGTATTGAAAATAAACTCAACACAAGACTGAGAGCCGGCAACAGTGAAGATGGGCGATCTTCACCTGGTGGAGGGTGGAGGAAATGTACTCTTACTCAGTGTGTTGATCTTCATGTTCATGCGATAGGATCTTTAGGTGGCAGGCAGCTAAGGTTTTTTGTAGACCAAATCTATCATCGGTAGAATAGTGCGGCAAATATCGTATCGTATATCCCATTCGAAAATGTCACCACCTGAAGGAGGCTTAAACCGGGCTTCAATCAAAGGCGAATTCGTATCATGAGGTGTTGAAGTAGAACCAGTACGACTGCGACTGATCCCGTAGCCTGCTGTCGTCTCCTCAACTTCAACTTCATCTTCTGACCTAGCCAGATCCGGCTCGTCATCGCTACTTGACGAAGCAGATGAACTGAGCGTCCCAGTGATGATCTGCAGAAAACTTGGACTGCGTGGCAGAAACGTAGTGCTGCCTCCTCCTGTAGTTCTGCGCTCTCCTTTTTCCTTGCCTTCCCTTGCGCGTCTTCTTGCACAAGGGCCACTAGTTTTCGCTGTCCTAATTGCATCGGATAACTGCTCATGCGCAGCAGAGAAAGATGAGCTCGAGCTTGCCTTCCCAAATTCTTGTTCTTCTTCACCTGCACGCTCGATGTGGTCTAATTTATGTTGTTTGAGGTCTCCTCGAGTTGTGGGTCTATTTTGCGCCACCTGGCCATGACGACCTCCGGACGTCGGAATAGCAGCTCCAGGAGCTCTGATTTTATTACGCCTCCACTTATACAAATCAGGACCAGCGCGCTTCCCGGAACATAGTGCATCCACATACTCGCGAAAGAGGCTCCACCGTTGCATCGGCGGAATTTCCTCAATGGCCTCTGCTGCCGCAAGATAGTGTGCGGCAGGCTGCAGGCTCTCCAATATAGCCTCGACCGTAATAACCGAACCAGACTGCCCCGCAGCTCCCGACTGCGCGTCGTCGCCCAGGAGAAAGTCTGCGTCGGTCGTAAGTCTGCGTTCCCACCATACTGCGGATCGCAGCCGCTTGTGGAGAAAATGTAGGACCAGTTCAAACTCTGCAGCCAAGCGACAATACAGGCTTTTTTGTGCAACCAAATCAGACAAGGACAACTCGAAAGATGAGTCCATTGCTGATGCGTCGTGCGATAAGGTAGCACATGACCCTTGAGGTGGTTGAGACCCCAGAGTTTGTTGCGGTACCTCTGATCTTTGATGCAGATGTTCAGCAGCAGTACCTCCTCCACATGGAGAACAAGGAGGCGCATCTACCAGTCGCCAACTGGAGGGACCCATCTCCTGCGTCACGGGACATCGCCACAACAATACAAAGTCGCGGTACCGCCAGACCAACTCCCCAGGTTGCAATTCGTGCATCTCTGTGTTTTCATCCCAGTCTTCATCGTCGTCTTCTTCACTCCTCCAATCTAGGCTCAGGTCTTCCCATGCTCCTACTTTAGTTCTCCTAGTAGGGCTAGACGAAAATGTCTGAGGTGCGGTATGTGCGTCTGTTGGTTGTTCCGTTGTCGAGAGTCCAAAGTGGAGAAGGCTCGAGCATGGGGAATCAGAAGATGCCATAGCCATAAGCCCCTGCTCGGTGCGCCAACGGGCACAGCATGCTGGCTCCTCTGCAAAACCGAGCGAGTTCTTTTCGTCCGCATTGCTTCCGCCATTCATAGATGGCGGGTCTAGGCTTTCGACAGCAACAGCAGGAGCGCCGCCATCGTACAACATACGACAGGACGTCGTGGTCGCTGCGGAACACGCCTGCTCTCGCATTTTCATACAAGAAGGTTCACCACATCCGGTCGGTGCTTCATAAGCCCACGTGGCTCTGCAGGACGAATCATGCTGATTTAGATTCATTCGATTTGCTCTTCTCGAGTGTTCCAGCTCTTCCAGCATTCTCGCGCGCGCTCTCAGGTACGGAGGCGCGCCAAGAGGCAGCGAGTGTATTCCGAGCTCCGCGTCCTCGTCTCTCCATCTTCTGCAGAGCCTGCACTCGTCTGATCTCAGATCAGCCACACAAGCACTGCTCATCGAAGCGTCGGACCTGCCGCCACACCCAATCATGGTGTTTCCGAGCCAAGCAGAAAATCGACCCACGGTCGTGTCATTATCAGAATTTGCTTCCTCAAGAACATCTGCTCGAGACCCGGAATTTCTTGGAATGTCATCCAAATTTTGGCTGATACTTGTGTCGTGACTTTGTTGCGCTTCCAGCCTCTCGTCTCCCGTTATCCTCGGAGTAGTTTTTGAAGCTGCTGTTCCTTGCGTTCTAGCTGGTGCGGGGGCTCTCCGAGAAGAACTAGATGACGAGCCTGATCCTCTCAGATGGCAACGGCAGGTCCTTGCAACGTCCCTGTACTGATTCGTCCACCACGAGGATTGATGTCGATCTGTGCTCAGGGTCCGATGCAGCATGTCGTGGCTCCCTGCTGCGCCGGATGTCCAGGAGGCATACGAGCTACTTGGGCGCTGAGACAGTGAGCTTGCCTCGTCGTCCTCTTCTTGGCGCATACAGAAAAGCCGAAAAAACGACGTCGGATAGTCCAGGCCTGTGGCACGGTCTAAACGCATATCCGGGGGCATCGCAGCTACGCTTTCCCGCAAGAGGTCTTCCGTACGCCACAGAGCCGCACGATGATCGTGGCTTAGTGCAGTACTTCCACTCGCTGCCGTTCCCATCGTGGTTCTCTGGTGTTGAGAATTTCTACCAGAAACATAAGCTTGTTGAGAATCAGTACACAGCCGCGCGCTAGCAACCCTAGAAGACGAGACCCTAGATGCGCTGTCTTGGTCCACCCCCACAGTGGTCGAACTACAACAAGTACTAGGCGCTTTAGCATTCTCATCAAGGCCACCAAGACCGGGCGAGATGCGGTTGTCCACATTAAACGTTGTGCCATCTAGAAGCCTCACGCGGTAGCGAAACACCACTCCACGACGACGAAACCCCAACCCGCGACGGCTCTTCGCAAGCTCTTGATCGTGAAACCGCATGCCTGGAGATGATGGTATTGGCAGTTGCTTTACTTGTTGTACTTGCTTCTCAACATCTTCCGAAGGGCCGTAGTAGTCCCTGTCTCTGCAAGTAGACGGTGACCCAGCTCGTACAGGACTGTTGACGTCCCCATGTACTACTCGCTCCAAATCCAAGTGCTCTTCATTGTTGTCATGATCTTCTCGAAAGCACAGTGCGTTTTGCGGCGAAGGCGTACATTGACTGCTGGTATCGGACAGAGTCTGAAGATCTAGCGCGTGACAAACGCCAGCCTTTGAGGAGGAAGTGCTACAGGCGGATGGCGTTCTCGTGGACATTGTACTGTGCGATGATGATATCGACGCTTGACGTTCGTCGACCATTAGCGCTAGCGCCGATGGACTGCTTGGTTCCTGGCCGTGTGAGCCAGAACAGGGCTTCGGACCTCCTTTGAGACGCGTCATGATGACTTTAAACTACGATTTGCTGTTGCTCTGCTACTACTATTAAGATGCAAAAAGGTCGGCCAATTGGGCTTTGTTCCGCGCGCAGCTTATTTCTTGGCGACTTAGTCAGTGTGAGCAGTAGGAAGCTAGACGTTCGGTATGACCAAGCTCGTCAGCTGGAGTCACTAAGCCGCGTTCATTTGCTGGAAGAAACCAAAAGCCGTTGATACGCCTCACGACCATTCAAAACCGCTCTGTTTCGAGACGCAGCTTTCCACCTGCTGTCGGCTTCGAAGTTCTCAAGGACTAACGATGTTTTCTCATCGAGACAACGGAAAAACTTCTTTCTCGTTCAGATCGTATGGCTCCAGCCTCTGACTTTCACTTTGTTTTGCATGCTTCTTGATTTTATTGTTAGGTATTTCTACTTAGGTAACCAGAGTGATTGTAAAAAAGTTGTCGGTCAGCACACAAATCTCCACACGGCGAGATAAGAAAGCAATGCTCATTGGGTGCACGTCATACGCACAAATATGGGTGTTAGTAACCAGGTAGACCTCACTTGATTGGCTCTTCTGGTTTCCTAATTGGTATGGTCTTGCAACTGGTTCCCATGCGCATTGTCAGAAAAAATGATAGATCCTTACAGGGTAAAACTATCATCTGTATGAGACCTTCTTCTAGCTTCATCAAAGAGATACTGCAAGGCAAGATCGTACTATTTCAAAAACGTTTCGTGGCTGCCACAAATCTCAGAAGCCTGAAAACACGTGAAGAAATAACCTGTTATTTTGTGGACATGATAAAGGCGATAAGTCATGACGATCGCTGACCAGCATCAGCTATCCAACCTCGGCGGGTGGCGTGTTTCCAACCGCAGCTAGTAGTAGAAAATCAGATCACTATCTATATCTTAGCACTATGATGCCCATGCGCCATTAAACTTTTCTACAACTTTCTCCTTGGAGTCTTTTATCTTTGGTGTCCAGCCTGCGGATGGATCTCACATCAAGGAGCCGCGTCCCCTTCATCAATAAAACATGCAGAAACATTTTGTTTCCTCGAATCGTAATGTTATTGACCATGATACGTCGCAACTCAGTGCAGGCGGGTATTCCTCAGTGACATTCCTTGCTTATTGATGCCAATTTAGTCATTATCATTCCTCATCCATTGCGATCCTTTTTGATCTTCTTACTCATACTGCCCTTGTCGTAGAGATGCGTGACAGAGAACTCGTACAGTCAGAACGCTGCGTTTTATTATGATCAAATAACAATAAGTTCGAAAGACATGCTGCAGACGCAGCCGCTGCGGCGCCTAATGTTTTGTTCAGAGTGAGTGTGAACTTCTTGTCAAACATAACACTGACTATTAGTTCGCATCATTCAATCTTTCACTTTCACTAGTGCCAGAGATGAACCAACTCCCGCTTATAGAACATAACCGGTAAAATTATCCGTCTGCCTCCCACCGTCGGGAACACACTGTGGTTGATCGAGCGATGTTCTCAATTTTTACTTACATCAGTGCTCCTTATCAATATCAGTCGGTCGAGTCCGAGTGTTGACGGATCTTCAAAATGATTCTAATTCATGGCGCACATGCAAATTTCAGATCTTGATGATGGAGTTGCTCTTCTTCGAAATCTGTTTGATAAGAAACACTCATGTGAATGGATCATCATGGCGATCAAGCACAGGGGCAATTCACGCTTTTCACATTTAGATCGTAATGAGGATTTTTCGCTATTTTTTTCTATATTGCTGGGTAACTTGCGGAGGACACAACGATCGTGTTCAGAGAAGGCGGCCACAGGGAGGAAGGAGAAGCGTGAGCGTCGCGCTGCTACGCCACTATAAGCATAAGCAGGCAATCCCCCGCCATCTCGTGCACCAGGTTGTTGTTGAATCACCAAGTGTATAAAGATCACGAAGCAAGCCGCTGCTACTCGACCATGCTACTCGACCATGTGGGTCTATTTTGCCGTCTCCTCTAGTTGTGGATTTGGACATGCTGTTACTCCACGGCATGGCTTGTTAACGAAAGACTCACAAATAATGTTCCGCTCCTTTAGATGTACACACCGAAATTCATCAGCAGAAAAATCTGGTATGATTTGCATGAAAGAAGGTGAATGATATGGATTGGATGAGATAAAGAGTTCACTAGAGCAGTTCGTTATATATACCTACATGAGACGTCCCCCTAGCGAGGACTGGGATCCAGAATTAGAAGGATCTTTTGGACCTCCAACTCACCGTGGTGTACAAGAATTTGCGCAAGTCCTGCAAAAATACTTCATGATCTCAAGAACTTGGCACGAACTAGTGGAGACGAGAGATCTAGCAGGTCCATGTTCCCTACTCCGAATTGCCACAGTGAGCAGATGAAGTCAGAGTGTGTGAAGCAAAAAAAAATTAATTATGATAAGAAGATACGAATCCCACGCCGAGAAAAGCACTCGCAACGGCAGAGATTCCAATTTGCTTCTTTGTATTGTATTCCATTCTCGACGCGGTTACTTCGTGCAGCATGAAGAATGCCAAGATTAGAGTGAGTGCGGCACCACGACCAAGTATTCAAATATAAGTGTACGACTTCTGTTAAGAGTTATAACTAAAGGGTGAGTGCTCCACTCTCGAGGATAGGAGGAGGTCGTCACATACGATAATGAAAATCTAATAGCTACCCTTAACAAAAGCACGAAGCCGCAGAAAAGGGTAATGACCGCGAGCTCACCATATATCTTCGGGTCTATCGGTGACTCGTACTTCACCAGCCGCTCGGGATCGAACGAGGACGACGATGACATCTTCTACTTTTGAAAAAGTGATATGCCTACTTTTGAAGAAACTTCCTTAGTAGGAACACGTGTGATGCTTTCTGGTAGGAACTTGCGTGATGTTCTAGTAGGAACTTGCGTGATGTTCTAGTAGGAACACCAGCGTGATTCTAGTAGAAACAAAGAACCGCGTGATGCTTCTCTGGCAAGAAGAGAAACAAGATAGAGTATGTAACAAGGTGAAGATGGTCCTCTTCTTGGAAGACCAGCCCATAAAATAACAGGTAGCCGCGCGCCCGTCTCAACAGTAGTTGTACGATTGCTTGAAGGATGAAAGCTCGCATACAGTCAGACCGCGTAAGTTGACAATTATCAGAGTACTCGATAGTCGTGCTAGAACATGGCAGTAAAAATAGAGATCATTCACAAACTAGAAGCTGTTCTCGGCGAATATCATGACTCCAACTCAGACTCTTCACAAATTCGCCCTACCGAACATATGGTCCACCGCGACCACCGCATTGAGTGACTGATTGCAAAAGTGGGTACACTTTCAGCCGACAACAGTGGATCAGAAGAAACGCGTAAACGGCTATTTGGAACACAAATCATCGTATATGACGATCGCGAGGACTGTCTAATGTAGTAAATTCCAGGTAAGTAGAATAGAAGGACTTCATATTCATCTTGTAGTTGAAGATTCGCTGAAACCGACATCTTGTACGTGCGGGGTTAGATTGGAGAAAAGAAAGATAACAATTGCGCAATCTTCCTTTGCTTGTTCTTGCGGCAAATGGACTCCGCCGGCAACCTATGCATCTAGTAGTCGAGATTTTTTCCTTAGAGTGTAATCACATTACTGCAAGCATGCGAGCAGTCATCACGACAGATGGCACAAGAAGGAGCGGCGTCTTATTTGCGCTTGATGACAAAAGTCGCTGCACGACAGGCGTCCGGCAATTCATCTATCGATGTGAGAACATCAACCTTTCGATGCTGCATTTTTTGTCTTTTCGGCAGCGGCACCCCCTCCAAGCCGAGTGCCCCGTGCGCCTCGTCTTCTCCAAGCGGGCATGATGTCGTACGTTTGTTACTGCTATGTGGACTCACGAGACTTGGCGGGAGCTGCACTAGTTTTCCCTTCTGGTGGAGCAGAAACGTGGCGAGCGCTGCCGTGCGAGGCTCGGGACTGTGCGCTAGGCAATTAAGAGCGTAGAAGACCTGGACGGGCCGCTCAGTGAGGCCTGTATTAGCCGATAGCACGCCAAAAAGACCGCCGTCACTGGTGAGCAGGCTGTTGAGTCGCTGGTGCTTCGAGAGCAATTTTGCTGCCTCCACTAAATAGTCAGCCGATGGGGAGGACGTGGTTCCTGGTGCCTGATGTACAGCAGCGCCGCTACACGAAGAAGATGCACCTCCGGCGGGAAGAACTGCAGAGCCCGATGAACTTTTTCTGTTTGCACTGCTCAAATTTCTTGGCGCTCCAAGGGAAGCTGCAACGCTGCTGTTGGCGCCAGCGAGGTCGTGCACAAGCCCCTCGCAGAGCAGAGCCACCGAACCCAAGCTGCTTTTGGAAAAAAGTTGAGGGCACTCCTGCGCACAGAGGTTTACGCATTTGAGGATTTCTGCCGTTTGCGCATTGCGACAGAGCAAAAACAAAGGTAGAGCCTCGAACAAACCGTCGCTAATCCATTTTAGGTCATCTCCCAGACTCAATGCACGCCCAGCAGGCGAGCTCAAAAGGTGCACCGCCGCTGAGAGCGCGAGCAACGCTGTGTCGGCACCCGTATTCTCTCCTCCTCCGGTTGAGGACGATGTTGATGCTGAGCTCCCGGTCTTGTTGGAGGACGTTTGAGAGTCTTGAGCGTTTTTACTGGCCTCGACCTTTTTGCCCGCGTCGTCGGCCGAGCTCACTCCGAAGCTCGCACAGCGCAGACTATGCGCCAGCACGTCCTTCACCTCATTCAGAATCTCCAACAGCAACTCTACGTTCACTAGCGTGCTGAACTTGGCAAGACCTTGCAGAGCGGAGCGGAGGATACCCGGGCGCGCTGCGAACACGAAATGCACTCGCAAGATGCGCAAGTAGATAACAATGACTTCTGCCAAAATATCGGCTTCCAATTTCACCAGGTCTTTCTTTTTCTTCGTGGTCAGGCTTCCTTCCATCATCTCCCTGTCAAGGTCCTCGTCTTTCTCCTCCTCGTCGTCCTCCGCCAGCTCCCTGGACCTGTCCAAACGGAGGAACAAGAGCGTCGAAACCAGATGAGGGCTCAACAACTGATGTTGCGCGCTTCCACTCTGCGCGCCACCCTGCTTTGCTTTGCCGCCGTTCTGCACAGCGCAGGCCCGCTTCGCGAAAAGACCGGCGGCCGTCACGATCTCCTTACTGATCTCCAGAGCTTTGTCCTTCGAAATGATGTCCTCGAGAGCATCACAAGCGGGCTTCACGATCAGTCGCCACTCCTCCTATAGAAAAATGCAAGGAAGTCAAGTAAAGAAGATCATGAAGAAAGTAAGTTCAAGTTGAGTTATATTTTTACCAATCTCAAGAGTGAGATGAGAAACAAAAAAAGTATTTGTAGTTCATAAAAACCCTACTCACATTAGTGTGGAAATCAAGACTCCACGCTCAATCCGATCAACAATGTAATTGTATTCACAGTACTAGACAGTTTTCTGTACTGCTTTTCCATTGATACGAGCGAAACAAACATATCTGAGTAGACAAAAAATACAGATACCGCTTCAGTTTCCTCTGCGTCCGCAACGATTTTTCTATTAGCGAGCTTCACTAGTGCCGTGACTAATCTGGTTCGAAAATTGAAGTGCATCGCCTTGGATCGTGTGGCGAGACTACAGAGAGGCACGCCGTACACCAAAGGATTGTTTTTTACGTTTACAAGGAGCTGCGTTGTTACCTTCTCGTACATTTGCAGCAAGAGATTCTCAAATTTTTGAGTCCGCAAGACGCCTCTCGACAGAAAAGTGTTCGCCCTGTCTGGCTGGTCACTGCGCAGGCGGTACCCCGGAAGAATGTCACGAAGCACAGCGACCGCAGAAATGAGCGCACAGTGCTTCACGTTGTCTGCTTGCGCCTGATGCTGCTCAATCTCATGCGACGATGGTTGAGGATTTGCTGTAGTTGTTGTATTTTTGTTGTTCTTGAATCGCGCATGCTGCCGCAGTGCCTTCCCAGCGCTGTATCGGTCCAACGTCGCGTACAACTTGAGGAAAAAGGGGAAACTTGTAGCAAGCTCTTTCTCAGGCTCGGCCGTAACCTTGGCGGCGGTCTCTGCTACTAAGGGCAACGCACGCTCCAGAAGTAGCTTTCCACGTGGTGCTACACCGCCTTTTTTACTCCCTTCCTGCCTTTGAGCTGGTCCCACTGAGTCACTAAAGCAACGACCGAGCAAAAAATCACTGACAGAGTTCGACACCGCATTTTCTTGCTGCTGCTTTTCCTTCTTTGAAATCGGCTGTGCACCAGCCTTTTTGGCATCTTTCTTCGCTTTCTGCTGTTCGCGCATCGCCTCGCGCTTTTTGGCCTTATTTGAGAGTCGATTCTCATCATTCTCTCCAGACGCTTCCTGTTGCTCACCCGCGTTGCCTCTCCCTTTCTGCAGCTTGGCTCCTTTGGATTTACTTCCCTGTGCGTGGTTTCCACTGCCTCCGCCGCCGACAAAAACTCCACCATCCAGAGCTACGGCCCGCCTTTCGGCCGCCAGCCATTGCTTCGACCGCACGCGCGGAGCCTCGTCGTCACTCATCTCTAATATCAGTAATTTACTATATGTCGAAGCCAGAAATAGGCTAAGCGTCAGTAGCTAGCAGGCTAAACAGACAAAGAAGAAAACGTACTGAAAGTGATGAGAACCAATCACTTTTCTTTGATGACCTAGAAGCATGCAGCCACAAAATCAGCCTCACGCCTGTAGATCAACACAAATCTCATGCACAAAGGAATAACAGACTGCAAAAAGTAAGTGGGAAGACATGATGCACTCCCATATTTATCTTCATAGACCTAGGTACGTTCGTGTGTGAACAAACGAACATTAATCAGTGCATATCTTTGTTCTGAGGTGATAGTCGAACTACGGATCGTAATATTGCGGATCCGGCTAGACCCTCACGTTCATCGTAGAAAAAATGCTTCATAAAGATCAGAATGATCCTTCATATCATCTGGCATCACTGCACGTTTTGAGATCAATCTTCGGAGAGCGGAACTCCTATTTCATCTCACAAGATCTTCTAAAAGCAACTTTAGATATCCTACCACATCTGATCTCATGTGTCATTTTTTGTTTCAAACTCAGATCTTCAATCATCCTCCCTAACGTGGAACCTTCTGAGCAGATGGATGTGGATCTAAGAACGAGCCTGCATAAACTTCTCACAGCTTTTGTTAGAACAGGGTTCTAGTGTTGTACACGGAAACCTAGATCTAGAGCGTGAAGCAAAAGTAACCTAGTGCGAGAAATCACGTTTTTCAAAGTAAATTTTATCGTCCATGATGATCTGCTATATGTTATCTTCAACCCCGCCCGCTCACCATAAGTCGACCAGCTTTGTTGTTCTTTCCTGTTGTCATAGCTCGTCATCGCGTTTTTTCAAGACATCTTTCGTCGCTTGTACTGCAAAAAGCGGATCGGATTGGCCTGGGTTAGGTGATATGTCGTAGGCAGCAATATCAGTCCAGCTCGAGCCGTAGATTTAGATAGAAATATTTCCGTCTGTCGTTCCCAACTCGACTAGTAGCGCTAACAAGCTTTCGAAGGAAGTCGCTCCCATTATAGATTCAGAATGACTACCACTACACGACTACCCTACGATGGTATCACTTCTCACTGGGGGAATACTCTAAATCGTAATCTTTTCAGTCACTTCGACATAATTACTACTGGTGGCTTCCGAAGTTGCAGCGAAGTAACTCCCGGCGAGCTTGCAATGGCTGAGATCGTCGCTGCGCAACCAAAAATCTATCACCTTGGTCGGAAAAAAACGATTGGAAAAAACGTTCACACTACGCCCGCCCGGTCGAAGCACGCGCTTGATTTCCGGAAACACCTCTAAAGGCCGCGTGAGGTAATCGACAGAGACTGAGTTCAACACCAAGTCAAAGGATTCTGCAGGAAACATAATTAGAAAAGCTCTTCGAGGAAGTCCCTCATATCCGTGTATAATGCATAGTACTGTTGTGCAAGGAAGTATACTTCCCTACTTCTTTTTCAAATTCAAACATAGAATGAGTTTAGCGCATCACTACATGCTTTTTCATCTTGACGCAATATGTACGCTGACGACTTCGTCCATCCGTTAAAAATATAGTACCTGAGTACCTGCACCCAAATAAGGAGTATATCTTTGTACCCAAACAATGTAATGAACTCAGTAAGAAGAAAGCCATAATGGTAATATTGGGTTCACGTTTAAGTTCTGCCGAACTCTGCGATCAAGCACCTGATTCAAGTCCAGTTCCTTTTGGTTCATCCCCAGTCCGGTAACCTCGAGTGCGATTCCCTGAATCTTAGACCTGACCTGGTTCCGCCCGCGCGCTTTTGGCGGAACTCGAGACTTTTGTCAAGATGGACTACGGAACCTACTTATAGATACTTCAGCATAGCGTTTCCGTCACGAGAACTACTTCCTTTTCGTCGCTAAAGACCTCGCCAACATGTTAGCTTTAAACTTCGAAGTGCAATGGAAACTCGCTCGACAACGCACCTCGTCCTCCCAGGAAGAACTCCATTCATAACTTTTTCAAGATCTGTTGGCAGATGCGAAATCCATGACGAGCAAAGGTCTAATATCCGAAAGATTTTGGTATCTCCAGTATTCTCTGCTCGTCCTGAAAGTATATTTCCCAAGGCGATATCGAGAATGCTCTGCCGGTAGTACGTTACAGTCGCGGCTATAGCGGGTTTGTCGATATGCTCTACTATGCGTTCTTGGCTGTAAAACCGCTCGTCTGCACTTTCATCCTGACGATGAAAAAATTCGGGTCGGAAATCCTGAGACCGCGTCCACAAGGCGATACCAGAGAGCAAGTTTCTCATTTTGTTGTTCTCACCTTCTCCTTGCAGTTTCTTGGGCTTTCTTAGTTGTAGACTCAACTCGTTGTACTAGTTATCATGATACCGTGCTTTCATGGGAGGGGAGCTCTTTTTTGCTTTCGTAGAAAACAACATAAAGACTCTTCTAATTGCAAACAGTTTTTCTTCTCAATTTAAGATTACTGTGCCGATTAGGTAATGAATCAATCACCAAGCTGTCAGTTCTGGGGTCTCCGCCTGCGGGATTTTACGGGGGTAAAGGAGAGAAATCGCACGCACACACGAGTACAAATCGCCGTTGCAAGCGAGCAGCTCAGCTGCAGATTATTTCACTTTCGCCTGGTCTTGTTTTATTAATTTTTGAGGAGTCGTCCTCATATCGCGCGCGCATATGCCACCTTCGAGGACGAGGGGGAAAAAGACTCTTTCAAATCAGTGATGAACAAGTATCATCATCACCGAACTGAAACCCCGCAATTGCGTTATTTAAATACACATTGCATTACGTGGAATCAGGAGCCAGGAGTAGCCTGAAGTTACGAGATCATCATGATCGCGTCAACGACGAGGAAAATTAGCCAAGAACTAGCCATGAAGATGCGAAAAATGTAAGTAAATTGATTTTATGTATAAACGTCTGCCCCCATATGACTATGCTCGTACATATTTTTACAAAAAAAGGAAGGCCAAGGTTAGTAGAAAGGCGGGTGGGTGACACTATTAACCGGCAACTAAGTACTCAAAGACATGCCTACAGGTAGAGGATGCCACTAGATTTTGAACGCGGTTAGTAAAAACCTCATTCCAAATCATCAGCGACCCAATCCCCTCACTAAATGCAAGAAAATCGAAATCCGCAGCGCCGAGGGGTCAACATTGATACCGAGTCGATACTCGCTTAGCGTCTATCTCCTCTTAAAATTGACGTTTTACTCTAAAGCAACGTCACATAAAAGGTGTACGATGTGCTAGTGTTAATCAAGAAAAGCACAAGTAGTAATGAAGATTGTTATAGTAATTAATGTACAAAAATAGCTACCACTCCTAGAGCATGACATTTATTCAAGACCTAGTAAGCAATAGGCGAGGCTCTGTTAATGAATTTTCCTCATTTCTAGCAACCTCATTTTTCTTCTAGAATGGACCATAGAATACAAAGAGGTTCGTCAAACCTTTCGCCGCAACGCATAGAATCCTCCACCTCAGCTTGCTTGACCGGAAGCTACAACCGCCTTGATTTCCTCCACAACGCCGGGATCTGCCAGAGTCGTGACATCCCCAAGATTATCGGTATCCTGAGCCGCGATCTTCCTAAGAATTCGACGCATAATTTTCCCCGACCGCGAGTTATTAGAAGGAGCATGTTCCTAATCCGAATGCAGAAATATACTCCATTTCTTAACAACAATGTGACAACCCGTTCATGTACCAAGATGACTTATCAAGTGTTCGTGCTGTTGGCTCGTCGAGAATTTTCATTCTGCGAGAGAAAATAACACTCTCAGCTAGCCTGTTCCAAAAGAAATGTTAACAGTCGAATGACCCTTCATAATCTTTGGCAAACCGGGCACGCACAATACTACGTCAGGCGCTGCGAAATGGCCTATATGTTGCCGCACAGAGTTCTTCAAGCTCTGACACAACTCTGCACTAGGCTCGGGCGCTCCCTGCTTCAACAGCACATAGGCAAAAATGCCCTCACCCTTCACCTCGTGCGGAAAGCCAACCTGTGAGCATAGGAGAGCAAAGCATAAGTAGATTTGCACAGACTAGACTAGCATGGCATAGGACAGAAAAGGATGCCACTACAGCTGCACCTCTTGAAACAAGTTCTTGTTGTACGCAATCAAAATGCCTAGGCAAGTTTTGCACGCACATACAATGCGTAAGAAATTACCACTGCGGACTCCGCGACTTCAGGGTTCTGGACAAGCGCGTGCTCGATCTCTGCCGATCCTATCCTATGTCCGCTGACGTTTATCACATCATCTACGCGTCCGGTAATCCAATAATACCTAGGTAAAACATAAAATATTATAGTGGGTACAGACACAAAAAACGAATAAATCATCTATCAGTTCTTTCCTTTGAGTCATGCCATCCATACTGGCTGGGTGGTCTGAAAGATCTTGACTGTTGTGTAGCAGTAAGCTCCTTTATTAAGAGAGTTTGTTGTGGAAGACTTACTTACAAGCGGACGCTTCTGATAAGCATTACCAGTCACGGTCGCGTATGCAGCCATCGCCGGTGAAGTAGTAACCCGGAAAAGGCCTGTAGTAGATATTCAGCATGCGGTCGTGGTCACCGTACACAGTTCTTAGCGTCCCAGGCCAACTTCTACGCATACACAGCACTCCTGCAATTTCTTAGAGCTTCTTTAGTTCAACCTATGTAAGCTGGATAGAGATCGATATGCAAAATTTGAAACAAATCGTCTCCTGATCTTTCACTGCGTAGTTTCGGGATGAATTCCTGACTTCAACTTAGATCATCAAAAGCCTTAAACATTAGTCCCGTGAACTTCCTTGCCGGTCTTGGGGTCTAAAACAACCGGATCGATGCCAAAAAACGGCAAGGTGGCAGCTCCTGGTTTCATCGGTGTGCACCCTGGAAGCGGCGTTACTACGTGGCCACCGGTCTCGGTCTGCCAAAAAGTATCGGCAATCGGACACCGTTTCTCCCCAACCACATCGAAATACCATCGCCATGCCTCAGGGTTAATTGGCTCACCGACAGTCCCGAGAATACGCAAACTACTTCGATCATACTGTGTAACCGGATCCGTGCCATAGCGCACTTGCTTAGAGGACACCGACTTGTGATCATATGATGCTCGTGCTGTAGGAAGGAACTACAACAACTACTGGAACATGAAAAAAAATCATGAGATTTTGTTTCATCATATCGGCCTGTTCAACACATGACAACAGGATACAACGATTCTTCCATTGAGTTAGCCTCGTCCGCGTATTCACTACAAAAAATGTGAATGTTGCTTATGCCAGGATACTATTCCCCAAATGCATCATACATAATGAGAGCCCGCAAGGCGGTCGGAGCAGTGTAAAACTGATTAATCTTGTGCCGCTGGACCATATCCCAGTAGCGACCGGGATTTGGATATGTCGGGATCGATTCGAACATGAAAGTTGTCGCGCCATTACAGAGCGGCCCGTAGACGATGTACGAATGCCCTGTAATCCAACCTACATCAGCAACGCAAGCGTGCAAATCACCCTCGTGGTAGTCGAAAACGTACATATTTTAGCGCGTTGGATGGTGTTGTTGATCGAGGTGGTGTTGTAGATACGCCGTCCTTTGAAGATACGGAAAAAGCACCAGTCAAAACTATGAGTTGTTTCAATTATGATAGAAGAAATTGAAATTGCATGAAGTTTACTGTGAATTGTACTTGTTCGCATTTCAAAAATTTGCATCTTCAGTCATAATTCAGCGTCATGGCCGCGTAGAGCAAGTAACCAGCAGTGCTATGTGCAATCCCTTTGGGTTTACCTGTGCTTCCAGAGGTATAAAGCATGAAGAGGAAGTCTTCACTGTCCATGACCTCGCAAGGACAATAGGGCCGCATCTGAGGCAGCATTTGATCGGCTGCGACGTCGCGACCAGCCACCATATTGCAATCACCTGTAGTGGATGATGGATGGCGTAATCTTTTTGAGCCGAATTTTTGGCAAAGCCTCGAAAGATGAATGACAGTGAGCCTTAAGTTTTGTGTCGACCATGATGAGGCGAAGTTTTTGCAAAAAGCGCTTGGGTTTGAGCGACTTTTTTTTGATGAATTTTGAGCGGCAAAGGATTCGTGCTTGTAGACGAAGTTGTTAGGAGTACCTTTCCGGTCGAAGACGATAACGCTTGAGACAAAGTCGCATGCCGGAAAATTGAGCGCTTCGTCTGTAATGTCCTTCAGTTTAATCAGCTTGCCACCACGAATGCCGTTGTTTGCTGTTAGGACAACCGAACTTCTAGCATCTAGAATGCGATCGCGCAGGGACACCGAACTGAACCCCGCAAACACGACGCTGTGAACTGCGCCGATACGGGCACAAGCCAACATGCACATGGCAGCCTCCGGGATCATCGGCATGTAGATCGTCACCCGGTCACCCTTCTTCACTCCCTGCATCTTCAGCAAGTTCGCTAACTGGCACACTTTCTCCAACAGCTCGGCGTAACTCACGCGACGGATCTGGATTGATTGTTGAAGGGTACAACCAGGTACGCTTGCTAAGTACTCGAACTCGTGGCTGCTTTTGTATAATAAGACAGAAAAACGTGCCACAATCGTCCATTTCACTCAAAATTCCGCGCTGGCATGTCCTCAGAAAGTTCCAGACCCACACAAGAAACCATCAAAAATATTTTCATGGACGAAAAGCAAATAAAGTTTGATCAAAATTCAATAGAAAAATCATACCTCATCCGGCTCGTCGCCTTCCCATACTATGGCTGTTCTGTCTGGATGAGTCTCAGCCCACCGGTCTACGCAGTTGTCGCACACATTCAGTTTCCCATCCACAAACCAGCGGACATCGCCCTTTTCATTGTACGTGAAAGTGAAACACTTTTACTTACTATTTTAGTAGTGGAATGATGATGAATCAATCGGAAAGATGTAGTTGAGGATAAATGATGAATTCGATTTCATTTACTACATACGAAAGCAATCGGCTCATACCATCTGATACTACATGGCCAATCAGAGACCAATATCAGCGAACCCAGAGTTGTCTGGTGTACTCGTAGTGTTAACAAGAACATCATCAAGTATACAGTGGAAGCCAGTAAGTACTTTGATTAAATCTTCGTAGCACAGTCGTCGCCATGACTGCATCCATCTTAGCATGCTGTAACTGTGGTGTGTCCAAAAATCATTGGGCTGATCGAGACTCTGCCTGTACATTCGCAAATAGGCCTTGACATCGGGAATGTTCGCTGGTGTGCCAAATTTTGGCACTTCATACACTTCATCGGCTGGTAACCCTCGCTCCGCAACCAAGTCGACATCACTCTCTACCCACGTGCGCGATATGAAAAAGGAAATGATCTTCAAGGGAAATGGCGGAATCGGAGATCGGAAGCAAGGAAAGAAGAATGAGACAAGGGAGCGAAATATGAAATACTGGGGTATCACCATGAGATAAAGAATAAGTGGGCAAGCTTGATCTTTTTCCATCACACAGTAGAAGAAACAAGAAAAGAGGAAGTAATCGAGGGTGAGAGAAAGCCTATCAACCTGAGCGACACAGAACTTCCTTCTAGTCGGCACTGAAATCCCTTAGTTCATAACATTCGTGGCAGAGGCTCCAGCACCACCAGCGTGACGCGACGCAAAGCCCTCCCGCAGAGCCTGTGTACTTGCAGTAACACTCTCGGACATGGTATCTATTTCTCGGAAATATACGGACACACATAAGCGGCGACTGTCCCGTCAACTAAATTTCCTGAAAAGATGATAGAACCTACCGAAGAGTAGAAGTAACGATCAACAATCAATCCAATTCCAATACAAACAAGGAGAAAGGAAATGGATCTTGACGAAGGGTCCGGTGATACATCAGAGACCAACAAGCAAACAAAACCAATCGGAAATAATATATTCATATGTATATACTTGTCTATTGTCGAATGATGTTAAACATCTATTAAACCCTGCTGAGAGCCGAATGAGAGTCGAATGGCACAAAAGATAAAGAATTAGATACGTGACAGATATTAGAAATCAACAAGCTTGTGACCCTTGGTAACTCGGCAATGCGTGCTGAGTATGCCTAACTCAATTCCACTCTGTGCGTTGTCAGAAACAACTTGGTAGCTGCTGCATTCTGATATAGTTTCAATGATCGAAATCAGCCTTACTAACGGTTTCGTTTTGGGGTGAAACAGTCTACTTATAAGAGTCTACAAAAGTTTGTTTGGTAAAGGAAATAAGCCTTGCTTCTTCACATTCATAGCAAACTTCGTCTTCAACTGCCTGGCAAAGAGAGACCAAAATAAAGAGCATGTTGCTTCTACGCGATAAGGAACTACACACAATGACTGTAGAGACAAAATATTCTTCAATTCATTCACGCGCCCCACCCTGGCCTTAGCATTTTTTTTGTATGCCAAGACCGCCGGAAGGGTGACCCCAGTTTTATCCAGTTCGCAAACTGGCAGCAGGCGGAGTACATTAACCTCCTGATATTACGACGGGCACACGATTTGTTAGCTGGAAGCCGACGGGCAGTATTCACCCAGCTAACGGGTTAAAAGTCTTCAACCTCAAGGGGTTCGGATCAACCCAGTTAGCTCTGGGCACTTGCTATACTGCGACGTTGGATACGGCTCGCCATCACAAAGACCTACTGATGAGCGCTACACTATACTGCTCTACTGTCCGCATGTACGGGGAGAAGCCCGCGCCTGCCAACGTTTTTCTTGTTGAGCACGCACCTGAAGGCGGAGAAGAGAGAGCTGAAGACTAAGTTTTCAGCATATTTTGGATTGATGTTGCAGAATTTTCAGATCTGTCACAACTTCTACAGCATCTCTACTGACGCAGCTGAACTTAACGACTTCTCTTTCAGGAGCGGGTGGCTCCGATGGCAAATCCATGTTGTTGGTCTTGCTGCATCAACGTTGTTGACTATGACTACATTTCTTAAAATTCTTATGGTGTTTCAACGGAATGAACGCTTCGCAGGGGAAGAAATTGGTGTCGTAAGAACGACAGCACTGTGCCAGTAGCAAGATCCTTCATAGATCACGACGGCGCTAGTCCGTCTACCTGCTTTCTCTCTCTCGACCAGATGAAAATCGGAAGGGCCACCATAGATGCCCTCTTTCTGTGAAAATGCCTTCTCACAAAATCTCAGAATGGCCACGCACCTCTAACGTCCGCTCATTTTTGCGCTGCTCTCGGTAGACCTTTTTAAACAATAGCGGGAGCAGCACCGATTCCATACCCGGGAACCGAGTAATTCCACTCTGCACGACGTTATCATACTCACTGGGATTCAAGCCTCTCCAGATTGAATCTCGTGTTGGAAATGGATCAAGAAACCCAGGAAAATATATTTATAAGAGTAAGATAGATCCCTCGACCTCGAGAAGTTATCTCTGGCCGTGCACCCAGCACGCAAGCAGGTCGTGTATTAGATGAATCATGCAAGATATCTCGTGACCCCAGTACACCTGTGGCCGAAAGTTTTCTATTCACAATTGATAGATTCAAGAAGAGCTGTTCGTGTAAGTTGATAGAATAAATAGAAAAGTGTCCTTGTTCATTTTGGGCAGCGGGACATGGGAGGCCTGCTTCCTGTGCCAAGCATGTAGGGAAATCAATGTGAATGTCAGAACTTAGGTTTTCGTTTCCTGCCTGTGAATTTCGAGTCTTGTTTCACGACTTGACCCCTTGACCGCATTTGCTCCTTCTTTTTGACGATCCAATCCTTCGTTTTCACAGAACTGAGTTTTCCTGTCTTCGTCTTCTTTCGTTTTTGCCTTTCACGTTGCTCCACCTTCACCGTCTCTTGCTTCCCTGAAGTCCTTCCGTTGCCGTCTTCGTCGCTGTCATTTTCGCTGCCGTCTTCGTCGACGTCCATGCCATCTTCTCCCTGTAGGCCACCGGCACTTGACCAAGATGGTGTTGCAGTGCTTGATGAAGTAGCGCCCACAACGCCACCTGCGTTCAGGACAAGATAGTGCTTCTTGGCTTTCGTTGAGTGGGGATAATCGATGACTACGCCACCCGTAAAACCGGCCTTCATCGCTGCTGAAGTTAGCATCTCGATCTGATCGGCGCCATCAGGATAAAACTGCAACACGGCTCGAGCGCCACGCGCGAGACAGTTAAACAGAGACTGGAAGAACCGGACACATCTGTGTAGTTTGTACGGAAAGCAAAGTCAAGCAGTGGACTTAAAATGTTTCATCTGTGGTCATGAACTAGCTCTACTTTCCTATGAATTTGAACTCTCTTTACTGCAACAAGTACAACGAATCTAAATCACAACCCATCAATATAGTTACCTGTTAAACGGCCTTCCCACGCACACACCCCCCGGTCCCGTTTCGACCTTCCTGTCTTCGTTACAGAGCCACTGGATCGCCGAAATCGACACTGCAGCGTCGAAACTCCCTGGTCTAAATTTAAAGCCTTGGCCCATATCGGAGAGCATGAGATCCCCCTCAGACTCCCGCTCTAGCGCGACCAGCAGCATGTGCTGTGAGATGTCTAGGCCGACCCAGTAGTGCCCATGCTCCGACAAAACCTCCCCGCTGATTCCCGAGCCACAACCAATGTCCAAGATGCACTTCCCGCTGTTGGGCTCCACACGCGCTAGTTCCAAGGCTCGCTCTGTCATGTGCGTCTGAATCTTGATCATACGACTATTCCCACCATACTTGCCAGCTTCCAAGGCGTCATAGAACACCTCCGGAGGCGCTATGTACTCGGGACGAGACATTCTTTCCTATGTTTCTGTTTGTAAGTATCTTTCAAATCTGTGGAAGAGAAAAGGAAATTTTGTGAAAAATAAAAAAAAATTATGGAATGAGTATCTTTTGTTTTGCAACCTACCTGTATTGCCTCGTCGTGCGTCTTGTCGCTGCGAAGGTTTTGTCCAATTAGTAAGCATGTTTTGCTTATATCTTGCCCGACGATCCAAATATGAACTGTCTTGAGATCCTGTGTCAGGATCTCTAGTTGCGATACACTGGATCGGAGATCTTAGTCGACATATACGATCATACTTGCTATCATGAGTACAGTCATTCGGATCTTGGTGATGTCTGCAACGAACTCAAACTAGGAATGGATCCTCACAGCATGATCAATCGATCTTTTCTCAAAGACGGAATGGAAGATAGAATGGGGATCTCTGTCTGTTTCACAATCATTTTCGGATAAAAAAACTGAACAATTTTCGGATAAAAGAACTGAACATCTACTGCCTTGTTGGTTGAACATTGATTTCAAATTTTTCAGTGGCAGACGTGGTCTCTCCAGTGCTCTCCATGATGGGAGGTGGAGGAGCGAATGATACCCTGGTGATAGAAAGAGAGAAAGGATTCAGAAAATCAAGGTCAGTTCATTGGGGTCGTGGGATAATGGGGAGTCATGACAAGCTGTGATCGCGTAAACGTCTGTAAGCGGCAAGTCGAGATATATTGTGGATGATCTGAGAGAAATACGCATCCATCATGATGCTGCCGTAAACGATAATATTCTGATCTGAAAACCTGAACTGATTTTGGGAGGTAGCTGTTAAGACAAGCAGACATGCAATCCTGGTTATCTGCGTGCGTATATTTCACCTCCCTTCTATGGATCATGTTCCGGCATCATGTGGTACATATGTCATTTTCAGGCTCCGCGGAAAACCCTCATTACAAGAGAGCTTCCTCGTATGTACAAGTCATGGTCAGTTGCCCTGATCGTATGTACAGGAGGATTCATTTCTTCCAACATAGTACTTTTGGAGGAGTTCCTTGCTCATGCAGCTGGATGCTTCCTTGATGTTGTTGCTCACGGACTCCTTGTTGCTCACCTTGAGAACCTCGTTGCAAACCACCTTGAGAACTTTGAAAACTAGATAAAATCGTGTACCACGAACTACCGAGCGCTACGATTCACCAACAGTATTCTCATACAAACAGGTTGCGCCCAAACTAGCTCGTCCGATCACATGATCGATGTAATCCATGTCATGGGCGTATATTTTGCTACAATCTCATTCTTCATTGTTTTTGTTGAAATTTTCAACTGAAATACGGTCGGAGGAAATATTATTTTACGAATGAATCCTATTAAAGGAGCCATGGCGCTAGTGCTAGAACAAGCATTGTTATGATAGTATCAGATACACGTAAAAAGCCAGACTCGAAATAGAGCCCGTGCTACAGATTCGCAACAAAAGTGATGCGGCGTAGAAGTCCAAGTCCAGAAGTAACAAGCAATCATACTCAGTAGCGTGTACGGGATTGTTGGTTGTAGTTGTTGTAGTTTTGGTTGTAGGTTTTCTGGGAGTAGCCGTTGCCGTAGCTCTGCTGATTGTATTGGTTGTATCGGTTGTAGCCACCTCCCTGATGGTAATTCTGGTTGTAGTTTTGCTGACCGTACGGCTGTGCACGCTGATACCCAGACTGGTACCCATGTCCTCCGTACCTGTGGAGTTGTCGTGGATAAGTAGTTTACGATGTACTTATGTTGATTGCGACAAAACACATAGAAGTACTTTGTGGAATAACTCACTGAGGAACAAAAAACACGATACATAAACATGAATCAACTCTTCCGTTTTCATAACAAACTGCTACGTCTCGTGAAACAAGAATGTCTCAGAATTGTACTGTTGTGGTCCTTTTCCGCCTTTCCCTTGCATTTGCATGCCCTTCTGAGATGCGCCGTACTGCGCATACGGTGTTTGCTTCTTGCCCTTTCCCGCGCTTGTGTCGGCCACAAATTTCAATGCGGCAGTGTCGTCTCCCGCATCGATTCGATCTTTACGCGCCAAGCGTGCTTGCTCTGTGAGGGCAACCAAGTCTTCTGGGGCGTAGGCATCCGGCAACTTGCTCACCAGAAGGGCGTCCTTGATCTCACACACCTCCGGGACAAGATCTACTATCTGCTCAATCTTGCTCACACCATAAACAGTGTGATAGAACATCTTTCCGCTATACCTGCGATGATTGGCCGAGTAGGTAGGATGTGGAACAATGAACAACGAAAAGATCATGAACACTTCTACCACTCATTCAAGACTCCTTTTGGTAACAAACTGAAAGCACTGTCTTGACGAACAAGTGACACGTCATTGAGGCCGCACTTGAACATCAACTAAATACGAATTCGAAACAAGCCACAAGCATAATTAATCGGATTCCAAAACACGACAGAGACAAAAAATAGTACAATTTGTAGTAATGGTTCAGCAGTGATGGAACGAAGCCTTTTCGCCCTCCCGCATCTTTTTCGAATGCGTGTAAGAGACCGTGCAATTCTGCTCGTAACAGTGCAAGCATCCAGTCCTCTTCACTAAAAGACTCCATGACAGGGAGATCTATAATTGATCATGACAAGGAAGAAGACCGTCTTTCTCGTATATCTCGAAGATCTACAAATCATTTAGAAGGCAGCAGACTAGGTTGGTTCTCACAGTAAATTCAAGTCAGTTAGGCAATAAACCAGACGTATTCAGAAGTAAGGAATGTTAAATCGTTATCCTGAATACCCTTCTTTTCCTCCTTCTCTGCTGCCTCGTCGGCATTTGCTTCACCTTCTGCGTCTTTCTTCTTCTCTGACGGCTTCTTGTCAACATCCATAGGGTCGACACTAGTTGGATCGACCGGGTCCTTTTTATCGTCCTTCTTTGGTGCTGTAGCTCTATGCATGAGCGTGCGAACCTTTTCGTATTCCTCGACGTGCAATATGAAAGAAGAACAGCCAGGGGACACACAAAGTAGAATCAAGAGGCCTATCATGCATATGCAAGCCGATATTGCAAAAAAGATTATCTGGTGCTGGTGGATGGTGCATACTCCTGAATGATGTATAGATACTTCTTTCTAGAGTTAACCTTCAAACTACAACACTTTTTTGGTCTATAAAGCATCGTAAATTTCCTGTAGAAGTCTCCCGTTTGCAAAGTCTCGAGTTTGGAACGCATCTCCATCCTTTCCTTGAAACCCTCGAACTTTTTCTTGGTTGCAGCCTCTGTCGCACCAAAAAACTCCACTGAATCAAAGCCCTCCGACTTGGATGGCAATGATATCTAGGTTAAGAGTAGTCAATTTTCTAGGTGGAGAGCGTCAGACCGCCCCTCTGCGAACTAAGAAAGTGGTATCAAAAATCCTGTTGGTCATATTGATGAAGATACTCTAATTAGAACGTTCTATTGAAGGGAGAAGCCTAAGATTCAGAGGGAAAACGAACATGCTGTTTTATTCATCTTCAAAATAAATAGAAGAAGTAACAACAAAGACAGCACGAGCACACACAAACTGATCATATAAATCTAGATATACCTCAGACTACCACTAGGACGTGTAAAACTAAAAGTATCTATATTATAAGTACGTTCTTCCCCGAACTGATATGTTCCGGGTAGTAGCTCTGGCCATCGACGCGTTCCTCAAACGAGGTTCCGAGGACAACTGCTTTGACACTACCTCCGACGAAGTTCTTCAGAACACCCGCTCGTTCTGTCTCCGTCATCCCACTATTCAAGCTAAACAAGCACTTCCTGGGAGTGACGCTCGCGATCGACGCGAGTATTGGACCTCCCCGGACGCTGTCGACCATATCGACATTGTAAGTCTGGCTCTCACGGTTGAACGCAGCTCCTGAAAGTTTACGTTTGCGTTGCAAAGGAAGAACATATTTTCAGAAAGAGAAGACGTAATCTCATAGTTACAGTGTCGGCAGTGTGTATAAAAAAACGACGACGAGCGTGCATCAGCAGTAAAATTTAATTGTAAATTATCAAGTTGAAGAACAAGCACATAGTTGGTTGTACCTGAGTCCTTTGCCATTTCGTTCAGCGCTTTTGTCGATAGCAAGACATGGTCTGGCTTGGTTGCCGCATACTTCTCTGCGCAGTCTCCCGATGGGTCTGCGCCACAGAGCACAATGGCCTCTCCAGTGAAATCGTTTGCGCTCTTCGCGGGAAGAGCGGCATCAGCCTTACTCGCATCCGCAACGGTACGGCACACAAACGGGAGAGGCTTCCACGCCTCCTTCACAACGTTCACCGCAAATGCGCACGTGCCCCTCGCTGACAAGGTGGGGTACCAAACTGCACCTTCGATCGCTGGCAACTCAACTGGTTCCGAGCAACGAACACCGTTCACAAACCTGTTGTAAACCAAAAGGATTAGCGACTCGCCCCACCAAAGCTTCATTGTGCCGTAAGAACTACAAAAGATTATCATCCTGAAGAGGATGAACAGATCCACTTTTATCATACTACGTGACATTTTCGTCAACCAAGACAGTTAGGCATCGACTTCACATCTTCATAGATACAAGTGTTACTGTTATGCTGGAGAAAACTCTTATCACTAGTTTCCTTTATCACGAACCCTTTGAGTAGTACAGTGAAATAGTGCCCTTGTTTTCCAGTTTCGAGTCCAAATTGAGCAACAGGCCGAGGATGTCTCCCTTCTTTGCGGTTGCGTATTTTGCTGGTCGCTTCCGGATTTCGGTGCCATAGACGATGTCATATCCGGAAGGATCGAATGCCACTCTCGTGGCCAGAGGCTTCGGCGCCTCTTCCTCCGCTTCCTCGGTCTTTTTCTGCGTCACGACGCCGCCTGTGGTGCCTCCCGCCACCGCTACTTCCATCACAACTGGGGTGTCCTTTGTTGTGACACCAATTTTGCACTTGTCGAAGCGGTCCAGGCATCGAAATTCCGTCAAATATCGGCCACTTTTCAAGCCAACCGAGAGCTTGGTTCCGTTGATCAACGTCGCAGCCTCCTGGCGCACGTTGAGGATGTTGTTCGATGCACCTCCGCCTGAAAAAATACAAGCACCAATGCTGGCCCCAGCGATGGAAAAGCCGACAGAGTCCCCATCCACGCGCGCGCGCTTGTCGGCAACCGCGTCGCCCTCTTTTTCTTCTGGCTCCTCAGGCTGAACACAATCAAATGAGTACTGGTAGGTTGGACGTAACACAAATATTTACATTTAGTACGAGGAAAAAGAGAGATGATGATGTTGTGCCAGAGGCGTGCCCCTGCATTCATGGAGAGTATGCAGTGACGAAACAATATCTAGATCTTGGTTCTGACTCAGAGTCTTAAACTGTCTGAAACATCATAGAAAAGACTCAAAAACGGTACCTTCGGAGGCGCCGTGGTGTCCTTCATTTCGACATCCTCCGTCTTCTTGTCATCAGCCGTCATTTTTACCAATCCGAGTCCTTAAGAGTACTAGCAAAAATATTATGACGGGTTTACTCTTTGTCTTATTAAAACATATGTGTAAGAAAATAGTCGAGCTGCTCGAGTAGGTCTAGGTACACTTGTCTAGTACGTACCTTTATTAAATAACTTTGCGTGTTCCAATCCGAATCTGCTGTGTGCAAAATTCCAAATAATGCCTTTACAAATTTTCGCTGTCCTCGAAAGCACGCGAGAAGATTAGAGAATGAAAGATAGTCGTGAAAGTATGAATGTCCACGTATTTATACGGGAGCAACTTCTCTGTCTTCTTGATAACTTAGTAAGTTGTAGAAAAGTGCCAGAACTCATTCTTCTTAATGAATACTGTTGTGTCCTCGCCACTGCTGTGTAGCTCACAGTTGTAGTGCCGGCTTTTTCGCTTCCTAACTACTTATCCGCAACAAGAGCAGGACGGAGATAAGTTTTGATCCAGTATCAGAATGCGGTTAGGATTTTGTCACACTTTTTGTGATCGTCCCAGTCTCAGGTCATCAGTCTTTTGATCAGATCTGCATCCTGTAGAACCCCACGACGACAAAGAATATGAGGTTGTAACGCAGCATTAGGAACGTGCATGGTGAATTTTCACCGATCAGAACATTTGCAGCAACTATCAAGATGCTCTATGTTCATGGATGCCACTGCTGACCGCAATGAATTGCATCAGAAGAATGCACGACGCTTTTCAGTTGAAGGAACCATCGTCAAGATAAAGATTCATCGAACGATGTTCACAAAGGATGGTGACGCAGGGGCTGTCTCCTACGATCGATACAAGGCTTGTTCCCTTGATAAAGTGAACGCATCAGCTTGGGTAGGCGCAGGAAGATAATCCTTAAAGGCGATTCTGTTGCGAACACTTGCGCTTCCCCCTGCATACAACGCCTCCAGAAGAACATGCTTGACACCTACATCTTCAAGGTGCGGCTGAGGTAAAGTATTGGAATGACGAAATGCGTGTCACAAACTTGGAAAAAGCGCGTTTGTTGATCGTCCACCCCGTAAATATTCCTTTGATGTTGAGCATTTTGACCTCCTCTAGCTTCAGAGAGCACCTCCCCATTCCATAACATAGAAATCCCGCAAACCGATAATCAGTGCGAATAGGCTATTTTTTCGTCGTACGGTTAGACATCAGTCTACATAAATACTAGTCCACCGAAGGGGACCGCTATGAATCCTAGGATTTTCATGCCCCCCTGTGTATACTAAGAATCCATAGTTTATCGATGCAACGTCGTTGTCTTGGACGCTGTCCTCGTGGTTGTGTAAAAAATGTCCCCTCTTTTGCACAAAACCAACCACTCAAAGTCACGTCGAGAACAACAAACATCCACTAACCTGTGTACAGAATCACCTCCCCCGCAGCATGGTGAAAAGCTGCGACATCCCACAAGGTCAATATCCCTCGGAAATGCTGACGCGCATTTTATATCCTGACAATCCCGGCAAAGGCTTTATGCCCACATCAATCTCTCGATCCTCTTTTAAAATTGCAAATTGATTCACCCATGTATCTGAGCGACGAATCCAAATAGAAAATCATCATGTAAGTATTCTATGCCCAGACGTAGGTGCTAAAACTGTCTGTACCCGTTATCTTGATAGATTCTGCATACACCTGTCTTGTACCGCCACAACCAGGCTTATGTTGCATTCCGCCTAGTGCTAGCAAATAATAGTCGTGACTTGTTCTGGTTGCATAAGCATAAACATCTATAGATACATAGTCGACTGCCACGACTTGCTTGTAATTGTACATTAATCCTCTTGTTTTCCAACCCATCATTAGAGACACGACTCACGCAGAAACCGCAAGTGAACAAAGTGGTGTCGTGTAGGTCCTGCATGGTCTAGTTGGTAGTTTCTCCAATAATAAACAAAGTTAGGATCCAACGAGAACCAGCCTTATCGATGCTTTTGAAACAACACAAAAGTCTCAGAAGTTACAGCTGCGATATACAGCTGCGAAAATAAGAGACATTCCGTTTCACTGTCGCGGTTTTTGAAACTAGTCTTGAGACTACCTAATCATGAAACATCATTAGGCTGCTTTAGCCGTTCGACGGAAAGAGAAAGATAATCCAAATGCAGCTTAAAAACTCATAATCATTTTCAGTAGTACTAGTGCCTCGTAGTGTTTGACACCTGTACCTCGTTCGTATGTCTTCAATCTTTATCGAAGATGTAGATCTCTACATTTAAGATTTTTGACTATCCTTAGTTTGTTGCGAGCATTTTATTTCGTTCACGTTTAGTATGCATGATAATGATATACCCAGTCCGTAGACGGGTATTCTCCTAACCCATATCAACCTCCCTCATGGAGAAAATATTGAAATGGGAAGGTGCAAATGACAATCATCCTCAAACTTCATATCAATCGCCATCGAGAATATCACTTGTTCGATAATCCGCTACTAATCCTAATGTATTTGCCGATCGGAGGATTGCGCAAGAGCTTCGTGTGACACTATGTAAAGTACACTAACTCCCCCACAAGTACACTCACTCCACCACAAGTACACTCACTCCACCACCGTCTTGCTCTTGTTATTTCTAATCCTATTTGATGTCGCAATTACGACAATATCGTGCTCATGTAGTTATTTCTCTTCCTAATTGATCATGTTGGATTTATAGTCATGCATTTTAGTAAACACTTCACTTCCAATGCTCCAGATTCATCTGCTCCACCACCGTCTTGTTACCTCCAAAGCAAGTAGACATCCATTCTCGTTGTCTAGCGGAGATCTAATCCGAAATTGGAGAAAATGATCACGGGGCGGGTGTTAGTGCCACCCGCTGTGCGATCTTGAACCCTGCCGCAACTCTACTACTTCTAGAATTGCTGGATTGTTCAAACCAGATATTACCCCTTCCACGGGCCTGTTCTTTAGTAGCACAAGCAGGTATATGCAGCCCGTCATGAAATGGTCTTTGGGGTTGCTGCTGCTCCTCCGCTGTGGGTCGTTCAAAAAGATGGGCAAAATTTTGCTTAAAAAACCCGACGTTGATCTGAGAAGAAGGCTCCTGCTGCACGCCGGAAGCAATCGTAGAAGCATGAGCATCATCCAATTGCATCTCATCGTGTTGCATCTTAATCACCTGTTCGGTTAGTGCCAGCTTCGCACTCGAAGACGCTGTAGACTCTGGACGATGGGGAAAAACACGAGCTGCTACCTGAGTCTGGTGCCGTTCTACTTGAGAATCGCTTGCATTAGCAGAAGAGGCATCTCTCGAGCCTGCCATTTGTTGAGCAGCTCCACCCCGAAGCAGACCAAACCTCAACGCGAGATCATCCTCGTCGTCGGAGTCCATATCACACCATCTTCGACTTCGGTTTAGAGCTTCCGCTATTGCACTATTCAGATCATATCCTTGACCTCTTTTCTATTGAAACCTAATCAATATAAAGACGAACGTTGTTGGTGTCAGTCTAGATACCCGATTATCATCTTGGAAAATAATGATGATAGGAGGACTAGATTGCAGATCATATTTATACCTTGCGCACCCCTGCACTATTAATGCAAGAATGATAGAGGTAGTGCAGGATGCACATTCGTGGAAATCCTTAAATTACTACCCTGTCGCTGTGGCAGACTCGACCCACTGCTGCTGCCCTCAGGAAAACTCGAATCCGTTCCCGTTTTTGTCAGGTTGTCGTGAATCACCGTGGAAACCTCAGAGAGTTCGCTATTCGCCGACTTTAATGACGTCTGGCGGCTCATAGTAGCGACTTCATCTGCTTCTTCCTGCTCTTTTTCATCTTCTTCTTGACTTCTTCTCTTAGTACTAGTTGTACGACACGAATGGTGACCGTGTTCGGCACTAATCTGTTGGCCAGCGACTTGGTCATACTTGTTTTGAATCTCAGCCAGCTGGGAAGGGTGCCCAAAACCAAAGGAACGTTCGCTCACTTTTCTTGTCGACTCCGTAGGCCTTGTTGCGGCAGACCCTGGACGTGCCGACCAGGGGGTAATGCTGTTCTCTGGTGCAACGTCGGACGCAGAGGATGACACACCACTCCCTCTACCTCTAGCATCTCTCCTCTTAGAAAGGAGTCTTTGCATCAATATCATGTACTTATGTAGTAGTAAAAATTGACATGACATCAACATTGGTATTGGAGATGCAGAACGGTAGGAGTCGCGATTACTTTACTCAGCAAATATACTGGTGTTTGGCCTTGTCAAACACCAAATAGCATTCTCTGCAGATGGCACAGGAGCTGGTACTGAATGAAGAACTTAAACAACAGTGTAACTAATTGTGAGGACCCTAACCTTTCCTTTCCCGGCTTTGCGCAATAGTGGTTGTTGCTGTTGCGGCGGCGCTCTTTCTGCAAAGCCGGAGGAGTCAGCATTATATTCGTCATATTCCTTAACGCTGGCAATGGAACCACGAAGCTCCAGCGGAAAAACCCCTTGATCTTAGCAGTATCAAAATTTTTCATCATCCAGACTTCCTCGAGTCGTGTCACTTTGTGAGGACAGCGACATCGACTCCACTCCACTTTTCAGGGGTGGAATCTACTTGGACGAAGAAAGATTATCCTTAACTATGCACGACTGCCGCGACACTGCCATCGGGAAAGATAAGTGGCACGTAGTCATGCGCACTTCCAGCATCATGCGCGTCAGCGTCTCCCCATCCGGTATGGTGTGGGCCACCTAGAGGAACAAACGATGCTGCATATGCTGCAGCTTGAGTCCATGGATCATAGTAGGCACCTACGGCATCGCTATAGCCTGCTCCAATAGCCCCTGGAGTTACAAATTGACCATTTGCCATGCTGGGAACCCACTGCTGCTGTTGCCGCGCTTGTCGGCGTTGATGTTGCCCTCGGCGTGGTGCGCCATCTCGGTGTGGTGCGCCATCTGGGTGTGGTGCCGACTCCGGATGATCGCGTGTGCGATGCCCGGTGCCTGCCTTCAGGGCATACACTGAAAGAGGGCCGAGAAAAGAATTGCATAACAACAAAAAGGTCTTCGTGGCGCAAGGCATCTTGTAGTTCTCGTTGATATGATATTGTACTTTTGTGTCCGCCTCCCTGATAGGGAAAATATGCTTGTTTTATTCTAGCTAGTCTAGCATTCGACTAATTATCGCGATCGCCAACGACAGAGTTGGGTTAGTGCAAATTAACAACTACAAGCAACTCTATCTCCTTCTAAAAAATCCGCTATAAAAATGGATACGGCAACGATGTCACATATTATGGTACAACTTCTCTTCATAAACGTAGAAAACAACGACTTTTAGACCATTAACCTCTAACACTGCACAAGCCAATGAAGATCCTAAAAATATATACCTTATTGAAGACTACTACTAATCTTACTCTTTGCCCACCTGCAGCGACGATATCCAAATCTAGAATGCATGACAATAGCACAATTCATAGCGTAAAAAAACTCGCTCGCTAGTACAAACAACCGATCAATTTGACTACAATTCTTCTAGTCCTAATTGCAAATTAAAGTAGGACGAAAACAGAAGTACGGCTATCTCGGTAACGATACAATCAACGAACTCAGGTGCGTGCACGGACATAGATTTCTGAAATCTTTTGATGCTGTACGCAATCGAATCGATCAGAATACTGAGAAACAATTATCGCACGCCGTCTATTAGACACTAGCCACCACTCACAGCTCTTTATTACATATGAAGATACGAAATAGAAATATGTGAAGATCCGCAGTAATCGCAATGTTTCCTCTGAAACACGTGCAAGCAGAGATTGCAATCGCGTGTTTCACCTGTGGTCTGTGTCCTGTCTATAAATGGGTTGTGGGTGAAGGAGAAGGTCTCCTTGACGATGTTCGGACAACTGGCGCTCTTGATGAAAAACTAACTCGTAGGCCTTAGAAAAATATCTAGAAACTTACAATTCTATGATCAATGAGTGTGTTCCCTGAAAAATGTTGTCAAACTTCTTAAAGAAAACGTAGAAGACTATTTGCACTCTTGAAACTGACGGGCTACTTTCCAAATCACCATCCAGATCTGCCTCGAAGCCTCAAACTTCAGTGTACATCGCTCCTGCCACCATGATCTGAATCCTGCCAGTACTACCATCTGAATCCTGCGAGTGCTAGTGCTACCATCATCTGAATTGTGCTATAACGATCTCAACCCTGCCACCATCATCTGTGCATCTCAATCCTTTGACCCTTCTTGGTCTGAAGACAATGACAAGTGCACATCAGAACAATTAATGCTACAACGACCATCACAAGACAATATGTCGCCAGCTTCCGAGATCGGAGTTCGAACTTGTAGAAAGAGATCCACTCTGTGGCTAAGATCTGAGCAGGTGTGCTGGTGCTCAACAATCTAGGTAGAGTCGATGCACATGACCGAGAGAATTTCAACGATGCTGTTTTCACGAATAAAAAGAGATGGGTATGCCCTGATGATGGAAAAAGCCACTAAACAAATGGAACTGAATACTTTTAGAGTGACTACTGCACCACAAGAACAGCATGTACGGCCTGGTTGTGAGCGTAGAAGTCACCGTAAAGTCGACGACTTTCCGCTTTCTGTCAAACAGTTATGTTTTGCTATACATCGCTTGGCGAGAGAAACACGATGTCTGGCGTCCTGGCAGATAACGATCTGGCCACAACGCATTTGATATGCAGAAGATCAAGATTCAGTTCGCACATTCAAAGCCATTCCTTAATCTCCATACGGATTTCTGTAACTTCCGTACCTCCTTTACGCTTTTTCCCTGAACGTGCGACGCCATTTGAAGCGCTACCCGCTCTTTCACCGCTCGTTAGAGACTAGCTAGTGCTAGCTACTTTAATACCTATCCATCATCTTCTTCTTGAGTGAAATGTTATAAACGTGCGACTAAAAAGAAGAAGGTTACATTCACATTCAGTTTCATATTCAGTTTGAGATTGTGAGAAGACGGTAACCTAAAATTCTCGACGAATTCTAAATTATGAGTCTATCATGATTGACATTGGGGCTGGGCCTGAGGATAACTTCAAGCAAGGATAAAAAGAAGTTTTGAGTGGCAGTGTTGTGTTTTTTCTCATAGCTCTGCGTGTCCCGAACGCGATTATAGGGTCCACTACCGTTGCGACCCATTGTCGGCGCACTTTGCATCCGAGGAAAAGATGGAGAGGCCGAGCCTACCACCTCCCGCATGTAGCTGTCGATTTCGTCACGGACTCTGGCGTAGGCGCTCTCGATGTCTTCGTCGTCTGTTTAGAGCTGCCGCATCGCATTCCCAAGACCACCAATGGCCCTTTTTTCCCCTTGAAAAAGGCACCAAGGATGATACTGAGGATGCTCTCGCGGTTGTCTTAATCTGGGTCCTCCTGGTCGTCGCCTCCACCACCATCATCTGACGCAAAAGAAGTATCTGGCGGCTGAGAGTCTTCCCGTTCAAGCCCGTTCTTCCGATTCTTAGGGGTAGGGTTTTGGGGTTTCTGCTTCCCATTTCTTTGTTTTGCCTTTCTCCTTCAGGAGAGGCATAACAAACGGTAAGAGGAACACCTTTAGCCTACCCCTAAGTTTCATCTCGACGTTGGTGTCGTAGTTTCCCTTTCTGTTTGACTTTGAGGTGTTCGGACCACAGCTCCGACTCGTCTCTGCTTCAGTGTTAGTAGTGAGATCGGCAGACGATGCCCGCACGCTGTCCAGAAAAACACAACTCCGTCGCAAGGCTGCTAATTCAGCAGCGCTCATGCGTTGCAAGGCCTTCCCATGGCTGTCTTTCTCTGCAGTGGAATTCGCTAAAGCACCGCGCGGCATCAAACCCGGACTGGATGGTTGGCTCCACATTGATTCATAGTGAGGACTCGACGGTGCTTCCCCTCTATGCGGCGACTGCACACGCGAAAGCCCTCGTTGGAAGCTAGCAGCTGAATTCAAGTCAAAGAAAAACAATGAATATATAATTGAATATCATTTTCCTTCCAACTATCTACTCCTACGTATCTATAGTACCGTGGGATATTCCCATTGGGAATGGGTAATCGTAATTCATTTGGAATTGCAACCATCACATAGATATCTCTCAAATACTTTTCTCACAACGAACATGATTGTTTCTATCTTAATGATCCCTCAAACAGTAGATAGGTATAGGTAATCGTACTTTTCATAAAAAGTGAGGACCTTCCTGCTGCCTCTTTTGGGTCTCAAGCTTCGCAGAGTACTGACGATACAGCTCTTTGTAAGCAGCTTCGTCAGCCGCATCCTGGGCTTCCTTGCTAGGTAGGACAGCTTCTACAGCTTGAGACTTCGCATGGACGACGCCTTCTGGCAGTGATCCACTCAAACGCCGCATTCGCGTGTCAAAATCCACTAGCTCCTGGTCTTCATCTCCTCTTTTCTTTACGATAGAAGAACTCCCACACCCACTACTGGTGGAACCTCCTTGTACTTCCCTAGTAGTGTCACGTGCGCTAGTACTGCTGGATGACGACGGCTCTCGGAGTTGAATATGCCTTGCGTTCCAGTCGTCCTCCTGACGTTGTGATGTCGATAAGAGGTTTTCATTGCTGTGACGCTGTGAACGCGTTATGCCACGACCTGCAAATCCCCTTTCGTCGGAAACGGATGATTTGTTCCCCATAATGCCTTTCTTCGACTAAAGTTCTTCTACTGCGTAATGAGGGTTCGGATTGATTATGACACTTTTGCTTTCATGCGTCCTTTGATGTATGATCATAATTCTTGTCATGTCATGGTACCTCTTTCATAGCACTTCGCGTCTATATGCGAGGCCACTCAGTATAAACGTACCTCCATAGGAGAGCCTCTAATTTATACCGATTTATTAGTCACTGTATCTAGCAACCACAATTCTTGGAAATTGTAAACCTGAGCGTTTCTTTTTTTCTTGTTGTGTGACAAACATACATCCGAAATCTACCTTTTTAGTTTACTGCTTGACCAACTCTTCTTAAGGATGCTCTCAAGGATCAGCTTTCTCCCTTCATCTTCTTTCAAATCCTATACTTATTCACTGATTGTAAAAATTGTCTCACTCAGCGAGTCTATTTTCGCGTTGGAATAGTACGTGAAAAGCTTCTTCTCTGTGCCTCAGAAGCCTTTCAACCACCATACCTGCCTGAGCAGAGACAGGGCAGTGCACCGATAGCGCTCTGGCTTGAGTATGCAATTGATTTCGTATTCATTTTGGGACCAAGGAGAAAGAGAAAGTCGTGTTGAAAAGGACGACGTTGTGTCCAACATAAGTACATGGGACCAAGAGCAAGCCGGCGAATCATAAGAATCTTGAGGACTTATGAGTATATTGACGGCAGTCGGCTCAAAAAACAACAAAACTGCCAGCGAAAAGCCGTCTGCTCACGTCATCACTTCTGTGGTCCACGTCCGCACGCCGCCAGGGCACCTCTTCTCCTGCTCCTCCCTTCTCACGTCAGCTCATAGTTTTCTTCACTCCTCAGCCATGCGCTTGAGTACCTCAGTCCAAATTTTATAAGTAGACGACGGCACTATCAATCAAGCGTAGTTGCATGTGAAGTGCCTTCTGCCTCGGAAAATCTTCACAGATGTCGCTGTCCTCGACTTTCCCGTCACCTTGACGCAGCTCTACAATAGAATTTGGCAAGAATAGTACTACTCGCATGAGATATCTCACACCGATTTCTGACTGCTTCCGACCTCGCTGCCTGTCTCCTCCAACAGAGAGGTAGTTTTTCGAGACTGAAATTCATTCAGTTTCCGACAATTTCGACAATTTCCTGACCGACTACTTTTAAATGGACGCGTGATCTAGCATCTGCTCGTCTTCCCATGATCGTCTTCCCACAGTACTTACAGACAAAAAGGCTACGAAGGTAAGTAAAACGTAGCGTTTCCACATAAACATCAGAGCGACCGCTATGCACAGTACGTCGCGCGAGGTGCCCCTCAAATGCGACAGTGAAACCTTGTTTACAGAAGTCAAATGCGCGTTGTTCTTTGTGGTCCCGAGCAAGTGATAGACGGAGTTGATCTTCCAAAGTCAGTGGGCTTGTTATCATACATCATGCATAGTTACTTGTTTATTCGAAAAAGAAAGTCAGAAGCAAATTGGTGTAGTGATATCAACGCTCGCCTCATGCCCATGCTTTCCTCATTCTGCTGACTGTAAATCTTCATCTACAGGCGCAGTCAAGCGCGTTGTGAGTGTAGCTGTTTCCCCTGAAACTGAGATGCCTCGTACATCCTCTGACCGTCGAGAGCAGCATTTTTCTACGAGGACGAGCACCACCAGAAGCAGCGCCACACCAGCAAGCACGACCAATCCTCGAAAGAGAGTCGGATGGGCGCTATCGACGTACTGTTGCACTGATGCGAAAAATGATCTTGGCGCGGTTGTAGTCGAGGACGGGACGTCTACGCTGTCGTGATTCAGATGGTGTGAACGACCTTGTGAAAGATTCGGCAGGGGCGCTCCATTACTTTTCTTGTTTGAAGGTGCGTAAAAACCGCCCGAGCCTGACCCATCTTCGGTAGTACCAGTAGCACTAGCTGATTCTCCATCCGCTTGATGACCTTTACTTCTCTGATCTGTGGGAAAACTTGCTGGAGGTACGGTCATCTTTTCTCCCAATTTCCCTGTTTGACCCGTTGCTTCCGCAGCATGAACAGCAGATGAATCTGGTACCGAATTGTCACCCGAAGTCGCACTATCTTGAGGGGCGAAAGCTGTGGAGCCTCGCACTACGAACTGTTCAGAGAAACTTCCGCCATGACCTGAAAGACGTTGTGGGCCAGGATTGTGACCCCCAAAAGGTGAATGCGCAAAAAGTCCTGATGGCTCATCTCCAGCCACTACAACGCGGGATAGAAGTACAACAGGAGCAACGAAGAATCTCGCAACTGTAGTAGACCCTATAATCGTTGAAAAAAGCTTCGTTCCGCTAGCCGGCTGCCGCCCCCTTCGACGAACAGCCATAATTCTATCTTGTTTAGGGAGAGACTGTTTCGTCTCCATGGTTTGTTTTGTGGTACTGGCTCACGTACCGAACATATTAATAGAAGAAGGAGTAGACTCGAGTAGCCAAAATTCAATGCACAATGCTCATCCTGTGAAACAAAGCTTCCACCAACAGAAATGCGTAAAGCAAAAGCCGGTCATGTCACAGTTTCTGTAGTATAAGAAATTTCAGCTCGCGCGCCGCGTGCGTCTCTCGTGCTTATCTAATAAGCGGGAGTAGAGATAATTAATCCCAGAAAGTAGAATCCAACACTTGAGTAGACGACGCAAGGTCTCGGAGTTGCGGCATTTGTTGTGCATTCCGCTGTCCAAACGGAGTGATCTTCTAAAACTACATTCTCGACACGGAGTCGAGAATTTCACAAGTCGGTGCTGTTTCCGACAACCACATGTTTGCATGTGTCTCCATGCATCTGTGTAAACGAAGGCGTGGAGGAAATCAAAGTCCGAACAAGGCATCCATAGATTTCTAAAAAGATGTCATCCTTTACGTGAAAAAAGACGTCCTGCCGATCCCCATCAATGCCTTCTCCTAAAACAAAACCATCGTCCCAAGCGATCAGACATTTGGGGAACGCAAGCACGCAGGAGAGAAGGGCAGCAAGAAGGGCGCACTCTGAACCTCGCCGGAGACGCATGATCTTCTAGGTCTATTAAGAGTCTGCACTTCTTCAGGCACGACCGCAGGAGAGCGTGCAGATGCTGGAGAACTAGCAACCCTTGATGACCCGGTTATGCTCCCAGACGGCGACTTCACATCGTCTTCATCATCATGACTGCTTTGTTTCAAAGCCTCAGCATTTGTTTCGAGCACCTCAGCACCTCTCGTTTCCACAAATCCGAGGTCCAACGTTGAGAGAGCTTTGAGGGGTACCAGCTCGAAATCTAATTCGGAAACCTGTCGTGACGTAACTAAACACTCAGGAAAAGTAGGTGATCGCAAATTTTTCGCAACGGCTGAGCGTAACCAACCAACGCTTGTTTGCCTACTGAGGCCGGCCGCAATGAACAAGCGTATTTCGGCACAACGAGGTCAGTGCAAGAACGTGTTGCAACGTCAACACCAGCAAGAGAGCCTTCATCTACTCGCCACAGCAGGGCGCATACCAACTGCTTTTCAGAGAGGCCGAAAGCCTCACAAAGCTCTACTGCGGAACGCCGCTTCCGACTACTTCCGCTGCCTATCTTGTTCTTCAGGCACTTATCAGAAGTAACCTTACTTCCAGTAGAGGGTTGCGACTTGAGCCGACCTCGTCTCACACGATACGCGGTCGCAGGAGCAAATTGTTGAGGTTCTTCTCCACTATTAACTATACTTGCGGGTGGTCGCTCCACAAGGTCATAAAAACCTTAGTCCACGAACCTATTTCCACTATTTCCATCTCCTCCAAGGGCTGCTACCTCCAAAGCTGAGACGCCAAGGTCGATTTCGGCGACCAGCTGAGGTGGAAGGTGCACCTCTTCTTCTACACACTCTCGCCTGCGAACATCAGAGATTTGAAGAGGCGGCTGCGAATGCCCGTCATCTGAAAAATGCACTACACGAATCTTGCGCACCGATACGTAGAAGTGATGGGGTAAGTAGTCCGCGTACCCAGACCCGGAGCGGTTATTACGACTCGCGTAGCGCCCTTGTGGCGGATTCGGCTTGTCTGCTACTGTCTTACGGTGGTGGTAGAATTCCAAACCGCAGGGTTTTTTCTCGACAACTGAAGAACGCAACATTGCGGGTTCTAGAGAAAGCAACTGTGCCCGTTCTCTGTGTTCTGGCGAGGACATTGAGGAGCAATTCGAATGTGCTTTCCTTTTATCGAATGATCCATTTTCGAGTAACGTCTGCCTCCGGTGCCTCGAATGGTCTATCCTCGTTTCCTTGCGCACACGACTGCAAGCAGACCACATCGTAGTATTCTTCGCATTTACGCGTGCGCTCGAACTCCTCCAGCACCGAAGGGACAAAGTCAGCCGTCTGTAACTCTACGTACGCTCCGTGGTCTCCGTAGAGAACCCAGATATAACTCGTGGCAAAAACGCGACCTGTTCTGTCTTGCAATTGCAATGACGGAGAAGCCGTCACTTGCGCCTCATTGAATTCTTGAGCACCGGTATTCACGTCAACACTCGTATGGGTATGCAGGCCCTCTTCACTGCGGTTACTTCTTCTACATCTCTTTCTCTGGACGCTTGTGCCAAAACAAAATCGGTTTTGCGACATGCTGAAGCAGCGTTGTTTAGCACGGCTTGAGTTACTTTGCTATCTGCATATTGCGGAAGAAGATGTGACACCCACAATTCTGGTAGAAGCAGCTTATCCTCGACCAATGCGCAGTCTTGCACCCGGCGTTTACAGCGCGAGTCAACAGACGACCCTGTGACTGTATTTTCCAACCGCGATGTCTTGCCGGCTTCCAGAGCCCCAGCAGTCTTCGCACCGAGCATCACGACATCGCTAGCTGGCACAGTCAATGCATCGCGTCGCCGCCTCTGCTCACGCAGAGAATTTTTCTTAGACGCCGTCATTCCAACAAGATTGTGCTTAAATAAAAATCTTCATAGAAACTACAGTTCAAACACACCATCAAACTATTTCACAAGCCCTTACACGAATTCCACGTCGAAGCTGTAACAAGATTTTAGAAGCACGCCGGCCTGGTCTTTCGATATCTATGATGATTTAAAAGCGACCGAAAATTCACCTGCACACATGCAGTTTGAATGTTTCAGCAACAACAGCAATCATGCAACATGGCACCATTCACATAACCTGGATTGGTCCTTCCCCTTGAGGTGCTGTGACAATCGGTGCACCGCGACCTCGTAAAGAATCCCTTCGGACGATTCTTCGCGCACCAAGAGGTTCTCCAGATGTAATCATACCTGCTCTTTAGTTCTCCACCAGACATTGTGACTTGATGATCATTCTTGTACCATGCAGTAGGAAAGCACACATTGAAACGACAGCAGATGGCTCTTCACAGTAATCGATGAGTAGTTACTTTTGAGACTGGTTTTACTTGTCACTTCGCTGTCTGATGTTGACGTTGTTCGCACTGTGCTTTGATAAAACCTATACTCGCGTAAATTTCGACGAGTAAATCTGGATTTAGGCATGACTCAAGAAGCATTTCTTGTTGCCGCGCCGGGGGATGCGGCAATACCCCGAAATTTTTTGCTTGGCCAACTACGAGAGGTGTTGTACTACCCTTCTTACCTCTTCTCTTGCCTTTGCCCTTCTTTCCGTTTCCATAGTCCCCTTTGTTCTGATTGGAAGCGAGGTCTCCTGTAGAAGTTGCGCCCACATGATTACTCTTCCCAGCGTCCCCACCAGGCCCGTCCCGCTGCGACCCTGACGAACTAGCATCGCCACCATGATCATCCCGGCCCTTTTCTGCGCCCTTTCTGTTAGAGTGAGCTCAAGGTATTTAGTTTCTTGCTTCCATTTTCTCACTTATTCCGAAGACGGAAAGCCGATAAACATGCAAGCTCTTCCCTTCCGGATAAGCATGGCACTACAAAAAAAAATAAAATTGCAATGATGACGATGATGGTATACCCAGTCCTTAGACGGGTATGCATTGTGTATTTAATTATATGTGGAATTGAAACGAGCCTCAATTTTGTTTCCTTTCTTGCCAGCATTGGCTGCCAAAAAAATACGACACGAGGCTAAAGACCCATGCTTCCGCGTGATTCCAGCTTGCAAATCGGCTACCCATGCATCCCATCTCGAAAACGTCGCTCGCCAAAAGGATTGGGCATTCGCAATATCCTCTTCTGTCGCAAATCTTGTCGCCGAAGCACCCTTCGTCGATTCACCAGCATATTTAAAGCTAGTATCACTACATAGAAGAAGTAGAAGTGCGTAGTACAATAAGATTGCTGGAGCAAACCTAACTAGGAAAGCAAACCGAAAAAAGAAATGACGAATTCGTATTACCAGTAGTACAACAAAGAGTATTCGTATTCCCAACTAGGTGTTCGCATTTTTTCTCAAGTTTCATGGCTTGGATCTTCCTGCCAGCTAGTTCTAGCATCATCTTTGTCGAGGATAAATACACCGACCTCCAGATTTCAGTCAGCGTAAGGTCTAATTGAAAACATCCATAGCTACCTCAACGGACTAAGCCTAAGTACTCTGACGGAGGCGCCACGAGGATTCATAACATTCGACAATTCTTCATCTTGCTGGGCGAGTAGCTCTGGTGGAAGAGATCCCAGTGCCGACGCAATAAGCGGGATGTAGCACCAGGATTGAGTTTGGGGTACTTTTTCTCGCCACACGCGGACACTCGTTCCAAGGAATCCCTCAATAGGAATCCAGCTACATTGCCCTTCCATATCAGCCACAAGCTGTGCCATCTTCTCCTTCTTCGCAACGTCCGACATGGACACCATGATTTTCGTTTTGGTTTTTGTTTACTTGCTGTGGTCTTCAGAAATAAATCTTGAACTTGATTATTAGAAACAAAAAAAAACAACAAAAACGTCTACGTTCGAAAAAAAAGAACTTACTTAGATTACAAAATTGTATCGCATGAAGAAATGAGCCTAACAAACAAGTCAATGTCATTTATAATACGACTCGCCACACTCTCTCTTGAAAGCCGTCAAGATGTCAAAAAAACTAAACAGCCATTGATTCCTTTCTCTAGGTACCTGAACCCTGAACAGGATGTAACAAATTACAACATCGATAAAGAAAAACACCTGACGAATGAAACGGTGTCAGACAGATCTTGTAACGAATGCTAGAAAACAAGTTAATCAACCACAAGGGAGGGATGTCTGGATTGACACATCATCCGTCAAATTGCGGTAGTTCATGCGGTATTTGCGCGTCTTTTCGATTTGACGTGCATCTCGAACGCACGATGCAGCCGCCAAGAAGGGCACAACGCACTTATTTATCTTTACAATCTTTTTTCCATAATCCGAGATCTCCTACATCACGACAGACGAGTATTTCTATTTCATTTAGCCTCTCGATCTTGTTGCCCGTATTTTGCTCGTGTCAAAAATCACACACCACCAGTCGTCAATCACCGACTCTCATTGAAGCCTTCATCATTCTCTTTATATCGCGACTGATCCTGCTAGTCGCCTCGCAAGCATTCGCAGAGTCGTTGAAGCACGCGCCATCCCAATCTCGGCGTTGTCGCTCATGATCAACATGTTATTCATGGATACATCCATGCTCAGTTGAATCTCCACTCACTATCACATGGAGTTAGACGAGAAGAGGAAAGATATAAGAATGGGTTAGAGTAATACGGTGGACCGCAATGAGTTGATAACTCACAACATGAAAGATGTACCAGTGACGCATATGAGGGACTGGCGAGAAGATATGAGCGAATTACCAGATGATATAAGGGAATTGTGGGAAGATATAAGTAAGCGGCTTGCTAGAAAAGAAAAGAACAAGATTCAGGTTGCTAGATGATATAAAAAGCGGGCTGCGAGAAGATTAAGGATCACGAGTGCTAGAAGATATAAGCAAAACATGGATCGGCCGCAAAATAGTGGTCGTTAACGGACCAAAAAAATTCATTTTGCTCTGCACTGAGTTTTGTGTACGAAGAAAAAAGGAAGTTCGGAGCTGGAAAAGGAAAAGCTTCAATTCCGTCACATGCTCTTGAATGTCACGCACCTCCAAGCGTGCTCCTGCCATGGTTTTGATTCCTCGTCCTCCAAGCTAAAAAAGTCGCCAAACTTTTGACACTCTCCGTCGCTTCTTCCAGAAGAATGCAAATCTGAGTCATCGCCTGGCGCCATCCCGTCCATTCTCCTTCAATCTCATACCAGTTCTGCCACTTTTCTGCGAGTTCGTGAGCGCTCTCTTCGTAGTGGCTGCGGTAGTTCAACAAAGCACCGAAGCGCCTGCGAGATGCATCGTCGTTGCTGCGTTCTTGAGTAGCGATCGCGTCAAGTGTTTGACGCACACCCTGGACCGAGTGGTCATTGACCGCGCGGTGTAGCCTAGAGAGTGCGCCGACGTGTGCTCCACCCTTCCCAAGGGCATCCACGTCGAGCGAGCGCCACATTGTAAAGACTTTCTTCGCGTCCGAAGCGACGAAATCAAAAACATTCAGCAAGTGCAGCCAGAGCAAGTCCTCAAGCGGTATTTTTTTCATTCGCACATTACTCTGCGCAACCGAATCATTCTTCAAAAAACGAATAGCATAAGATTGCAGAGCAGATTCCGCAGCATGCTGCAGCTCCCGGCATCGGTTTATCTGCGCTTCCGTCGGTCCATCATCCGAAAAGCTGGGGTAATCATGTAGGTGCCGCGGCAAATTATCAAGATAGCGACGCACAATCAAACCCACAAACAAGCGGTCACCAATCGACCACCACGCAGTGCCATCGCCGTAGGGGTCTTGGCACTTTGGTACACAATAACTGTCCTGGCATTCATCTGATGCGCTTTTCTTTCCCGGTACCCGTCTGCACCGCGGGCAACTTCCCACATTATCGTGAATGTTCTGCAGTGCCTGCACTTCCGGCAGTAGCCGCCTCAAGGCATCTCGGTAGAAGTTCGGGCGATCTAGTCCTAAGACTTGCAGCGCGAACGCTTCAAAACCTTTGTACTGACGCAATTTCTTCGAAAAATTCTTAACGCGTTCCCGATCGCTCTTGAAGTTCACGAGCCCTTTTTTGTTACTCGGAAAGAGATTTGCGGTTGTGCTCTGCGACGATACCGACGAAGACACAATAGAACCGCGACCGCCTGGAGCGGGAAACACCTCTTCACCTGAGCCACCCTGTCCGTCTCCTTCAGTGCCCTCGACTCCCTCGACAAACAGGCGATTCCGCGTCTGCATTTGCCTTTGATGTAAGAACTGAATCGCGCCTGACAAGTCCTTGGGGAACAGCTTGAGAAATAGAGCAAAGACCGCCTCTTGAAAATTGCTGCCGTTATCATTGAGCAATCCATGACTCCGCAACTTTTTTACAAGTGGGCGCGCTGCGTCACGCGTGGAGGCTTCGCTAGCCGAACCCAGCTGCGGCAAATTCATCAGGCCAGATATGTATCCCATGAATCCGATCACACTATTTTGTTTCAAATCGAAATCAAGCTCGGGAACGGCTTTCGTACAAGCCAGCACACGAAACTTCTTGAAGCACTTTTTCCATCCTTTAAGGGTATTCAGAACGGGTTCCTCACATAGACTTCGCTCGTCCTCCTGGTACAAACTCTGAAGAAAGGTTTCCAGCTGCTGAAATTTGACGAAGCTTTCATGATCTTCACGTCTGCTCAGAGCCAGCGTCTCAACTGCCTCTTCATCGTCAGAAAGATAGTCATCGTGGAGAGCTTCCTGCGGTACGTCCGTGCATCGAAGCGCGCTTGCGCATTTTGGCTCTGGCTCTGCAGGACCCGTTACATTTCCGTGTGGCGACGAATCTCCCGCATCATCCTTTGTCCCTGCGTTATCGCTTTTCTCGTCCGCCGTTACACACCCACTCTTGGGGGTGCTTGACAATCGCGGAGGCGGGATACTCTTGCGTGAACCACTCTCTGGCTTGGCGATGTGATCTAGACCCCGCTTCATGACAATAGGTGCTGGACACGCCAGCCCAACCTGTTCGTACAGGCTGCTGACCTTGGCTATCAGAGCATCAGATTCCCGCTTTCCTTGTGGAGAGCCACGCTGCTCCTGCATGGCTTAGACGCAGTTTTTCATAGTCCAAACTTGTTTCGTACCTTATCGACTCCTTGGCGTCATCAAGTTGGTGTCTGTAGGGAGTTTCAGGGAATTTTCCACAAGCACACATCATGCAAGACTATGAAAAAGCGGACCTTAAATGGCCGTGGATGCTATGTCGCAAAACGTTCGCCACTCTTCGTCTGGATGAGGCCAAAATTTCGGCTTCGCAACAACAGGCATAGCAACAGTCGGCGAAGCAGATGTTGGTGCCGAGCTGAGTGCAGAGCTCGTCGAGCAGCTTGATGAAAATGATCCCCCAAATGTTTTTACCGGTTCTGGGAGTAAGCAGCAGCAACTGCTGCTACCACTGCTGCTACAAGTAATCGAAGCGCTAGAGTTTTGCCAGGCGACCAGTGCACCAGAAGCAGACACGTTAGATTCCGCGCCGGCATTGTCATCCTCCTTCCAGCTCCCGATACATTGATCATCTCGCAAGCCTGTCTTCGTCACCTTGACCTCCGGCTTCATCCAAGCAAACCCGGGGCCGATGTCGTACAGACGAAGCTCGCTTGCCGCAATCCGTAGCCCGTTTTCCTGCTGCTGCTCCCCTTCCTGGACAAGCTTACTCTGGTGACCCTTGCTCGTGATGTGTCCAAAATCAGCGTGCGCGAATGGGCTGAACTTAGAGCCTTATTGTATGAAATAAAGTTTCATGGTAGCAATGCTGGTTGTGGCTTAATTCATCGCATGGTTGCTCAAAAAGTGAATCCGTTATAGACGAACAAAACGCAACCCGTCACACCTTCTTCAACCAATAAAACTGACAGCGACATCAATACGCAACCCCCAACTGTGAAGATATTTCTGACACCAGCCGCCATAATACTTGACCTTGAGGAAGAAAGAACGAAGAGTGAAAAAAGTTAGAGCCGGTTTGCAGATTGGATTGAATGGGGGTCTGCTCACAAGAGTCCCTAAGTAGAAGTGTTCCATTTTTATTTCCGCTCGTTTTTTTCCTGCACAGGAGACACCACACCTCGTCGTCTGGCATGGATGCGAAAGGCCGGAAGTTCGTAAGCTTTGAGTCCTCTGCCAGCACGCAAAACCATTCCGGAAAGACATCCGAAGGTCGCGGATTGACACGCAATTGTCGCGCCATTTTAACATATAATAGTTCGATCCTCAAGTCACTTGTTGATGTTGTTAAAGGTTGATATGAAATAACTAGGCACCGATCAATGATGATTCAATAAGATAGGATAACTATAATCAAGTCGCTTAAAAGGAGAAGAGACACCTCCCTCAGAAACAGCAACTTGAACTTGATCTTTTCAATGTTACTATAAGAACCAAGAATGTCTGACGAACAAAGAAATAAAGCCTACAAGTTCCTCTATCAACTAAAGAGCTTTCGTGTCGGACGATCTTATCGTTAAGTAGAGCCTGCGTTTTTCTTGTGAGATGAGCTGGACGCCGGCCAGAGCACAAAGGCCCCAGCCTAGTCTAACAAAAAACAACAAACTGAAAAAGAGAAGAACATCACTACTCCATCGGATCAACTATTAACTTTCCCAAATCAAAAATCAACATACATTCTTTTACAAAAATGAACATGAAGAATACCGAGATAAAAGCGAACGCTAGGCTTTTGTGCCGAGAATCGAATCAAGGAAGTATGAAAGCAGTGCAAAAACAAAAGTTACTTTGCAAGGCGGTTGCTGCGCCTCAGTAGTTTTGGAGAAGTAGGACGATGTGAATGGTGTCAAGGGAGATATCATGACACAGCATCTCGGCGACTACTTCGATGACGGCCCGCATCTGGTAACTGTGCAACGTCAAAGCGGCCGAATATAGTGGCGCGCATTTGCACCCAACACGCGGAGAAGAGAAAGGAAAAGCGGGGAGACGATCATCATCATATTCACTGTCAACGCTTTTGCTTCTCGTCTTGACCATCACTCTACGACCTTTTGAGGGTCGCATTTGAGCTCTATGCTCATGCATCATCCTAATACATCATCAGACCTTGTTCTTTTTGATGGGATAAATTGGATCTTCAGCGACAAATTTCAAGATTTGTTTCAGAAGATTCATAGCCTCACACTCAATTCAAGAGCCGTCTTCACAATGTAGTTTTCATTTTCACCTGCCACGCGAAAACTTCATCTGTGTTTGTGAACACTAGGATCATCATCTTCGTATTCGTGACAGTGTTGGGATCATCAGCAACCTCCTACTTCTTTCGTCTTCATATTCTCGCCATTTGCAGAACAGGGGAACTGGATCAATCTAGCTAGCAAGAAGATGATCCTTTTCCTTCCACATGATTTCAACACTTTCGTTGGTTGAACTTTGGCACTCGCCCAGCGGAAGCTATAAAACTATAGATCCGTGATACTTTGTATCATCGATCCCTCCCAAAAAACAAATCTCGATCTTCTCTCAGTGGCGAGTATGAAATATTTCCGAAAGTAATAACGTGCCCCAGAATCATTGATATATAAAATGGATAAATATGCTGTAATTCTTGCTATTTCACTCTACAATTCAAATGAGTATCAATATGTTTCAACAACTATGTCATACTCGCAGTCTTGTGGTTGTGTCTGCAAGAACTTCAGCGTATTCATAGGTATGTGATGTACAATGAAGAATTAACAGCGTGGTCGCCTGCGAAAAGGAGGAACAAAAAAGAGAAAGAACTAGTAACTACGTAATTTCTATGCACATGCTGATGCAGATGTAAGCTTCTAATATGCGGCACCAGAGCGCACTTCCAGATCTCGTCGCCTCTCGAGTTCGGTCTAACCCTACAGTCTTGAAACGCTGGAGATTCGGAGAAATGCGCATGATGAGGCAAGCTGCATATCAACTTGTTGCTCGTGCTGTTCAATGAATGCTATGCGTTTCACTAAACTCATAGTATACAAGTAGGATCAAACAATGAAAAAAAAAATGACTAGGTTTCTGCGCTTTGAAATAATACTCGAGACAATTATGCAGTCTGTGCTAATCTGGCGTTTCAATTGACTAGAATTAGATAATCATGACCATCTTGAACATGCATTGTTCTACGGTCAGTCACAGCAGTACATCTATCCACTTGGTACAATAGAAACCACCCACACCATTTGACGGATATTAGAACACTGTAAATTAAGCAGTTTTAGTTTATTTTCGCTCTTTCTTATTCCCGGTACTATATCTATCCAACCTGATGTTTGCTAAATATTGGTTCTAAACTCTGTCTTCCCGCAGCAAAGCTTTTCCATGGTGAAGATTAGCTTCAAGAACCTCCTCCGGCTACAACTGGTGTGGTAGTAGATGTCTAAAGGTCTGAGATCCCCCGTGTCACCGTCTAGCATGCAGACCCTGAATCCTTCGTTGTCGTCGTAGCAACAGAGGGCTTGCTGCCTAGCATCAGTCCCGGCACGACCGGTATGCTGATCTCCTTCATCGGCAGAAGCGGTGTTGCGGCGGTCTTCTTCAACTCGAGCGGTGTAGCACCCCCAAGGGAAGGACAGGCCAGCTTCTTAAACTCGATCTTCTCCGGTGCCAAAATTAGATGAATCGATTTACATGATGAATGTAACCGTAACTATAGACGACTTGTCCTAAGTATAAGTAGTAGACATAGAAGTGAGAATGATTAGCGTAGATCTGGTAGGTGTTGATGTGCTATTTAGAATAGCGAAACCCTTCGTAATGGGGAGAATAGAACGGAAGGATTTTGGAGCACGGTGCGCTTGTAGTCCAATGTAGTTGAGAGAGCTGCCTTTGGTTGCGTTGCCGCCTGCAACAGAGTCGGAGCCCATTTCCATCTGTATGATTTCATTTTGAACGTGATTTTTCATCAGACATGTATGAAATCAAATCAATGGAGAACTAATAATCGTGATTGCATGAGACACGACGAACTCATCGTGATCAATCTTGGGTTTCAGATTGCAAGGGAGATGAAGTCAAAAATTAAAAGAAAACGTTTTTGTTCTGCCAAACGGATGGAATAGTACCCGACTGCTGGCGAGTTCTTATTTTCTTGCATCTGCAGACTGGAAATCGAGTACTTTTCCATTAGAAAGGGTGATGCGCTCATCGGATGCGATACAAGACCAACCTTCGGTTTAACTTGAAAAGTCGGTGGCTTTGCAACAAGGCTCGGTGGCACCGCGCTGAGCTTCGGGCATACGCTGGCACCCGATTTACTCAGTACTCCACCAGCTGTTTGTGGAATTTCGAAGTTGTGAATGAATCGTTATTGGGAGAACTCCAAATTGTGTTATTCTGTGTCGGAAACAAGTCTTTATGCAGTTCACATTGGATTCGTCACGTTGCTGCGAGTCGCAACTACAATTTACTTATCACAAAGCAAAAAACCAAACTAGTACCTCCTTGTTCCATTACGACTGTGACTTCGGCGGCCTCGCTGCGCATAAGCGTGTCGATCGGTGATGCAGGCTTGTCATCAGCGAAGATGAAACCGCTACCCTCAAGTGGGTCTCGTGCAAGTCCGCTTTTAGGTGACGTGGGACCTTGCGAGTGTGAATTCTTGTTGTAGAAAAGTTCTCTAGATATGTTCATCACAGCGAGCACTGAAAACATTTTTTTCGCGATGCTTAGTCGTATTGCCTGAAAACCCTTTTCTCATCAGAACAACCTCACATAAGTAATCGGATCTTCAAAAATTCAAGTACCAGCGGGTTCCCTTTGGCTACGTGGCGACAGTGCTTCCACCATATCTGAAACACCCTTTGGGGCGATAAGGACCTTGACGGGAGATGGTACGGGCGAAGGGACGACATTCTTCAAGAGGGACCCTTCTTTCGGTGCGAGAGGCAACACAAGCGGAATCTTAGGGCTTTTCGGGCTACTAGGCATAGCACCTAACGACGCTGTTTGCGGGATATTACCACCAGTCTCCTCCGCCGCAGCATCGTTGCCGCCTTCTGCGACGGAAACACTCTGGTAAAGATAGTGGTAGATGAATTGTTTGGTTGACTGAGTGAATGAGAATGAAGCACCTGACAGATATGAATAGGGATAGAAAGTATAGATCAAAACTAGTGGTCTCTAAAATGAAATTATTTATTCACACTTTTAAGTTTTTTCGAATATAACCGCCGCGCAAGATTTATGGTATACGGCTCCAAGAGAATCAAAGTTCATCTCGAGACGTGAGTTTCAATCCAACAGTCATTCACGGAATCAAAGGGCAAAAATCATAGATACGCCTTCTTTTGCATCCTCCATCCGCCGAGGGCGCTTGAAGTTCGGGTTCGCCAGTCGCTTCGACATTTCTGGCGGCTAGACAATCAAAAGAAGAAAAAGCGGGTATTGGGGAAAAAGAGCGATGCACTGACGCACCAACGTCTGATAGATTAAACTATCTTTCTATGCATAAAAAAACACCGTTTGATTGATTAGATGATTTGCAGCCCAGCGCGTTTGGGTATAGGGTGAGCTGCATGCAGACGGGTGGTTGATAGACCAACCCCTGTCAGGTGAGTTGTTGCAGAATGCACAGAAGTTTCACACTTAGCCAAGCCACTCACATAGATAAATGCTAAAGTTAAGTAAAGTGAGATGTCAAAAGAAAAACTGCCGATCTATGACACACGACAGCAAGATGAAGGCTCTTCTTCATCGTAAAAAAGTGTCATATCGTGTCGTGCATCTCTGTGACATATGACTAGCAAAGCAACCGAGGTGAGGGACCGAACAAGAGATAGAGAGCGACAAACGAGTCAAAAAAAACAAGCCAAAAAATGTGAGTATCAACCTAAGTCTTTTCTCGGGGAACTTCCGCGGCCTCCTGGACACCAGCAGCGAACCAATCAATTATTCAAAAGAAGTAGCATGCAGAACCTATTAGATCATTCTTGTTGTCGCAGAGGCAGATGTAGTGTTTAAACTAAGAATCTTGCCTTACTATGATGTTGTAACTAGTTCACAGACGAGCGCATCCATGTAGAGGTGAAAAAAAAAACGACTGTTATGTCTATCATGCAAAGATCGAAAGAGCATACTTACTTACTTAATAAGATCATAGAAAAGGAACGAACTCAATTGTGTATGTGGGCATGCGGCATCTCTTTTCCTACTCGTACATGAATAAAATCAGGATACACCCCGAAATCAAAAATATAGGACTTAGACTTACACTCCCCAAAATAACTTCACTATTACATCGTGCTCCTTATGTGCTTGAAGCATTCCTTTTTCAGTAAATGTTCTTTTTATGCCATCGGTGCCTAACTTCTGACAACTCTTAAAATCCATTACCCCTGAGTCAGACCCGCAATCCCTGTGGTATCGACTACCTTATCCTGAATAAAAGTACTTTGCTATCATGAAATTTAGATACTACAAATGTTAGATGAAGATGAAGATTTTAATAAAACGAAACTACAACACTTGCGGCATAAATAGCTATGTCTGGCTCAGAAATGGTACTTTATTCATCAGCAAAAAATAACTGATTCCTAATCTAACCTGTGCTTCAAATGACGTAATGTTCCTACGACAGACTTGTTTGGGTCAAGCGGCAAAACGAGGTGACCAATCGTACTACAGCAGACTAAAGGATAATCGTAATACTCTGTGATTATGTAATACTCAGGAACCCTCCTTGTTGTGCAAGTTAAAGAGGGAACGTGTTTTATGCCATCTTCCTAGTACAGATCTTTTTAGTTTCTTGCTAGCATGCGCACTCATATGGAGGCGCGGATCCGTAGCTGCGGTCACTCAGCATGGCTGAAGCTGAACTAACTAAGTACCTAAATACTGCTTCCGATTTCGAGACGGCATCTAATGCACGACGATAGCAGCAAGAGATTACTGGAGACACGATCGATTCAAAAATCAAAGACTTTTTCTTATCATGATTTTAGGCGTACTTCTCGCTCATAGCCCGACGCATGATCTCGTCCAGCGGACCCAACAAACGCTTGAACGATTTTCTATCGAGAGAGAGGACCTTGCATGCCTGCGCGCCAGCTTTCACGGTCGCTAATCGCGGTTGCTCCATCAGTAACGCCAACTCGCCGAAATAATCAGCCGTTTGATACCTGTAAATGAGACACAAGACGTGAGTGATAAAAGGCTTGTAGACAAGTAAATAGGATTACAGCATAATTATACCTGAAATCGAATAGCAAGAAAGCAAAGGTTCCTTCTTGACTGGGAACAAAATCGTTCATGAGTACTCTATTGTAACTGCAACAGCGGTGTACGTATAAAAACCAAATCCTGAAAACCGAATGACATAAATCGTAAGAACCGAGTTGCCTTCTTCTATCAAGAACAATAAAGTTATGAATTATATACTGCATGACGACTTCGCCGTTCTTCACTGCCACCGGTGCGCCGTTCTCCACGATGTAGAACTTGTCTCCCGCCTCGCCCTCGGTCACAATGTGCTCTCCATTCGCATAGGTCTCCGCCTTCAGGGCATCGGCGACCTGGCTCAACTCGTAACTCGTCATATTCTTCAACAGCGTCACCTGCTTCAAGAATCATTAGACCTGGTTAATCCACGACGAGCGATCTTCACTTATGTTGACCACAAGGACTAAGTCGGAAGATAACATTGAGATTGACATTCATCTATGAGCTAGTATGAATGTAGAGTTCTGTAGTTTGTTGTTCACCTTCAGAGGTACTAGGTAGCTGACTGCCTATATACAACTACAAATACGAGAATATTAAGGGTGGATTTACGTTACCCCTATAGTTGAAATTTGGCCATAAAATGACTCGTATCTAGTTCGCTTTGTTGCTGCCGCGTCCTTTACGATGGCGTTAAATGTTTCGCGATCCAGCTGCCAGAGCGTACAGTTTGTGCCTGGGAAATTTGCAAGTCAGAATAAACAAAGTATCATCATCATGATGATGGCATCTCGGGTGGCCATTCTCTGCCACTGTAGGCCAAACGTAAACTAACATAACGCCGAGGTAGTAGTAGTACAATACCATGATCTAATCAATCTACATCACGTAGCGCTAGCGGTGACAATAGATAAAGAAAAGCGATCTCCTGAAGACGCATATTCATCCTAAAGACACAGATTAGATGTCAAAGTTGTACATGCCCTGACGTTAGCGGCCCGTGTCGTGTTGTACAGAAGCGCGAGTTCGCCGAAGACATCACCGGGTTCGCAGGTTTTCACTACTGTCGGAACGCCTTCAATATCCTTGAAGCACTCTAGCTTACCTTCCTCAATGACAAAGAGGTAATCTCCATCGTCTCCCATGGTGATAATTTGGGCGCCGGCTTCGAACTAGAGTATATTTTGAGGAAAGTGTTGGTCTGGTGCAGACATGGGTACAACAGGTAAATGTATTATAACAACTCGTGGCACAGCAAACTATGCGGCACATATTCTTGTTATTGAGACAATATGAGTCCATCATCAACTGACAACTACATAATCACATGATCTTTATTAAGACTAACTTTGACAATCCAGGTCCATCATCAACTTTAAGTACATCCAAATAGACCGTGAGCATCTTTTTCAGAAAAGGGTACGATTTGTTCTTCCATTGCGTCGATAACTACGCCGAAGTCTTTCTCCTCGAGAGAGGCGAATAGAAAGCTCTTCGATAGCGTGCCCTTCAGTCTCTGCTTTTGGTCTGCCGACTTCACGATTACCTTCGGAGTGAACTCCTTCTTCTTGTTCCACGCGCCATAAGCTTCTGCAGAGACCTTAAGTTGAGGCGGTTTTTGCATTTATTCAAAATATCCATCTTGGGGAAAAAAAAAATTCATATGGTAAAGCCAATAGTGCTTAAATCGCATACTGTTGCTTTTCATCTGCGCCTGACAGGTGCTTAAACTTCATATATGTTCCAGGGCTCAGGGCTGGAGGCCCCCCCCCCCGATCTAACTTTTTGAAGGGGGGGGGCCGTAGGGTCGAGAAAGGGACCCCCTGGGCTTTACGGGATTTCTAGTCGTGTAGGCAATTTGGTTTCGCTTCTTTACCATTTTGAAAATGTAAACAGAGGAGGCGCCAGCCTGTGTTAACTTCGCCCACTTTAGCACGACAGCACAACTGTGACCGCAGTGAGCACATCCACCAAAAATAAATCGGGGCAGCCTGTAGGAGGAACTTGAAAAGCACGCGATAGCGCTAGCACCAGCAGCGTGGCAATGGCTTGACTGTCAGCAACTTTATTAGGATTCAGCTGACTGAGATCACAACAACAAAGGGCAACGGCCTCGCGCATTGGCTTGGTTGTAAGTTTCTTCTCCCCTGTTCACTTTGTTGGGAGCTTTGATTTGGCGGACGAGGGGCAGCAGCGTTCCCCTGGTTGTGAGTCTCAGTCTCAGTCTTAACCTCAAGAGGGACGCGGAAAATGTCCACAAGACGGCGAGGGGGAAAAGTTCCTTCGGCAGAAGTTCACAGAGCTTGGCAAAAAATGCGGCAGAAAGTCCAAGAGGAAGGGGTGGCAAAACTGTTCTTGGTGGCAGAAAATGCGGCAGAAAGTCCAAGAGGGGGGCAGAAAATGTTCCCGATTGTCAGAAAATGCGGCAGAAAGTCCAAGAGGGGGGTGGAAAGTGTTCCCGGGTGGCAGAAAGTCACGGAGGGGGGTGGAAGGTGTTCCTTCCCGGGTAGGCAGAAAACGCGGCAGAAAGTCACAGAGGGGGGCGGAAAATGTTCCCGAGGAGGTGGCAAACCTGGCAGAAAATCAACCCGGGGGGCGGAAAATGTTCCCCAGGCAGCAAACCTGGCAGAAAATCAACAAAGGGGGGCGGCAAAATGTTCCCGAGGCAGCAAACCTGGCAGAAAATCACTCAGGGGGGTAGAAAGTGTTCCCGAGGCAGCAAACCTGGCAGAAAGTCAACCAAGGGGGGTGGAAAATGTTCCCCAGGCGGCAAACCTGAAAGAAAGTCGACCAAAGCGGTGGAACCACAGGAACCGCAGGAACCACAAGAACCACAAGGACCACAAGAACCACAGGAACCACAGGGACCACAGGGACCACAGGGACCACAGGGACCACAGGAGCCACAGGAACCACAGGAACCACAGGAACCACAGGAACCACAGGAACCACA